GAAGAAATATCATGTTTATATGATAAAATAAAGTTACCGATAAAATTAACTATGAAAAAGATGTATCTGGAACTCAAAAGGAAGCTAACATTTTAGTATAAGATTGTTCACACCTTTTATTTGTCTTTCTTTAGGAATTGAATAAGCTAATTCAGATTTCATTTGACGTGAAAACAGTGTATGTGTTGTCCAAATGATTAAGTAACAATCATATAAGATAGTAAGAAGTTTGCCCTGACTGTGCATTCGTTTGAACATCCTGCTTTGTGATGTGCATGCATGCTCCCTGTAGCTAGTTAGTTTGTCTTTAGCTTCTGTTTGCCTCGTGAGTTCTTTCTGGAGCTTTTAAAGTGATATTGTTAAAAATTTCTATGTATAAACGAGCTGAATTATGTCAATCCTCAATCGAGGCTGGGTCTGTGTAAAACAGATTGAATCAAATTGGAATATGAAGCTTTATTCATCCTTCCTTAAAGCCCCAATCCAAATCAGATAACAGAATAACAAGATATGTAATTTCATAATATGTTATTGATAAGCAATGAATTCAAAATTAGTAAGGTTTTTAAATCTATAAGCAAGTGCTGTGCCGAACACTTAAAATCTTCTCAAATGTGAACTTTAAACTCCTCAACAACAAAGTATGTGAACCTAACATACCCTTGTGTTCTTACCGACCCCAAACTGATCCATTTTTGTAAATAAACTGATCGACAAATCGTTTTAAAGCAACTTAAATTCTGTCCTCATATATATATATATATTTATATATATGTATATATGGGTACATTTTGTCTGAATAAATCAGGGATTGGGGCTTTAAAGCTCAGACTTGATGTTTCAAGTCCGTCACTCTCGGGCTGAAACTGATGTAAATCTTAGATGTACTAGTTTCAAATAAGATCTCACATGTGAGACCGTTTCTGTTTTACGGCCAAACAGAGTTAAGTGTATTTTATAAATCTGTCTTTAAATGGTTTAAAAGACTTGTCCCTACTTTGTAGAGTACATAGGCCCCGCACAAACACACACATATTCAAACAATACACACACACACATACACACACACGGCACAGCCTGAGTGCAGAGCAGTAATGGTGGTTCAGTCCTTTTTTCTATTTGTGCTCTTTCATTCTCGTATGCATTTTTTACTGAAGCAAAACAGTATTTACAGTATTCACGTGAGATTCTACCAGGTTCAAGCCACAAATCTAAGATCTCTTCTACATAACAGAAGCTTCATCTCTGCAAACATTATGCAACTCATTTTTATTCATGTACTTTTTCTTTTTTTTTTGTTTTTTTGCTTGGTGTTAAATTAAGAAGCCTGGTGTTAAATCAGAGAGCACCCGCTCTGATCCATGTTTTTATTGTCTGGAGAAAATGAATCTATGAAGTTTGTGTTGTAGCAAAATTATTGTATCAAATGCCCCTGGATGTGTCCGCAAGTGTTGCTTCAATGCTACGGTGATCACATTCTTGTTTTTGCATCTGAGAATCCCTGTTGGATTTTGTTATTTTACATCTAAATAGACCTATAGACTCCCACAGAGCTTAGATACAGAGATAATACGATGAATTAAAGCTAAATCTCCAGTCAGAAAAGCTTTTTGTCCAGACCGCTAAGCTCTCAACTCATCTTGCACGCAATTGTAATGCATCATTAGCTCCAGAAAAGAGAGGTAATATCGATCGCTATAAGTTCCAATGTTGGTTAAAGGGTCAGTTCGCTTAAATTACAAAAATAAAAGAAAAAAATAACAGCAAGTATAACCAAACCTTGAAAGTAAAATTGAAGAAAACAGAGAAAATTAAAAAAGAATTCTGAAGCTTCAATTTGCTTTGAGAAGAGAATCAGAAGTCTGATATTAAAGACAGACACAAACTTAAATTTTAAGACTCAGATTAAAATTCTGTTTAAAATGAAACTTATAAAAGTTGGACAAGTTGAATTTTTATGAATTTTAAGTAAAAATTCTGGAGTTTAAATCAGAAATGCTGGAATCAAATTGAACCCAAAACTCATCTGGAAATCTCAGGTTGAAATGCAAATTCTGAGATTGAAGTTGGAATTCAACCAAAAAATAAAACAAAGAAGGAATTCAGTTCTAGTTCATTTTGATTTTAAAAATCTGATGTCTGAATTTGAAATTTAAAGTCTTGGAAACTTATTTGGAAATCTGAGTTCAAACATGTAACTTAAATCTATCCTGAAACAAGCTGAAATTTTGGGATTCAATTTTAATTTTGGATCTAAAACACAAATTTCATAACTCATACTTCTTGTACATTTGGCATCCAATCATAGGGTGATTTTTAAATTGTGGATACTGTTATAATTACTGTCTAATAATGCTGTGATATTTAACCTCTGAAGATCTGATTTTTCTTCCCTGTTACTCTGGATATTCTTGTATATATCGATACTGTCTGTTATTGTTTCCAACAAAAATTTCTATTTCACCAAATATCCATCCACCTTCACATTACCTGGAAGGTGGCACAAATGTCAAACTGAGACAAAACCTACATGCATGGCTGCATATCAGTCGAGGAGAGAAAATGTTTTGTTTTTGATTTGGGTGAACTGACCCTTTAGTGTCTCAGGGTGTCAGGCATTGGAACCTGCTCTCTTTTTATATCTCTGAAGCAGACTTTTTATTTTATTGGTTTGACAGTTAAATAAAACAGCCCCTAAGTAAAGCTGTAGTTGTCTATTTATCTGCCACTAGGGGGCAGCAGAGTAAACATAAAAACACATTTGGCATAAAACCAATTTATACACATTACAATGGCAAATGAAACAACACAATACTCCTCTTGAGTAAGAAGCAACACTTATTTAGTGTTCTGTTTTTGTTCAACAGATGAATGTACACCTCATAGTCTTTTCTTTTTTTTCTGTTGTTGTTATTGTTGTTTTTTTGTTTCAAACACCTCCAGTGTTTTCATGAGCTAGTGGCTAACTCTGTATCTCTGCTGTTTGGTCATCAGATCCTTTTATTAGCTAAATTGTTCAGTGCAGCTTTAGTAAAACATGGTCAATAATAAATACTATGCATCAATACTTTAAATTAAATTCATAATAATTTGATACTGAGACTCGCAGAGTCCTCCAGGTTACTTCATACAGGCCAAACTCCCTTTTTTTAGTTGATGCCATCTCAGCAGATTGAATCAAGAAAAACAATTTGCTGTCACTCTGTAACTGAATACTCGTACTTTTTTTTTTTTGCTGTGGATTTGTCTTTTTTTTTGTTGCTGCTTCTCTGGAAAAAAACAAACAAAAAAAAAAACACTGGCTTTTCAACTCCAAAGGTTGTTCTGTTTAAAATATGAACAAAAACATGCCTTTTTCACACATTGCTCAACTTTGTTGGAAAACAAAAAAAAATCTGGTATCCTGGTTGAATGCGCAGGCTGAGATCATTAAGTCCAATTGAAGATGGAAAATGTTTACAAATAGGTGTCATGTCATGTTTGATAAATGTTTGCCATGAAATTGATGGTCGGTTCAATCGGACTGGTTCTGTTGTGTAAAGAGACAAAGAATGAGTTTTCTCACCTTGTCTTTAATCCAGCTTTTGGGATGGGTCAGCATGGATACAAGTGCACCTCCGATATTTGCCTTAGAACTTGCAGAGGCCATAGTTCACATTCAAATGAAGTGAGTGTATGCAGGGGCCCCGGCCCCCATCCCTTAGTCACCAGTGCGGACTTTCTCACACTTATCTACCTGTGAAATCCTTCATACCTCTCATAACTGGTCAATGACTGTATCAGCAAACTGCATCAGGTGTTTTTTCTACATGCTTTTTACACAGATTATATGGATTATTGTATTAGTAGATTTTGGTGCATCATTTTTAATGTAATAGCTCTTAAGCTTGTAGTTCAAGTTGTTGTTTTTTTCTTTCATTTTTCTAGATGACTGTTTTGTGTTAATATTGTCAATTTGAAATAGCTGTCATTTGCTTCTTCTCTACTAAGAGTTCTTACCTTTATAATTTTTAAATGCTACACGACCCTAATTAATTCAAATGACTTAATAACCATTGTAAATACGGTATTGTGCAAACCCATTTTCATTCATTTCAATTGCTAGTGTTCTATAAATGACTTTTTGTCTAGACACCATTTCTCTTTATGAAATAAAGAAACATGCATATCAACTTTTGCATTCTGGGATCTTTTTTTTTTTTTTTTTTGCAAAGGTATGGCAAAATGTTATAAGATCAAGAAAAAGCTGCATTTGATCTTTTTGGCTGATGTAAGACAGCCTAAGGCCTCCATTTCAAAGAGTTAACAGAAGTCAGCCTGCTGGTAAACAACAGCAAGCTGAAAATAAATCACCGTTATTTGAACCATGTGAGAGTTAAAATCAAATATGGGTTTAAGTTTATTTAAAAAAAGAAGAAAAAAAACAATAAGATCATCAACCACATTTAAATTAAAGTTTTGATTGGTCAGATATATTCAAAAACAATATCAGGCTTTCCTCAAAATGTTAAATCACAGAGCCCTTCTTTTCCAAAACCAAAAACACTGATTTCATTCTCTCTCATGGTGTGTGGTTGCCATTTCCACATTTCTTATTACAATCTTTGGTCAAATATCATTAAAACATACTTTATTTTTTTCTCATTTTATGAGCGACCATGTATGCTTAAAGCCAAATATAATTTTGATTCTTATTGATTCATCGAGTCCCCAAAAAATAAAACTAACTCTTACGAGTGTGAAGCCTGCAGGTGATCAATACAAAAGTAATCAAAAGCCGGAGATATCATTCCTACAGACAATAATGAAACGTCTTTTTTTGCTATTCAATGTTTGTATGTTTCAACTGAAGGTATTGTTTATGTGAAAGTATAAACATAAAATAAATATGTATAAAAATATGAGGAACACGATGAGAAACACTTGGTGATCAGGATCCTGTCAGTCCTTTTTAGAAATCCTTCAGGCCTCTGGCTTGGTCATCAGTCATCATCTTGATTTTATTTCTTCATGATTGAAGACAGCTCCAGAATCATGCTCTGGAAGACAAAAAACATTGGACAATAAATGTTTATTTTCTATATCACAGATAAAGTACCTTTCAACTTACTCCAGTGTGTTTGCTATGTTGACAGTTCTGGATACAAAGAGAACCTCAGAGTCTGATCCAAAATAATGAAGATTTGAAATGAGACTGTCATTGAAGGTGGCCACTACTCGGGTGTAAACAAACACAAATGACTCTGATGATGATGATAATCTGTATTTTTGATCCAGAAAATGGAGATAAAGTTTTGTGTAGGTTGTGTCTGGTTAAACTGGCCCCTAACCACTTAACCAATGCAATGGGCTCTATGCACTGATCCACTACTTCCTGAACTTAAGGCTGCTCCTTCATTTCCTGTCTTACATTATTGGACAAACTGATTAATCCAGGTGTGTCTCAGTAGTCATAATGATGAGTCACACCCAAGAGTGAAAGTAGGATAAGGTTCTTGCAGGTACCATACCCATAGGCTTTGTACAAGAGGAGCACACCCAAGTTTAACAAGGTGCCGACTCTGATGCCACAGTACCATCATCTGCTGCATCTCTCGTTCTCTTGAACACAAATTAAATTTTTCTCAGTATTTTGTTTTATTTCTGCATTACGATTCAAGCAGCTGTCTCTTTAAAAGTTCCCTCCTTCCGCAAAATGCGGGAGGTAGTCCCTCGCGCCTAGGCAACAAGCGTCCAATCAAAAGTGCGCACTAAGCGCTCCCTGTCGCTACCCGCGACACTCCCACTCCTGGCGTTTGTTTGTTTGCGGAAGCAAATACGACACACTCGCGAGCAACATGGTCCTATTGGATACATACAGACTGACGCGGCAACACGGTAAGCAAATGTATTCTACATACATTGTAGGGGTGAAAGTTTGCGTACAGGCTGTAAACTGCTGTTTATGTCTTCCCAGTATGGCATAGCGGCTTACTTTCACACCTGGTCACACCGGGATTAATCAATTTGTCAATTTGTCCAATCATGTAGGACAGGAAAGTAGGAAGTAGAGGAGCTGTGCATAGAGCCTATAGGTAGCAGGACTGAAGGCTGGTGGTGCTAGCTCTGCTAATGTTCAGCATACCCTGTAAACCCCTTTGACTTTGTTTACCCACACACTCTGTGATCTTTTGCTCGATTTGGACTGTTATCTGAGTGTTCTTCTACCCTTAGACCAGTCAGTCAGATTTAGAGTATTTTAGGGGGTCATGAGCTAAAAGGTTTGCCCTTGCACTGTCTGTATCTCACAATAAAAAATGATGCCTTTTCTGAGCTGAAATGCTTGTACTTTGCAGAAGAGTTAAAACAGATGGTATGAAAAAGAGCCTCACAACAAGGTATTCATGGAGGAAATCCACAGATTTCATACCTAAAATCATCTCCCTGCTCTATTGGTTAAGATAAAACATGATCATATTTTGTTCTCACCATGGACATCCTCCTTCCACTGGCTGGAGGTGGTGGTGTCATAGCCGGACTCTCCCCCTGGTTGAGGTGCTGTGCCTCCACGTCTGTCCCGCTCTTAGAGTCGGCGCTGTCCGACGACGTGGCCATCTTCCCCTCTGACAGTCCTCGTGACATGAAGCTGCACTTCCTGGCTGTGGGGTAGTGTCCACTCTCTGGAGAATCACTTGTGTCGCTAAGCTCCTTACACATGCTCACCCTGCTCTGCTTCCTCTGAGGGACTTTTAGGGATGCTGGGATTTCTATGTGGCCGCCCATGAGTGTGGGTCGTGGTCCTCCGTACTGGGGCTGCACTGAGCCATGAGGTCCGTTTGACTCTTCACTGCTGCATGATGGCTTCCTGTTGTCCAGAGTGAGGCGTCGCTCCACCGCCACCAGCTGCTGGAGAACCTGGATGTCAGCTTGGCTTGGCCGCTGGTAAGAACTCCTGGACCCTTCCTGATTTTGGGGGACCGCTGAGATAACACTCAAAGGCTCCAGGTGGGCATCAGGTGCCGCAGGGCAGGTCCTCTGTGGGAGCTGTACCAACCTCTGTGGTGAAGGATTAGTGAGCGCTAAGACTTGTTGCACCGTGGAGTTCTTCTTTGACCTGTATTCGCTGTCATCGTCTCCATATTTGTATCCGTACAGGCTTTGTTTGATCTGCTTCACCCCCAGGTGGAAAATCTCCAGCAGGTTGAGGAATAAAGAAACTCCAGCAATAACCAGCATGAAAACCATGAAAATGTTCTTCTCTGTTGGCCTTGAAACAAAGCAATCAACGCTGTTGGGGCAAGGCAACCGCTCACATTTGTACAGAGGAGACAGTCCAATCCCATACAGAACACACTGACCTATAATGAAGCCCACTTCCACCACAGATCGTGTTAAGATATGAAAAACATATGTGCGCAGCAACGAACCTCTCAGGGGAGCTTTCCTTACTTTCTTCTGCTCATCTAGTTTCCTGAGTTCTCGCTCGATTCTCTTATGGTCCTCCTGGACTTGGTCTGTGCCCTCCAGCTCAGCTTTCAGGTAGGCTTTCTTTCTGTGCCTCTCTTTTTCCAAGGTTCTCAAACGGTACAATGCGTGCCCCATGTAGACCAGAGACGGGGAGGACACGAAGATGATCTGAAGGACCCAGTAGCGGATGAGTGAGATGGGGAACGCTTGGTCATAGCAGACGTTTTTGCAGCCAGGTTGCTCTGTGTTGCAAACAAACTCGCTCTGCTCGTCATCCCAGACGTCCTCAGCTGCAACACCGAGCACAAGCATCCGGAAAATGAAGAGGATGGTGAGCCAGATCTTCCCCACGATGGTGGAATGAATGTGGACCTCTTCTAAGATGCTCCCCAGTAAGTTCCAATCACCCATCTTTTGTCACATCCTTGTCATCTGTCAATTAACAGGCTACCATGAGTCAAGTTTTCATCAAAAAAAAGGTGACAAAGGTGAAGAAAATGGTTTTACTTACATGTTTTCTAAGGTCTTGGTCTTGTTTGCTTCAGTAAAATGCCGTCATAAAAAAGCAGGTAAATTTGTGGAGACATGGGGGCTCAACGGACGTCTCTGTGGAGACAGATGAGACCCTACTGTGCTGTGTAGCTGACACGGTTTTGTTGCTGTTGCAAAACTGGGACTCCAGTTTGAAGCCATTGATCCAGCAATGCCTGAGGTCAGTTTCATCCGGACACTTTTAAGAGGACACTACACTGGAAATAGCAACAACTGAGACATCAATACACCGACATGAACAATGTGTTCGAACTTCTTCTTCTGGAACAACAGTTTGCACTGGTGAGCCCTCAAATTTGTGCCAAAAGTTTGTTCCTCCAGTGCCTGTTACAAAGACATCAGCAAAAACAGGCCGTTGAGTATTCATCCCAGTTTGCAGTGGAGCTGGCTGGCCTGCAAATAGCCCTGACCTCAATCCCATCAACACCTTCAATGCTATCTGTAAGCTTGACCTTATCACCCCACTTTATTACTGGACCTCCTGATGGCAGAAAGGGAGCAAATCCCTCAGGGGGGAGACCCTTTGGGTGTGTTGAAGCCGCATATTGATGTCCGTAGTAGTGGAATTAGGTGAACTAACAAACAAAGAGCAAAATTCTGCTGGGAAAGTCATCAGCTGGAATTCACTGTAAGTGATCTGATCAAATACTCCATAAATTAGAATTGTTTTGAAGATGTATTATTTCCCACAATTGATAAAAGCAGATAAGACCAATCAAATCAACTCCTTTAGCACGTGAAAACCTGAAAGTTGGACTTTACATGGATCACAGCTATTATTGGAGAGTAAAGCGATCTGATTGCAAAAGTTGATTTTTTTTTGTTATGTATTTTTCACAATTTTTAATAGTCAATAGATTTTTAGTTTGCAAACTTCAGAATCAGCTGGTGTTGGTGCATGCTCAGAAGTTCAGCTCTTGGATCTCAGCCGTTATCATGTGACCTCATAAAGTGCCAATGGTCTCATCAGCATGAAAGTTGTTCTGAAATCTCTTTTGTGTCATTTCCAAAAACCTTAAGGTAGTAAACTTAGTTTAATGTCAGAAATTTAAAGTTTAGAATCGAACCAGCTATTTGAATAATGTACCCCTGCATGTGCAGTTATACACTTTGTGTTACATATTTTGTATGAAAAGCACTGTAAATGAAGTTTTGATGATTGATTGATTGACCTTTATTAGTGCATGCTCAGTCAAAAGTGAATCTCTAAAGTTTTAAATTCAACATGAAATGTCTCTCCTTTAAATTTTGTGACAAAGAGCAACTCTAACTGGTAAGATCACTTCTTTTTAAAACCAGGGAGGTCCACCTTCCAACTGTCCATGTGGTTACTGCGGTCAGAAATGGTGACTCCTATCTCAAAACTGAGCATAAACATGAGTCCTAATTTGCTGGGTTGATCAGATTGACTCATGATTGTGATTGGTTTTGATCTGGGCACATCTTTTCTTTTTTTTAGGTGCCATGTCCTCTGCTGTGTTTTATCAAATCCAGAGTCAACACAGCCTAAAATCTACCAGGACATTCGGGTATGTCATGCTTTCATGTGCTGACAAACTTTGTGGAGGTGCTGATTTTCTTTTTCCAGCACAACTTGGCACCTACCCACAGCGCCAACACTCATGTCTGGTGGAAAGATTGGACTCTATAAACTAGGGCTACTAAGCACCAGTCGTAAAACTGTGGCACACACTACATCAAACCAACTTTTTTTTTTGTATGGGGCGCCAGTAGCTCAGAGGGTAGAGTGGTTGTCCAATAACTAGAAAGTTGGTGGCTTGATTCCCCTTTATCTCTAGTCTGTCCGTTGTGTCCTTGGGCAAGACACTTAACCCACCTTGCTCCCAGTGTTTGTTCTCCACTGGTGTATGATTGTGAGTGTTGTGTGGTGGTTGTCGTAGAGGCCGTAGGCGCAAACTGGCACTACGTTTCCGTCAGTCTGCCCAAGGGCAGCTGGGAAATTGCGCCTTACAAATGTGTTACAGAGATAAACTTGCCATGCTGACAAAGTGCCACCTCAGACATTACCTTTCAGGACGCCATTGAGTAGGGAAGATGCTTTAATCCCTCCCACTTTTCTATATCAATTTACAGAAACAAGACAATGACAAACATACCCCTGAATAAATAAATAAAACTTTATTTGGACAATATTCACATTATTTGTGACCCATGCTCTCTTTGAGCACCAGGATTAATCAAACCAAAGACCATTTTGCCAACAGATAAAATGTTTCATTGCATTAACCGAGATAGATATAATCCTGTACATGAACTGGACATGAAAACATTATAATTACCTTCAAACATATTAATCACCGCCCTCACACACACCAATACATCCATTAAAATATTATCACTGGAAATTATACTAAAACAGCTCAAACTGCCAGACCCAAGGTTATACAGATGAGCGAGATTTGAAGTTTTCTTTGTATCGGACCAGTTTAGAAACATTTTTCAACAAACTTGAACCTGTAGATGACTATTTATGCAATGTCTGATATCTGCAGAGGCAAAGAAGAAAAATTTAGTGTGCGTTGAATAAAGATGACGTGTATTTAAAAACTCAAAAGTCTCTAAGAAAATAAAAACACTGTGCAAATGATCCTCATTGTCAGTCGGTTATTGTCAGGAGGAGCTGCTGCTGAAATCTAATCATTTCCCCTCTTTAAATTTCCACAAACCGTATGAGGAAGTACCGTTCAGCCTCCAGACTGCGACCAGATTGACGACATTCTTTAAGCTCAGAGAAATCTGCTGTTTATTTCTGCTCAGCTAACCGTGACAGTATCCCAGCTCCAGATCTTAGAGCAAAGCGGATCGATCCTCTGATCCTACATTCACGTCCTCCACTGAATGCTCACCTGTGTCGGTACACAGTCAACTGTAAGGATGTTTAAGTTCCCCTAGGAGAACTTAATTCAGGAATCACAGTGCTGCAGTCTGATCCATCAAGTGTCCATCTTCTCCTTCTTCTTAAAGAGCTTTAGGAGCTGGTTAAATCTGTGAGCAACCTAGGGGGAAGAAATCAAGTTTACAGTGATCAGTCGCTCATTCTTGGAGAAGCCAAATAACTGAAATATCACTTTAAAAAGAAGAAGAGATTTACTCACCTGCCCTGACTGCTTGTTCAGTCTCTCTGACAGGGAGGAGAACGTCTCACGTGAAGGTCCTTTCGTCTTCACCTCCAACAGAATAGCTCGATCCTCATCTCTGGAGGAAGCAGAATTCAAATGAGACATTTTCAAGTTAATTGACACAAACAGCTAATCATACGTGTCTTGAAATAACAAATTCGCTCACTATGTATTTAATCATCAATTCTTTAGAGAGGAGGAGAGAGGTTAAACATTAGGAAATCCAGCTACTGACCTGGTCCAGGCTATCAGCACTTCGCCCTTCTTCTTGATGATGTTCTTGGCAGACAGACTGTTTGGGGACATAGATGTCGGGGACAATTTGGACTCCTTCTTGCTGTTTAAATCTTCCTCCCCTGCACTCTCCTCCTTCTCCTTTCTGGAGCGCTTGGATTTGGATTTGTCTTGGTGCTTCTTCCGCTTTCTTTTTTCCACTCCGTTTCTTTTGGGTTTCTCTGGCGTGCTGCTCACATCCTCAGTGATGGTGAGACTCCTCTCTGACTCTGACACCTCCGTTTCATTCCTGCCTGAGTCTGGTACGTGTGAAAACGACGATCGGCTGCTTTGGTTTGTTTCAGAGTTATCGGTGAGATGATGCGGGCTGTTATCTGGGGAAGATGATTTTGATGAACCTTGTCGAGTCGGCTCGTCTTCCTCTCGGTCCTGAGTTTGCCGTGTGCTCTCACCAGCAGCAGCTGTGGCACCTTCTCTGCCAATCTGGCTGAGAACTCCTTCTGAACTTTCATCAACATTGTGCAAACTGTCATCTGAGGGAGACAGGATTTTCTGAGGCTCTGTTTGTTGTTTTGAATCCTCAGGAAAACAAAGATTTGAGGTATTTTGTTGTGCTGATGAATCGTCTTTTTTGGGCGATGGATCCTTTGTTGGGGTTGAACTTCCATCTTGACCTGGATGGATTTCTTCGCCCGTAGCAGCGTGACAGACCTCAGAGTTTTCAGGACGTTGGGACAAGTCGGTCTCTAATGGTTCGTCGTTTACAAAAGAATCGTTCTGGGATTTGTCCGTCAAAGTGTCTTCAACAGGAGTTGCTTCATTGTCTTTGCCATGCTGCTGCTCTTCATCTACCAGTGTGCAACTTAAACTGTCTTCAGTGAGAGTAACATCCGCTCCCGCTCCTGCTTGACGGATCTTTAAAATGAAATGATCATTGGACCTCTCCATCACCAGCGCCTGCATCGGCTGATCGGGCTTGAACACGAAAGGTGTGGCGAGCGGTTCGGAGACCACGCTGCTGTTTGAGTCGCAACTGGAGATGTCCGTGTCCAGAGCGAGGTGAATATCCTGTTCGCTGGCGTCTTCCCCGTCCATGAGGGCGTCCTCACTTATATGAGCGCTGATGACGCTGTCGGGGGTTGACATGATGTTCATGTTTGTGTCTTGCGGCTGCAAGAAGCTGAGGTGGCTGTCGGATTTGAGAGGTGATGGGATGGTGAGTGAGACGGCCAGATCTTCAGCCAGAATGGAAAACGACCTCTGCAAGGACAACCCGGGCTGCTGCGCCGTTTTGTTCTCTGACGGCACTTCTAGCAGGCAGCTTTCATCAAATAAAGCCGGATTGAGATGATCTTTGGATCGTGGAGACGACAACTTTCGAGGTGAAATGCTCGACCATGTTGCGACAAGTTTGGAGGGAGTCTCAAACTTGAGCGGGGAAAGAAGTTTAGACGGGGAGTCAAATTTGGTTGGGGTTGTTATGCTGAAGAGTCTCTCTCCGTCCTTTCTTGGCGTGCTGAGGGCCCAGGTGGTGTTGTCTCCGGTGATGCCACTGTTTTCCAATAAGTCGGATCCTTGCAGAAGACATTTAAAGATTTCGCCCATCTGAGAGTCTCTCACTAGATTGAAGGTTAAACTGGAAGCTTGCTGCTCCGTAAGCAGTTGAAAATCCGTTTTATCGAGCAGAGAGGCATTTTGAGGGACAACCAAAGAGGACAGGTTATTCTTCTCTGGAGTTGAGCGAATAATTTTAGGAGGAGAGAAGCAGAACATAGGTTGTGAACTTGCTGGATTGGAGTCAGGGTTCTTATCTTTCTCCACATGTGTGATCCTGATATCTTTGCCTCTGCTCCCAAGGCCTGTTTTGTACGGCAGCACAGCACCGGGTTTGATCCGGTTCAGGCTGGACGGAGTGGAAGGCGCCTCTTTAAGTTCAGTCTGTGGCTTCTTTGCAGGAGACTGAGTGGAGACTCTGTCATTCTCACTGGGCTGTTTGTCGTCACACTGATTTCTCGTTGGTTTGCAAAGGCTTTTCAGCGTCACGTAAACGTCCTTGAACAAGTAGTCTATCTGGCCGTCCACAAAGTCCCACAACTTCTGCTTTAGATCGACCGCTTGCTGTTCGAAGATCCTCTTCACGATGCCGTTGTTGGACACCTTTCTGAACACGTTTGTTACCAGTTTCTTCAGCTTGGACTTGAGCTCCTTTTCCTGGCTGCACACTTTGCTAAAAGAAGCCCCATCCACAAACTCTAGAAAAGACAGCTGGAAGTTGTCCATCACACCATAGAAGCTCTTTCTGGGAAAACTTTTATGAAGCTTCATGTACTTTTTCCTGATCTCAGCACGTACCAGCCTGAACGTCTCCATAACATCCTCTATCGTTGCGAAAGAAGCTTTGGTTGCTGCAGGACAAACTGTTTTAAACCGACTCTTTGGACTTCTGACTGGCCCGTTGGCTGTTTCGATGATTTCCTTCGACACGGCGCACTTCTCATCAGGTGTCCTCTTAAGGACAGCCTCGGCTCTTGGTTTGTTCCTGACCGGTTGAGCTAACTTCCCCCTCTTGGCTGCAGGAGCAGAAGAATCTGTGGCCGTCTCATCGCTTTCACTTAGAATCTCTCCTTCCTCTAAGTCAGAGTCGGAGAGGCTTGAGGTTGGGTCAGGTACCCTATCTGCAGGGCTTTGAGCGTCATGGTTTGCAGGAGAACCAGGATATTTGTTTTCTTTATTGACGTCCAACTTCTTTGAGTTTGCGTCAGCAGGTGTGGTGGAAAACTCTGCGAGAGAGAGAGAAAAAATGTTTTTACTGGGATTGAAATGTATGCTTTTGAGACACGTTTTACTGCATCTGCTCTTATCTTTACCTTTCTGAAGACTCTTGACGTGACCCGGCTTGCCGTGCGCTTGGAGATGACTTCTCTTAGCGATCCGTATCGGACTCCTCAGAGGGCTGATGGCGTCGGGTATCCTCTTCAGATTGTTCAGCGTGCGCATCATGGAGTCCTCGTCGTGGAGATAGGGCATAGAGCTGGAGGGCTCCATGCTGTTCTCGTGACTCTTCCCAGGACTGAAGCTCTTTTTCGGGGTGAACATCAGCTCCCTGTGCTTCTGCGGCTGGTCCACCTCCTCTGTCGTACTGCTGACTTTGGACACGGTGATACAACCTGTGGAGGAACTCGGCTCTGCTGGGGCGGTCTTCCCAGCGTCGTGGTTTTCACTCGTTTGTGTCAGCATGTAGATAGCCTCGGGGAGACTCAGCCCCTCTTGTGGAAGAGACTCCAGGCTAATGGTGCTGGATACCGAATCTGCATCTACGGGGCTTTCTTGCTTTTTACAAACATCTTTCTTGGTTATGGGGGTTGACGTTGGAGGAGACGGCTCTTTTTGAGGTAGGACAGTGGGTGAAATTGTTGGACTTTTAGGTTTAGCCCTTTTGGGAACGTCTTTAAGGATGGGCTCTTTTTTCGAGGGAGGGGGAGGCTCTTTTATTGAATCTGCAGCAGGTTTTTTAACTTCTGCTTTTTGAAGAGTCTTAGTGTCTTTTTCTACATGTGAATCAAGCACAACCGTTTCTTTAGGATCTGAACTATTTCTTCGTTTGACTTTTTGTGACGAGCTGTTTCCAGACACGTCACTGTTGTCACTATCCGTCTTAGGACGTCTACATTTGTCTCTGATGCTCTCCGAGGTGAGCTTAGATTTGTCGGTTTTAGTTTCTTTTTGACATAAATCTGCTGGTGGTTTCGTTGTGCGTTGCTCTGTCCTCTGATATTCTGCAGTCTCGAGTGTTTGGCTATGACCTGAGGTAGTATGAGCTGAGCCGTCTTCACGCTGCTCTTTAGTTTTACTTGTGTTTTTGTTCTTTTCTTGGTTATCTGTTGTATCGTCATTATCGTCAGGCCTCTTTGGAGTCTCATCAGAAGTTAGAGGTGCTTCGCAGTTATCGGTTGACGTCTCTGCTTCTAACTCACTGCTGTTGACTTCATCGATCACACACATATCTTCAAAATTGGACTGTGAATTCTCATCATCTAGCGCTGCTTCGTCGGTTGGTGCGAGATCCTTGATGGGTAACACTGGCTTCTTGATTGGGGAAAGGGTTAAATTCAGTGTTTCCATAAAACAGAGTTTTCGGTTTGGACTATTTTCATCCGCAGGGCTTTTCAAAGTTGTTTTCTGCACCTCTGATGGTTTATTTAAAGCTTCTTGTGTCCTCTCCTTTCTCTCCTCACGACAAATATCAGCTTTTTGTTGGTCTGATTCTTTTGATTTCTTGTGTCTTCTGCTCGTTTCTAACAGTGTCCTCCTCTTGTGCTTTCTGTTGACCTCGCCTTCATGTTGTTTATCCTCCTTCCTCTGGTAATCCTTCGATGGTTTGTGTCCTTCTCTTTCTTTAGAAGCATCTTTGCTGTGCTCAGAGTGTCGATTTGAAGAGGACTTTCTCCGATCTTTCGAGTCGGAGCTTTCTGAATGTCTGTGATTACTCTTGTTTTTACTACGATCTCTGTGGCTTTCTTTAGAGTTGTGTTCAGAGTCCGATGTTGATATTTTGGCCTTGGGTTGCTTCTGCTCTCTACTACTTGACTGCTCACTGTGTGAAATCTCTGGCGGAGGGCTTTTGGTCCTCTCTGATCTGTGGTGCCCCTCTTTATCCAGGTGGTTCTTACCTTCACCTGACCTGGAGTCACATCTTCGCTCTGTGTCTTTATGAGACCTGCTTTTCACATGACAGTCTTTGACGGGATCTGGACAACTTCTGCGTCTCCTAGCTGAGTCAGATTTTTCTTCTCTATGCTTGGACTTGCTTTTGTACGATTCCTCATGCTGGGTTGGAGGACAGGTGCTGGATTTGTCATCACCATCCTTTCTTGAGGTGCTTTTAGAGTGACTGTGAGAAGATGCTTTTGAAGCTCTTGTTTCAATGCTTGATCCACTTGGCTGAGAGGTGTTGGTTTCCTTCTTTGAAGGGTGAGAGGAATCTCTCCTGGAGGCAGGATTCTTCTCCCTTGGTGGTGAAGGTGGTAGAGGAGGGGGAAGAGGAGGAGGAGGTGGAGGACAGGATGGAGGAGGAGGAGGTGGAGGACAGGATGGTGGAGGAGGCAGCGGTGGAAGACTGTAGGATGGTGGAGGAGGTTTGGAGGATGGTGGAGGAGGTTTGGAGGATGGTGGAGGTGAGGACTGTCTACTGGAGCTGCTGGTGGAGATCTGTCTCGATGAATCCTGGTCTCGTAGTTTATGATTATACGACTGCTGATTATGGTAATGATGATTAAAACCTCTCCTTGACCTGCAAAAAAACAAAGTTTCAACAACTGAGTAAGTATAAAACCGATCCAGTCAGTAGAAGAAATCATCTGTCTGCAGTTAACAGTTTAGTATCAAAAGAGTTGAGAATGTGAGAGACTGCGTAAGGAAAGAGTTCAACAATTTCAGAATAATATTCCTGAGGTCATTGCAAGTGTTACAGTCCTGATCATTTATTAAAATCCTGTCTGAGGTTAAACCAGCAGCCCTCCCTCTCTGACAGAGGCCCTTCAATTAATTTGAAACAGTTAACACAGGTTTGTATCACACATTAAAACACACTTACATTTGATTCAGCCTCTGAATCTCAGCATCTTTTCTTTTCACCTCTTGTTTGGCTGTCAGTAGCAGTGCAGAGATGTTCTTTTTGAGACGAAAGTTCTCAGTGTTCAAGCCTGTATTCTGTTGAAAGACAGAGAAACTGTTAGAAATTGACATAATTGTGCTTTTGATGCTATCTTCAGTAAGAGAAACTAACAGAGTGTACTAAAGTTGCTCTTCTAAGGCCTGGAAACTTGATTTAAAAGTGGAATATCGATCAGGGCTAGTGTGACACATGAAACAGACCTGCAGCTCCATTTGCTCCAATCTCCTGCGAAGCTCTTTGATTTGATTCTGGGCTGCTTGAAATCTGGACTTCAACTGCGAAAAACAAAACAAACAGAAGGAAAAGGATTGTAAGAAAGTTCCCAGCTGACTTTTTGGTTTTTCTCTTTTTTGATCCTTTTATAAGCAAATGTCGTCTTTAACACTGAATAACAATCTGAGGGTTAAGCAGCTACTTGTTAATTCACACCTGTGGAGTTGAGAGGCGAAACAGTTGTGGCCAATACAAACACATCCAGAGACACCAAGAAACATGTTTTCTATTTTAAAAATTCGGCTGCTGATATTTTATCTAAAGACCGCAGGATTAGTATTACCTTAGGACCTCTGATCATTTGTAATAATTTCAGAGGACGTCTGTGTTTTCAGTCCTGAGAGATTAACCATGACTGTAATTAGTTAAGTTAAAATTTCAGAGCAAATCATTGACCATATTTCAGTACAAACAGAAGCCCTATGATAAAATCAATCCAGTCTGAATCCACATCTCAGAAGTTTGGGGTAAAAATTTTGCTTTACAAGAGGTGTCCTCAGCTTTTTTCTAGTTAAAATTGATGGATATACTGTAAATGAAGGTTTGGAAAGCATTTTAGGTGCAAATTTAACGGGATCCTGTTATTACACAGTAGTGGAATCTCTATGTACTGCAGTGTATATCATCAAGACCAATTTAAATACTATTGGACATCTGGGCTTTTTTAATATCACCAGTTCTTAGCGGGTGACTGCAGAGAGATATGAAACAGGAGAACACCTCAGCATTTTTGATCAGAATTGTGGGCACATTTGAGTAAATTACCAATTTCACTTGTCTTGTGCAAATGTGCCACACTAAACACTGGTGTCAGGAGGTTATTCAGAATTTAGATCCCCATGGGATACGAATCCTGTTCGAAGAGAGCTTAGGGCCCTTATCTTCACACATCAGCTCTGTTAAAGAAAAACCATGCCAACCCTAACCTTTTACCCCTTTATGTTTGCAGCTTTTACACAGACCACAACTATGAAACTAAGCATCCTGCACTACTACAGACAGGAAGAACTTGCAACTTGGTGAGTCACTCACCTCAGAGTATGTTGACTCTCTGTTTTGCTGCTCTTCTGTCACAATTTCTTCATAAAGATCCATCGATTCTTTCAGCTGTGGGGAACTTAGCGGAGACTTTTCTGCAGAAATCAGAAATACAACAATAATCAAAATTTATTCTTTTTTAATTGACAAGTTTGGACAAAGGTGCAGCTCAAGAGTTTTATAAGTACAAGGCAATCGTATTCATACTGTATATTTCTGTAGCAAATCAAGTTAACAACATAAGACAACAAAAGAATCCTTACAAATGTTAGAAAAAACAAACTAGAGGAAAACTTTAAAAAAATCATGACTTTTACCTGTTTTACTGCTAAAGCAGCTCATATCCAGGTCGTCATAGATATCCACAGAGTCCTCATTGATATCAGGAGCAAAAGCTGCAAATACAGTACATGTTTGGTAAATGCATGTCATCAGTTATGCACAACTATAACACAACAATTTACCTCATATAAGTAGAACCCAAAATTATGTCCTAAACAACTGGACTATTCTCTTAGTTAACATTTTCCTTATCGATTTATGGTCTTATTTTCTGATTTGATGTCTTTTTCAACACAGTATCATATTCATTTTGTAAACTCTGGTCCACTTTAGAGTGAAACAGGTAGTACAGTTGGGTATGTATAATATCATGGCTAATGTGTGCTTGATAAGCTGCCATAATATAGAGCTCGAAAGGTTTTGCGTCGAGTATATACCTAAGTATATAACCGAATACTTACTACCAGAAGTATTGTCGGTGTCCATGTTCTCCATTGTTGGGGATACAGCTGTTGTTGTTCGCTATGGAGATCCTGAGAGGAAACACAACTGTTATTAACAGCTGACACAAACCAGAACACACTGAACAGGCTGTAACCTGTAATACCGGACTGACTGATACAATAAAACAAAACTTGCATATATCAGAAGCTTATTTCAAGTTCTTAATCTTGCAGTGCTACATCCAAAACCGCCTCCTACTTTACTAGATGAACTTAGTTTATTACTGAATAAATATTTTGATATGCAAAAGTCATGGCAAATCTCTAAACTGTAAAAGATAAGAATAAACTACTACAAAGGTTGGTATGCTGTTGAGTAAAAAGGCACAATTTTTCCTTTGACGCCTTTTTTATTCAGTTTATTTGCCTTTTGTATTCCTGTCTAACTTTCATTTAATCATGTCACTCTCATTAAGCTGTATTTGTGTTTTGAAGGGTCCTAATCGACAAGTTTGAAACTATATTACTCATGTTTAACATGATACCTACAGAGTAAAGTCAAACTCCTTGTATTCAAAACTCTAGGTTTAAAAGCAATGGTTACTTCTTAACATCATGGTGAAAGAGACAGACTGAGAATGCCTAATTTGTCCCGTTGTATAAGCATTGTCTTCAGCCTGTAGTTTGCAAATTGAGACCCAAGTGTTGTTAGCATGAGAAAAGTGGGGCAGCTTGGCCTCTTTTGCAACAAAGCAAACAGCAAAGAGCAATGGTTTTTGGCAAAAGAGAGACACACAGAAAGGCAATGTTGTATTGCCTTATAGTGCTGTCTTTTACACCAAATAAGAAACATCTGACAATCTGAGCTCAGGCATTAATATTTACCTTGAATCGAGTTGCATATTAAAAAAGGCCATATAAATATACTCAACCGTTTTAGCGACCTTGATGCAGAGAGTAGTTACACTTAATTCAATGTTAAACACATTATAGACTCATGTTATCGCCTTTATTTCAGTACAGCCTCTCTAAAATTGCAATAAAACAAGCTGTAGTGAGTTTAACAGCCGTTGGTTCACACAAATTGACGCTTAATCCCACTATGGTAAAATATGTGAGCTACAACAGTCTTAACAATGAGAGGTACTCAGTCGGTAAGTAAGAGGAGCTAATGCAAAGTCTATGTAACGCAAAGACATTCACAAACATGTTAGTTAGAGAGAGTAATTCAAAATCATTTACTTTACTTGCCTGTTGCTGTGTCCTTTGTTGTTTACAACTGTACTGTCGCGCCAAGACTTCTTCTCACAGGAAGTAACGACATTTTCCCGCGGTCTGTCACTGCTGAGGGAGGGTTGCTGAACCTCCTCGGTTTCAAAAAACACTCTTAAAACAGCAAGAAAACCCTGTAAGAGGTGGATTAAACCTTGACTGGCAGTCTTCTTCAGCTGCCTACATCCTTCGACGGTCAATTGTCTCAAATGAAGGCATTAAACCGCCGTAGATAGCTTAATTTCCCCGAGAGAAAGTTGTTTCAGCAGCGGAGTAGGGTTGATTCCACTAGCTGTACCGGTGTTCTGCAGAATAGTGCTTCCTATCGAGTTGTGTCACAAAGTGGCAACGCGCATGCGCCTGTTAGCACTAACCGCGTTCATAACGATACGTGTCGATGAAATATGTTTGATTTTACATCTTCAGTGCGTATTTTGTGAAAGAATATTGCAACTCTTTTAATAATATGGTGTCATATGAAATTATTATGCGCTATAAATGCATCATTGTGCGCGTATATGTCACCATTCTTCTAAATCTTACATAAAATTGCAAATAAAGCAACATTAATGGTCGCACAGTTTTTATACTGCACTACCACGAGGTTGTAATGATATACACACGTAAATAGCGCCGATAGATAGATTTTTACCATTGATCCGACCTAAAGCGCACCATTTTAACGTGGCAGCGAATCCCTTCATAACACCAAATCCGCGTCGCTCTGCGTATGGATCATCTTTACGCGACGGGGGGAATCCAATGCGACCCGGAAGAATACGCGCTTTACTCACATGTGGACAGGATTTTAACAGCAGTGACGGGAACGTGCTGCCTGTGTGTTGTGGTACAACATTAGGGTACACAAACGCGTGATGAACAATATAGTTTGGTTTAACCTCAGTGAATTAACATATCTTCTTATAGACAGAAGCAGCTTGTTTTTGTCGTAGATCGATCATCCAGAGGCGACCAATGATAGGATGGAAAATTTAGAGCTGAGCCTGTCCTCACTGGGCACCATATCCAGACATGTTGACAAAAGTCACAACCAACTAAGCCAATATATATCCAAACAGGTAAGAGACTCTGATTTCTGGTTTATATCTACCACACTTGTGTATTTTTCATGTTTAATTTCGACATTTTGCGTGTAAATGTGTCATGTGTGCAGCAACATTTCTCAGTCATGTCAAAATCAGGGCTAAAATGACACGAATTTGCAGCATTCAAGCAATTACAACATGAAAATGGCAAAGAAATATTGATTTATATTTCAGTCTCATGTCAACCGGTAAATAAGAGTTGTTTTTAGACTGTAGTGTGGCATTGATTTTTTGATTCTGGATCGGTTTTATCCGATCATTTATCCGATTCTGACTTTGTTTAATAGGGGTAGGAATCACTGATGATATGATATTGTACCATATGATAACAGCAAGTTCTGATGTGATACGGCACTATAGGACACATTGAAATTGGTACATCATGTCACGATTTAATATGTCATGATACAGTAGGATATGATACAACACAATGTAACAGGATACGATGTGTTACTTGGCAATATATGACTTAACAATATGACACAACGTGATATGATACAACACATTACATTACCATACAGTAAATAACTACACAATCAGGGTCCAGATTCCATAACAATAATAATAATAATAATAACTTTATCTGTATTGCACTTCAAAAAAAAACACGTTTACAAAGTGCTTTGACATGTAGTCGTAGAGCACATGGAAAAAGACAAAAACAAAAAGCTCAGTAAAAATATAAGGCCCCTTCATAAGGAACCCAGACAATACAAGAACCATGCAACCTAAAATGAGACCATGAGGACCAAAATAAAAACATAAAATAGGTAAGAAAAAGGAAAATGCAATTAAAAGGGAGGACGAAAGCAGAAACAGGATAGTAAATATAAAAGGCAATATCAACAATGATAATAAATTAACCCACCAAACGCCACATGCAGGCCCTTTTTTTTAATTTAACAGGCCTATGTGCCACATACCCTATAAATGTCAGTTCTCAAAACAGGCACTTAATTAAAAAACTGTTAATTAACAGAAGCTGCCACTTTTTTTTTTTTTTTGTATTGGATATGAATGCACTTGGCTGGTGGATCAAAAAGGTTATTTCACATCCAGGAGAAGTTTGCATACACTATAATACAATACAACACAAGACTATAGGTTTTCTTGGAATATAATGTGATACAGTACAATACCATATCAGTTATATGACGTGATACAATATGACAAGGTAAGGTATAGCAGAGTATGTTACGGTCTATTTAGTTGAATTATAATCACAATCCTGACATAGATGTCAGGATTATTAGAAAGGATTATTTAATAATAATAATAATAATAACAATAATAATAATAATACATTTTATTTGTAAAGCGCTTTTAGAGCTTTAGCTTAATATTGGTGATTGTACTTACTAAATTTAATGCCAAATGTCACTCATAGTGAAGTATTTTTACATTGTGTCCAAAAAAATGAAGGACTTGAGCTCTTTAACTGGCCACATTTTATCAAAGGCTGAAGTTTTAATAAATCATTTGTTCTTTTCAAGCATTTATATCATGTTTATGATGCTCTAGTTATGATGAAGTATGTTATGTTGACTTGTTTAGTAATATATTTGTCTGTTATTGTATTGTTTAATGTGGTATTTGTGATAGACATTATTGAGGTGGAGGCTATAAAGAAGCTGTCTGGATTTTCAGCCTCTTCCTCCTCTGTACACTATCTGTCTTTTTGTATTTTTGTATTTTTTAAGTTATATGTGCAAAATAATTGAAAACAAATCTCCTCTCAGATATGGAGCCAGCAGGACAGGCAGTGTATTCTGGAGTGTTTGGCTCAGCTGCTGCTGGAGAAGGACTACACGCTGCTGATCGCTCGACACCTGCGCCCGCTGGTTCTGGATCTGCTGGAAAGAAATGCAGAGAGGGTCAAAGCTGGTGGACAGATTAACCATGACCTCCACGAGCGGCTGTGCGTGGCCCTCAGCAAACTCCTTGCCATCAGTCCCGATGCACCAGCGTAAGTAGAATAGTTTCTTTCTTAACTCAAACAGACCCTGATTTATTCACATATGGTATCCGTTCACAGGCCTTTAACCTATTTTTTCTTCTGATTTAGTTTTGCAGCGAGGTACTTCAATAACGCCCCACCGGTGTTTCAGAGGCTCTTCTTCACCAGTGAAGAGGCTTCGACCGTTCAGTATGGACCCCGCAGGATGAAGCTGCGGGACCTGATGGGAGCCACGCTTCGTTTCCTCCAGAGTGACTGTGCGAAGTTTAGGATGCTGTGGGATTGGAGTCCCTGCGTGTCACAGCTGCTCACCAGCGACATCATGGTTCGAGGGTATAAAGCGAACTGTTTTTCCCATATGTTCTATATGATTAAGTTTAGCTGCAGAGACAAAAGTTTTACTGCTCAAGGTTTGTCCACTTTTTTATTTTTTTTCACAACTTAATGCCTAACATTTGAAATATTCTGTATTTTCTCATTTTACCTCTAACAGGTACACTGCCCAGTGTCTAGCTCTGGTCTCTCACATGACTGATAATCAAAAAACCATCTTTCTAAGAAAGGTGCTCACAAATGACGAGATCCTGCACATGAAAATCAAGTATGTGCTTTAGATTTTCGCTGTTTTGTTTCTCTTGTGGTGATATTACAGATGTTTTCTGATTAACACACTACTCTCTGAACTTTTCCGTCATGGCACAAAAACAACACATCTCAAGTATTTTTCAAAAACCACAGGATTGAACATTTTCTCTTTAATTATTCCTGTTTTGTTGATGTTCAGAGCTTTGGAGGAAACGCAGCAGCTGGAGACAGAGAAAGCCCTGGTGTTAGCCAATCAGGGCTCAGTGATGTGGCGTCAGGAGAAGGCGAATAAGTTCACACGGGGTCAGGTGGTGTCAGAGGACCTGTCCCAGAACGTTGTAGCTGTCTGTGGAGTAGTCCTACCCAGGATAGTTCCCAGAACACCAAAACCGAACACTGAACAGGTGAGTGTATGTGCTTTTGTTTGTCTCATGAAATACTCTCTGCTGATCATCCTGTCCTGATGCTGAGCTCTGTTTGTAGGTGAACCCAAAGGATCTGGTTCTGGTGGACTCTACGTGTCGTAATCTGAGGAGGCTGGCGCTGGCTGTGGCATCTCAGAAACCCGTGTTGCTCGAGGGTCCTATTGGATGTGGTAAAACTGCTCTGGTAGAGTTCATGGCTGCTGTGACGGGGCACACAAAGGCTTCAGAGATCCTCAAAGTCCAACTCGGCGATCAAACTGACAGCAAGGTAAGTGGCACTCAAACAGAAATTACCCATACATCTTATGTACTTAACCTCTTTTACAGTTAATAGAGGTTGCAAAAGACTGACAGTGTTTTGTTCATGCTGCAGATGCTGCTGGGAATGTACCGTTGCACCGATATACCGGGGAAGTTTGTGTGGCAGCCGGGGACTTTGACACAAGCTGTGACTACGGGCCAGTGGATCCTCCTGGAAGACATCGACCACGCTCCTCTAGATGTGGTCAGTTTAAACTCAATTAAAAAAGCCAAACAGACTCTGACCTTCTCTTCCTGTCAGACCCATTTATAGGACATGTACCATCAGAGCAGGACTGAGTGTTTTTTTTTTTGTTTCAGATATCCGTGCTCCTCCCTCTGATGGAGAATAAAAAGCTGATGATTCCAGGACGAGAAGACTGCATCGATGTTGCACCTGGATTTCAGTTCTTTGCAACAAGAAGGTAAAGCAAATAACTACAGGCTCTAAATGTCCTCTAGATGTGGCTCCAGCTATGGTATATCCATTGATGATGTATCTCCAAATGTGCTCATGAACAGGGAATTTGTTTTCATTTCACCCTTGTTCATAAAGTCAAAAGTTTGTGTGATTTAAAAAGGTAGCCAACACAGGTTGACTGTATCAGATGTTTAGGATAGAGAACAAATGTGGTCATAACTGTTGAATTGCTTTTATGAGGAGGTATATAAGTTCCTGTGTTTCTGCTCGGTTGTTGCAGGATGTACTACAGTGGAGGTAGTTGGCATAAACCACAAAACTCTCACGCAGCACTCCTCGATAAATACTGGACCAAACTTCAGATGGGAAACATGACCCGAGAGGAGCTGAAGGCGGTGAGTGCCGTTCACATGCAAAATCACATTGTAATCACAAGATGGCATTTTCCATCTACCCTTTTTCCCCTCATAAAAACCATAAAAACAACTAAGCTCTGCACTGAGACCAATTTAGAAACAGCAAGACAAAATAACATATTTACCTCTTTCTACCAAATCTGTGCTTGTAGGTGCTCGTCAGCAGGTATCCTCGTCTGACGATGGTGTCAGACCGTCTCCTCGATATTTACTGTCAGCTGACCGGAGAGAGACACTCTGCCGTAGTCACAAGCAGCCTTCAACACTCTGAGGACACCCAGCAGAACAAGTCTGAGGACAAAAACACACCGCTGGAAGGGAGAGCTCTGTCTCTGAGGTGAGGCCCAGATCAGCACTTTCACTACTCTCCTCATTCTTAAAGCAGCATGTGAGACAGTAATCATCCAGTCTCAATAATCATATTTTTATGATCGTGGGGAGCCATAATCGTAACTGAAATAAAAATCTGATGATTCCCCCAGCTCTACTTTGGATTTAGACATCTTGAGTCCTAAGAGACGAAAAGAAACAAGCTGTGACTCTTACTTGTAATCCAGGGCGGAAAGCTCCAAAATATAATCGATGAAAAATGAATCAACTTATCAATGCACTGCTACTCTTATACATTTAGGTCCCCATCTATCTTCATGTTAGCAGATTTGGCAGCTCTGAGATGAAAGTGCACTGTGTTCAGCAGACATTTGAGATGCTGACAGCTTCATAATCAGAAGCAAAACACGAGCAAACTGCACCCGGCTGCAGAACTTCATGTTTACAATCTTGAACAGTTCAGCCTATGAATGAGAAGTTTTGTAGTTAATTGATGTTTTTACTGGTTATCTTCCATGCTGGTCATATGATTTTATCCCTCTCACACTGTTGAGATAGAAAGGACATTTATATGATCTTGGTGTGCACATTATATTCAATATGCGTCTGGCTTATTTGCTTAATGACCCCATAACAGCAGCCAAACCTCAAACCTTCATCCCCTCAGCTTCATATCTGTCATATTCTTATAGATCTAAACTCTCAGCCCGTCTGCAGCGACAGCCTTCATGATTTTAATGAGCTTTCCACTCACTGCTGCTGGGTTCGATTAGATATTGATCAGACTGTCCTCTGGATGAAAGGCTAAAATAACAGATTGTACTGGCCATACTGGGACATTCCCATCATATAGGGAGTTACTAAACACTGTCTCACTCAGAGACAGAACTTTTCTGAACTGAACTTTTTGTACACTTTGTGTGGATATGACCGATCGTGCGATTGTGATATAAAATCAATATGTTATAGTTTCCATGCTGCTCTTTGTGGATCAATGTCATTAACTTTATAGCTCGGCCTGTGATGCTCATGTGTATTGATCAGGTTCATTGGAGTTCATCCTATAGAAAAGATACATTAGCTTTATGTTCTTGATCAAGCTTATTCCTGTTTACTTAATGTTCCACACATTGGATGGGCATTTAAAGTTTTGGGTTAAATGTGGGTCAAATCCAACTTTCTCTGATAAGATGGTGATATGTCTCTGAATGAAACAGCTCGTTTTTTTGTTTGTTTGTTTATTTTTTGCACGGGCAGGACCAAAACCTCAGAGCACTTCTCACCAGGGTTTGCTGTTGCTAGGTTACAGCCATTGCCCTGCAGCAGTTATGTCTGTGTTAAAGTGCTCTGTATGCTTCATAATTGATTTTATTCTGTGGCATTTTATGAAGAAAACTCTAATTACAGTGAACATAGATCATGTCATTACGATTGCAGCGGCTCTAGACTTGAACCAAACCAAAATCAACACAATCAAATGTTTCTCACTGTAACTTTAAAGTCAATTCAAACCTATTTTATTTCCTCTTTCTGTCTTCTTTGTGTTTTTAAAGGGACTTATTGAAATGGTGCGAGCGGATCAGCGTTAACTTTGACAGCACCTCACCAACAACAGCACAACACGTCTTCCAAGAGGTCAGTGGGTTTGATGTTTGAAAACAGACAAATAGATGTGTACCGTTTCCCATGGTTGTATGAAAATAGCATATATTGATTTATTTTACTGCTTAGCGATATTCAGCTCTCATGTCTTAGTGTATTGTGTATTAATTTTCATTCGTGTTTATTCCCACCAGGCACTCGACTGCTTCACAGCCATGCTGTCTCGTCCTGAGAGTAGATTACGAATGGCAGAAATCATTGGAAGCAAACTCAACATCTCAAAAGAAAAGGTCAGTAACTAGATTTACATTTTGTGTTTTTGTAAAGTACCCCTCAACAACACTGAATGATTGGATAATTAGGAAAACTGATTTTTGAGATTTATAAAATTCTACACATGGAACAGGAATTTGACTGTTTTCAGACTTTGGTTGTAAGTTTGCACAATTTTGGATCATGATATTCTTTGCACTTCTTTGCACTTCTAAGAGTTGAGTTTTTGCAGTGTTTGTTGCAGTCACAGACATCATCATTGTATGATATCGATCTAACCTCCGTCTCCCTCAGGCGCAGCACTTCTGTCAGCGGTACCAGCCTGGCATCGCGCTGAGTGAGCTGGAGGTCTCGGTGGGCAGAGTGGTCCTGATTCGAAAGCAGACTGAAGCCGTGCAGCTGAGTGTGTAAGTGGGACATCCTGCTCGCTCTGACCTCTGCTTAAACCGCATATACATCATTAGTGCCGTTATTGCAGTGCCAATATATTTACCTACTGATAGAAACAAACAGACTTCTGCTGGGAAACCGAATGAAGGAAAATTGATTTTAAACACATTATGGTAAACAACATGATCTGATGTCTGTGTTTAGATTAGAAGGTTGGGATGAGGTTGCACGCAAACCCCTGACATTGGTATGTGAATTTGTGTGTGTGTGTGTGTGTGAATTATGTACATGGCCAAAATAATAACCCCTAATATTAAAAAACTGAGCAAAATTGCTGTATTTGACCAGGATTTTCTGTCACGTTTAACCAAGAAATGATTGCAATCCTCCTCAACATGCACACCCTGAAGTTGACACTGCTTTGTGGTCTGTTTGACTCTAAATGGGACCATAGTTAACCAAATACACACCATGCTGTGTTGAAATAGACGTGACAGTAGAGATTATGATCTCATGCTCATCAGGAAAATGTTAACTGATGGCCCAAGAGAAGAAGGACCATTGTGTCATAGACCTCTACACAATCAAGAGAAGTTTACAAAGAATGGATAGTGGCTGATAGAGCAGCAAGAAGAAGAAAATGATGCTGAAGTCTGGGTACTCAGTCTCAATTCACAGAGTATTTTGCCCTTATAACAAAATGCAAACGTGCCCAAAAAGTTCTGCATTTTTGTGAAGTTTGCTCTTGTTTTGTGGTTAATTGTGAGCTGTTAGCATCCTCACCCTCTTTTGTGCACCCTCATCCTCCTGCTATATGTTATCAGAATGGTTATTATGGGCCACGTATTTACCGTGCTGTGAGTTACGCTGCGATTCACATCCCTGATATATAATTTTATGCTGTCTTTATTAGAAATATCCACACATTTACTTTTGATGTGTTAAATATTTTCAGCAGGAGAGCTACTATTTGTCTGATATTTTCTGAGAATACCCTCCAAATATTCCCGAAGGTGGTTGTGCATTAAAACTGCAGTAAACTGCCAACTGGAAAACTCTATTTCCAAAGGATAGTCAAATTGAAAACAATCATTATTTAATATGTCCCTGTGAACAGAGAGAATCAGACGTTTGCTGCCACTCGTCCCTCTGCAGTGCTGCTGGAGCAGCTGGCAGTGTGTGTGGCTAAAGGAGAGCCGGTTCTCCTGGTGGGAGAGACCGGAACCGGAAAAACTTCCACTGTACAACACCTGGCCAGAGTCACAGGTGAGATCAGGAGCTGACAGCCAGTTTATTTCCTCAACTCTACTTCAGTTAAACCTAATGAATAAAATGTTTTATAAGGAGATGTTTGTGAATGACTGCACTTCAATTCAGTGATTCCTCATTTGTCAAAATCCAGGACACCGGTTGCGGGTTGTGAACATGAATCAGCAAAGTGACACTGCAGATCTGCTCGGAGGGTGAGTGATGATGAACACGTATTACCTCACTGGCATTACAGAGTATGTTCGATACTTTCCTCTAGTCTTTAAAAAGTGCTAATTCTGTAAAAATACATTATCAGAATTGAACTGTGGGTTGAAAACTTAAACAAGAATGTCAAACAGTCCAAAGCGTTAGAGAGAGCAGTTGCTGGCAATTAAATCGCCAATTTTCTTATCACGTTCTTTAATTCGGAATATGTGCAACCAGTGAGGCGGATGAAATATGCAAAACTGCATCTTCCATGTTTAATTCTGCAAAATAATCAGCATCTTACTGCTGGTACATGTACAAGAATATAGCAAGGAACACAAACCACTGCATCTGCAGTTAAACCCTCATGTCTCATTAATGGTAAGATACTATTCTAGGCCCAAAAGTATAAAAAAGTTCTTGACAAGGAAATAAGACGACACTTATCACATCTTATTTCCAATCTTTATATGTTAATCAAACTATATATATTATATATCTTTATTTATTTGCACTGACATGAAAGATGAGACAGTCCAACACAATTGGACAGTATTTCTTTTACAGTAGTGGGAGAAAAAAATAGATTCAAATAAGTATCGCAATTTTTTGTTTTACAATTTTTAAATTGATTTTTTTGTTCAAAAATCGTTTTTTTTTTTTTTTCAAATTTAAGAATAAATCTTAAAAACTGACATGTGATGTGTATTTTTTGGGGAAAAGTGGTTCCTGGAATAGTCAGTAGACAGTCATAAGCATTTAACTGTTTCACTGGTGTTAAAAATGCAGACTAAAAATCGAGAAAATCAACAATATCATAGAATCGCAATTTAAATCTAATCGGCATCCCAAAAAATTGTAGAAGAATCATGAGAAAAGCATATCGTTCCAGCCTTTGTGTTACTTTGAGTCATTTTTGATTTTGATTTTTTTTTTTTTTAACTTGGAATTATTTTTTCCAAAACCATTGATGAAGAGCCCTAAAGTTAACGGGCAACTACAAATCATTAAAAGCAAACAAAATTAATCCACATGGAAACAGAGAAGTTCAGATGAATAAAAACAGCAAACCAAATAGATCGCACATGACCAGTGATGCATTTTTTGAGTACAGCTTTGATGAATAAATGGTTAAGACTCGAGTTTCACAAACGTGATCAACTGTCTTTATGCAGGTACAAGCCGGTGGATCATAAACAGATTCTTCTTCCTCTGCGTGAGGCCTTCGAGGACCTGTTCTCCCAAACATACTCCAGGAAGCAAAACCTGACCTTCCTGGGTCATGTGCAGACCTGTTTCAGGGGAAAACGCTGGCAGGATCTGCTCAAACTCATGGACCACGTCTGCAAGTCTGCCCTGACCACAGAGCTGCAGGATCAATCCGATGGTAGGTCAACAAATGAGCAGGAATCAATGACAGTTTGCTTGCTTGATGCTTCAGTGCAATAAAAGTCTTGTGTGTTTTGGTCGTGCAGGTGACCTGCTGCAGGAGAAGTGGGAGGCACTGGCTCTCAGGCTGAGTCAGACCCAGCAGCAGATCCGAGCCTGTGAGACAGCCATGGTCTTTGCCTTTGTGGAGGTAGGGACCTTATAGACCTAAATGCCACTTGACCTTCATACTAAGTTTCCTCTTTCATGCATGAGCTGAGGGTTTCAGTGGCTCAGTTCTGACCTGTGTGTGTCTCCTCTGTAGGGGACTTTGGCTCAGGCGGTGAAGAAGGGTCAGTGGATCCTGCTGGATGAGATCAACCTGGCAGCAGCTGAGACTCTGGAGTGTTTGAGTGGACTGTTGGAGGGCAGCGCTGGATCTCTGGTTCTTCTAGACCGAGGAGACACTGGTGAGGATGGGTTTTATCCGTACAGTGGGTTTAGATCAGATCTGAATCCAGAACCTGCAATCAGACTGATGATGTGAGATTTCCAGAGGACCAAACTAAACTTGCCTGAAGCTTTTTCATTAGTTTATTAAGTCTTCCTGGAGTTTTAAAGATATTTTCTTGTATTTTTGTGTTTTTTATTCATTATAGAGCCACTGGTACGACACCCAGACTTCCGACTCTTTGCCTGCATGAACCCAGCAACCGATGTGGGCAAGAGGAACCTGCCTCTAGGCCTGAGGAACAGGTAAGAATCCAAAAGTTAAATTTAAGTCATTACTTTGTTTCTTCATTGGGTCACTACCAGATTTTCTAGCTTGGTGATGACTCAAATAAAAAGATTTCACAAAATATAAAAAGTTAGATGAGTGTGTGTTTGTATGTGTGTTACAGGTTCACCGAGCTGTATGTGGAGGAGCTTGAGAATGAGGGAGACCTGCGGATTCTGGTCTCAGACTACCTGAAGAGTATGAATTCTCCCAGGAACGTCGTCAGCGGCATCATAAGGTCAGTTTGAGTAACATCACTGTAGCTTAAGTCAGTTTGCCTCTGTTTAGTGCAGTTTGTAAGAGCAGGGATGTTTGTAACAATACATGAATATCATGTTTATTATGCTATAGATTCTTAAGAGTATATACATAATTATTCCCTTGCAAATCATCCAAAAAGCCTAATTGTGATGTGAAAGATTTTTGTGAATCAACATCTTTCCCTCTGCACGACGACTGCTGATAAAATCAGTGTGGCGTGCAGCCAAAGCCACTTCAGCTGAATCGGTCGTGATGAAGTCTCCTGAAGCTCTGGGGCTTCCTTTTAATATGCGCTGAAAAAGCTTTATACTCTTCAAGCTTCAAAATTTGCATCATAGTTGTGCCTTAACACATAACCGTCTAGGGAGCCTGTTTGTTTTGACTTAAAACCATCCACCTACCCTTGTTCAGCTGTGCTGCATGAAGTCTTGAGTGTGGGTGTGTTGCAATTAAATTTTAAATTAGTTTTTGTATTTGCAGTTATAAAACATAAGCAGTTGAATGAGCAGCTTGTTTTATTTCTTTTTTTTAACAATCACACAATTTTCAGACGAGATTATCTGAACTATCAAAAAAGTTTTGGAGCTCTTGGACAGTCAGTGCTTTACATGGTATTGGTCACGTGGCATTTCGTCTTTGACACCTTATTATGAAGCGTTGTGATTTACTGAAGCAATATAATTATGAGAGCTTAGACTGTCTCCCTATAAGTAACAGGTGAATTATATGTATATTAAAGGGGAAAACGTTGTGTTCATCAGTATCAATAACAGTATCAGCCAAAATAAGTTTGAAAAGATCACGATTTTGGACATTTGCAAAAATCAATCTTCAAACATCTCACATATTATGGTATAAAAACCACTCTTTTTTTAATGAAGCTGAAACATTTGTGTTTGTGTGCAGTTTTTACCTGGCGGTACGAAAAGAGGCAAACTCACGCCTGGTGGACGGGACTGGCCACAGACCCCACTACAGTCTGCGGACTCTGTGCAGGGCTCTGAAGTACGTGGCAGGGAACCCCTGCAACAGTGTGCAGCGCTCACTCTACGAGGTACAAGACTGGAGGGAAATGATTTGCTTAAAGGGTCATTTCACTCAAACTCAAATGAATAGCTGTTTCTTTTAACTTCACCTGCATGTGTTTTGGATAAACAATCTTCAATTCATGGCTGCAGGGTTTCTGTCTGAGCTTCCTGACTCAGCTGGACAGAAGCTCCCACCCTCTGGTGCAGAAGCTGGTGTGTCAGCACATCCTGATGGGAAACACTAAATGTCTCAAACAAGTAAGAGTCAACCCCTACCATCAATCTTTACACACAAGAACTTATTTATGAGTAAATATTGTCACCTTTTGTTGTGTGTCCTTCAGCCCATCCCTGCACCCTCAGACCAGCCTTGTGTGGAGATAGAGGGATACTGGGTGTCTCAGGGGGAGATGGAGCCGGCTCTTGACCCGAGCTACATCCTCACAGCCTCGGTCAAACTGAACCTCCGCGACCTCGCCAGAGTGGTGTCTGCAGGGTAGGAACACAGCCTGACCCCCTGCCCGGGTTTTCAAATCAATGGATTCATCGATTTCTGTCCAGACGAACATTTTGGCAGAGCTCGATCTGGCACTTTAGGAAAGTTATGTCAGAGTGCACCGGGACAAAAGTTTGCCTGGTTGAAACCTCTGCAGGGAGTGACCTTATGGGCTGGAATTGATTCCATAGACAGAGCATTAGTGAGGTCTGTCTCTGCCATTGGCTGATCAGGCCTGGTTCACTATCGGGGTTACTGTTCGTCCAAAAGGTGCTGGTAGGGCAGAGGTCTTGACTCTGTGCGGGTCACTGTGGGGTCGTTGTTGATTTTTATGGCTAACAGGATTATAAACAAAGAAAATCTGCTCTCCTGTGAGTCCCATCACTCTCTTCATGTTTAATCTTTGCAGGACTCACCCGGTGCTGATCCAGGGGGAGACGTCTGTGGGGAAGACCAGCCTGATCCGCTGGCTGGCTGCAGCCACAGGAAACCAGTGTGTGAGGATCAACAACCACGAGCACACCGACATCCAGGAGTACATTGGCTGCTACTCGTCTGACGACAGGGGAAAGCTGATCTTCAAAGAGGGTACGAGCACCTGCGATATCTCCAGTCCCCTTTCAGAGCTCTAGCTCCTCTTCAGGCTAACATGTCTCCTGTTTGTGTTTCTGTCTCAGGTGTTCTGATCGACGCCATGAGGAAAGGCTACTGGATCATCCTGGATGAGCTGAACCTCGCCCCCACCGACGTCCTGGAGGCCTTGAACAGACTGCTGGATGACAACAGGGAGCTCTTTGTAGCGGAGACGCAAGAAGTCATCAAGGCTCATCCCAGATTCATGCTGTTCGCTACCCAGAATCCTCCTGGTCTTTATGGTGGCAGAAAGGTAAGCCATTCATCACAGTCCTAAAATTCATATTTATTAATTAGAGATTAAATTTGCATCTGTGATCCTTGTCTGAAGATCTGAACACTTCTGTAGATTCTAGCTCTACACATGACTAATAATGTTTTTAAGTTAACTAGATCTTCCAGTTTCAATACCAGAAAATACACATTAACTGCAGCCTCCACATTGAGCCAAGGAGTTATTAACTTTTTGTAATAATACCATTATTATTTTAATTTTATCTACAAATAAAACAGAGTACTAGAGAAATAAAAAGTGATTTTAACCCTCTTTTCTCCAGGTCCTCTCTCGGGCTTTCAGGAACCGCTTTGTGGAGCTTCACTTCGACGAGCTGCCGAGTGGAGAGCTGGAGACCATCCTCCATCAGAGGTGCAGCCTGCCTCCATCCTACTGCAGCAAGCTGGTCAAAGTCATGCAAGACCTGCAGGTACCTGAACACGCCCATATCTTAGGAAACAAATGTTACCCCTGGTGTCTTTATCCCCTCATTTCTTTTTTTTAACTTGATAGAGCTGGAACTGTTTTTGTCTCTGGTTGGTTAGCTCCCATGTAAGGCTCTTTGGACTACATGATAGCTTAAAAAGGCTCTTAAAACATTGATTTATTCATTCATTCAAAACTTTATTTCTTCTTGAAAGGACATTGAGGTTTCCCCCATCCACACAAAGAAGAAAAGATACCATTATTGTAGATACTGAAGAGTATGGGGCCCTAAAATTGATCCCTGTGGCACTCCTTTATCAATAAACTGTAAAGTGTGTTCATGTCCTCCTGCTTTTTTTGTATTCAAATAACTATTTAAGTTGATTTTAACTGTTTGTTTCTCCCTCCAGTCTTTGCGAAGGGGGTCGTCTGTGTTTGCAGGGAAACACGGCTTCATCACCCTCAGAGATCTGTTTCGCTGGGCAGACCGATACAGACTAGAGCAGCAGACAGAGGAGTCTCAGGACTGGCTGCAGCACTTGGCAGATGATGGTAAGACTCCTCAGGGGCTTCTGTTAAACAACCAGCTGACCCAACGTGTCTTATAAAAACCTGAAGATAAAGCTTGTTTCCTCTTCATCAGGGTACATGCTGCTGGCAGGACGAGTGAGGAAACCCGAGGAAGAGTCCGTCATCTTGTCCATCCTGCAGAAACACTTCAAACGGACGGTGAACCCTGAAAACCTGTTCTCTAAGAAACAGGTCAACAGCCAGTTCAGTGAGTCAAACACAACCAGACTTCTCACGCTGATCCAAGACTGTACCGTCCAGCTCGTCTAATGAACACAGTGTCATGGTGTGTGATTTTTAAAAAAAGGTATTTGTCCACAGGTCCTTTCATTGACAGCATCGCTGGAGTGCCAGTGGAGTTTCGACACGTGGTGTGGACTCACAGCATGAGGAGGCTCGCTGTTCTGGTGGGACGGGCGTTGAGATTTGGAGAGTCAGTTCTCCTCGTAGGAGACACCGGGTGAGACACACCTCCACTTCTAGACCTTTACTCTGTCTTATTTATATATTTAAACCCTTCTTAACAGTCTGACAGCCAGGCTTTCTTTATGTAAATGTTTTAACTAGATTCTTTCACAGATTTTTTATTTATATTTTTATAGACCTCAAAGAAGAGTGTCTGGTCTTAGATTCAGGTATTTCATTTTATCATGCTGACCTTTTATTTCTTCACCAGATGCGGTAAGACGACTATCTGCCAGCTGTTCGCAGCTTTGGCAGGGCAGAAGTTTTTCTCTGTGAACTGTCACCTCCACATGGAGACGTCGGACTTCCTAGGAGGCCTGCGACCCGTCAGACACACACAGGTACAGAGGGGGGAAAAAAAACACAGTGAAAAAGAAAAACTTTTATGTAATTATCGTCTAAGTAACTTCAAAATGTTGTGTCTGTTTTTGTAGACGAGTGGCGAGGACAGCAGGCTGTTTCAGTGGCATGATGGTCCTTTGGTTTTGGCCATGAAGGAGGGAGGAGTGTTCCTCATGGATGAGATCTCTCTGGCAGACGACTCAGTGCTGGAGAGACTGAACAGGTAGAACGAAACACACATGAATCCTTTAAGTACATAAAAACTATCCCTTTGTTTTTAACAACCAGTTAGCTCATACTAATCTAGATGAAACTTCGGATTAATATCTTTTTAATTTTAATCATTTGAGTCAACATCTCAAGTTTAGGATTTCCTCCTTAAGTTGAACATGAGGTGCTGGCTCATCTACAGCAGGTAGAAAACAGTAACAGACTAAGGGTGGCCTTTGAGAGCGTGTTGTGTTTGTTTTCAGTGTTTTGGAGACAGAGAAGTCCCTGGTGCTGGCAGAGAAGGGCAGCGGTGACGATGACGACGTCGAGCTGATCAGAGCAGCTGAGAGTTTCCGTCTGGTTGCCACCATGAACCCCGGTGGAGACTTTGGCAAGAAGGAGGTACATGCAAAAAAGATTTTCATTGTGTTGTCTTAATTGATGGAAAACATTCATGATTTGTTGGACATGATTAAAGTGTTAGCTGCATGGAAACAGTCTGATTTTTGTACCCCTCTGCTTTCCCACAGCTCTCTCCTGCCCTCAGGAATCGTTTCACAGAGATCTGGTGTCCTCAGAGTAACAGCCGCGGTGATTTGGTTCAGATCATCCAGCATAACCTGCGCACAGGCCTCTCATTAGACGGTAGGATGCATGATGGTATGAGATGATTTTACAAAACACAAACAGCTCCTTCACCACTCCCTTTAAAGACACCAAACTCTATATTTTTGGGTGCAGAAAACAGGAGTTATTGGTCATTCCCACCTTGATTGGTTAGTTAGGTTTTTATGATACCATCCATGACATGAACTTAGTCTTGGTCCTGTTCCTTAAACTAAACATTTAAAACACCAAAGTCCCACAATAACATAAATAAACCCTAATTTTAATGAATTGAATTTGTCATTTGTGTATCTCTATACTGTGCGGATGAACGGCTGCTCTGTTATGTGTGGTGAGAAAGTGTTGAAGTGTACTTCCCATTCTCTAACACAACCAGAGATCACTTATAATATCAGAAATTATACTTTACAGAACATGGCAGCACCTCTGTCCTGTTTGATTGGTTTTTATTAGACTGGAGTAGATTTGATAAGGATTCAACACGATATTTTGAGACGGTAGCTGTAAATAACGAGGTTAACTTGTTATTTTTGTCAAAGAAGGGATGGCTTTAAAGAGTAGAGTCATGAAATGTGTTTTTTGTTGTTGTTGTTGAAAAAAGCATCTCTATTATTAGAAGAACATCTAACTACAAATGTCCCTCTCATTAACGCTTTACCTGCTCTGCCCTGACTGCTGAAAACACAAAGTAACAAATACTTAAGTGTTATTGATAATGTTTGTTTGGTATGAATCTCAGGTGGAGACATCCCTGAGCTGATGCTGGACTTCATCGAGTGGCTGACCCAGCAAGACTTCGGCCGGCGCTGCATCCTGAGCGTCAGGGACATCCTGTCCTGGGTGAACTTCATGAACACGGTGTGCGAGCGAGACGAGGACGGTTTCATGACCATGGGAGCTCTGGAGGAGGAGGAGGAAGCAGAGTGGGACCTCAGACTGGACACGGTCACGGCCTTCATCCATGCTGCGTGTTTGGTTTACATAGACGGCATCGGGTCTGGTGAGCTGATGGGTTAGATGTAATTTGAAGTGAATTGCTGTCCAGGAAAGTTTTAAATAAATATAACATGAGACTCCTTTTCTTGCAGGAACCACAGTATCGTGTGCAGACAGCGCCCTCTTGGCACGTCGGCTGTGTTTGAACTTCCTGCAGCAGCGTCTGAGTAAGATGACCAAACTGGATCAGGAGATGCTGGACGCCCTGAGAGTCTATGACAGCAGCCTCTCGAGGGAACCGCAGTGGGGGGAAGACTTCTTTGGCATTGACCCGTTTTACATTGCATTAGGTATCAAATTACAACCTTTTTATGATTGTAGTGCCTTTGAGGAGTGGAAGAGTGACTAAAAACAGTCTCAGTCTTAAATTAATCAGCTCTTCGCCGTCTGTTTATCCTTCCAGGGCCTCAGTCAGAATCCCGTAACCTGTCAGACTACGCCATCGCGGCAGGCACCACCGCAGTGAACGCTCAGAGGCTTCTGCGGGCGCTAAAGCTGCAGAGGCCGGTGCTGCTGGAGGGTTCACCTGGTGTGGGGAAAACCAGTCTGGTGGCAGCGTTGGCTAAAGCCTCGGGGAACCAGCTGGTCAGAATCAACCTGTCAGAGCAGACGGTGAGCACCTCTTTAAACACTCAGAAGCTTCCCGCTGTGATTCCAGTGAACTCCAAACAGTCCAAAACACTTAAACTAATACTTCTCATTTTCATGACAGGATGTTACAGATCTATTCGGGACAGATCTCCCTGTGGAAGGAGGGAAAGGAGGAGAGTTTGCTTGGAGAGATGGACCACTGTTGGCTGCTCTGAAGGCAGGGCACTGGGTTGTCCTGGATGAGGTAAAGACAACTTCCTGTGAACGGTTTACTTCCTGTTTTCCTAAATCTTCATGTAACAAATAATAATCTTAAACTTACCTGTTTCTCCCGCTGACAGCTGAACCTGGCCTCTCAGTCGGTGTTGGAGGGTCTGAACGCCTGTTTTGACCACAGAGCAGAGATCTACATCCCTGAACTGGGAATGAGTTTCCAGGTTCAACATGAGAAAACAAAGATCTTCGGCTGTCAGAATCCTTTCACTCAAGGCGGAGGACGGAAAGGGCTCCCCAAATCCTTCCTCAACAGATTCACTCAGGTAAGAAACAATCTCAAGGAGAAAAACTCAAATGTTTAGATGCCGGTATGAACAAGATGTGCTCAGAGATTTTAGGTTTTGAAAGCTCCATGAAATGAAAAACAAGATTTAGATTTTAGCCGTTCTCGAGCCTGGCAGCCCTGAGACTACACAACCTCTGAATTGGCCCTCTGATTATGCAATAGGAGTGATTTGCAATAGCATGTATGCAAAAGCAACTCTCTCCTGCCGTCACTCACTGTCTTTGTTTTGGTGTTTGGTGATCTGAATTGTTTTCTTTGTTCATTATGTAACAAAAAGTAAAATTACTCTTTTAGTGTGATTTAAAACAGTGGTGCAGTGGTGCTATCCAACTTGTTGAGGCCATAATGATTATTATAGCAACTAAGAAACTAAAAAAAAAGGAATTTTGTAACAACCTGCAAAATTCACAAGATTCTGAAAATAATCCTCACATTTCTCTCTTTTTTTTAACCACTAAAAAGATCAGACATAAACTGTAGCATCAGATATTTTTCCTCAGCTTCACTCATCTATGATAGAGTTTAGTTGTCCATATCCTCTCTGACTCTCTCTCTCTCTTTCAGGTGTTTGTTGACCAGCTCACCAGTAAAGACATGGAGTTCATCGGAGACTCCGTTTTTCCCTCCATCGATGACGAAATCGTCGCTAAGATGGTTCAGTTCAGTAACAGAGTGAGTTCATCTCCTTTTATGTCTCTTTGATTGGCTGATAGATTAGAGAGTTAAACCTTCAATTTCTTCACCAGCTGGTCCAGGAGGTGTGTGTGGAGCGGCGGTGGGGTCAGAGAGGAAGCCCCTGGGAGTTCAACCTGAGGGACATGTTTCGCTGGTGTCAGCTGATGCAGGCCGACCAATCCCCGGGGTTCTTCAACCCAGGTCAGCATGTGGCCTTAGTGTATGCTGACAGGATGAGGACAGAGGCTGACAAGGCTCAGGTACACATCTAAAAATTCCTACTAATCATTAATAAGAAAGAAGGGGTTTATTGATCTCCATAGACATTGTTCCCTTTTTAGATCTAGTGGGTGGAAAGACTTAATGATAATAATAATAATAATAATAAAAATAATAATGATGATGATAATGCTGATAATGATAATAAAGTGGATGATGATGATAATGATGATAATGATAATAATAATATTGAAAATGATCATGATGATGATAATAATAATGATAAAAATGATTATAATGATAATGATAATAATAATAAAAATAATAACGATAATAATGATAATGATAATAATAATAAAAATAATGAGAATTATAATTATAATGATAATAATGAAAATGATGATGATGATAATAATGATAATAATGATGATGATAATGATGATAATGCTGATGATGATAATAATGATGATAATAATGCTGATGATGATAATAAAGATAATGATGATGATGATGATAATGATGATGATGATGATGATGATAATGATAATAATATTGAAAATAATGATGATGATGATAATATTGAAAATGATGATGATGATAATGATGATGATAAAAATGATAATAATTATGGTAATGATAAATAATAATAATACATTTTATTTGTTTGGGCACCTTTAAAGGCACTCAAGGCCGCCTTACAGTATAGATAAAACACAATACAGAGCATTACACAATGTGTTTAATAAAAATTTAAATAAGATTAAAAGTACATTAAAACCAAATACAATAGAATACATTAAAACATTATATAAAATAATAAAATAAATTAGAATAAAGGAGGGGAGACAGTAACGATACAGTAATAATACTCGACCTCTTGTCTCCTCAGGTGTTGTCTGTGTTCAGGAAGGTGTTCGGGGAGGACTTTGAGCCTTACAGTGGGTCCAGAGAGTTTCACGTTACTCCACTCAACCTGCAGGTTTGTGGAAAAAAAAATCTAGTAATCCTGTTTTTTTTTTCTAATTTTGCCCTGTAACTGTTTGAGAACTGCAGAGACAAATTTCAGGATTTCTTCTCTCCTATAGGTGGGCTTCTCGGTCCTGCAGCGCAGTGGTGGAGCCCCCGTAGCCCTCGACCCTCCTCTGTCCATCACACACCAGTCTCTGCGGCCCCTGGAGTCCCTGATGAAGTGTGTGGAGTTGGGCTGGATGACCATACTGGTCGGCCCAACAGCCAGCGGGAAGACCAGCCTGGTTAGGCTGCTGGCTCTGCTGACAGGACACCGGCTCCGTGTGATGGCCATGAACAGCGCCATGGACACTACCGAGCTGCTGGGGGGCTTTGAACAGGTACCAGAAACCCTCACTAGATTCTTTCACCACCTGAACACTTCAGATGTCTCACTGCTTAGCATTTTCATTGCTCTCATTCCAGCTGGATATCATGCGGCCATGGCAGCAGGTGCTGGAGAGCGTGGACTACATAGTTGCCATGGTGATTAGGCGCGGCCTGATGTCACTAGATGTTGGCGTTCAGGATACAGAGTTCCTGCTGCAGACGTGGGGTCTGTTCTGTCGCTGGCTGAAAGAGGAGGGTCTGCAGAGGAGTGGAGGAGCCGTGAACTCTGAGGCTCTGAACAAACTGGAGGTCATCATCCTGCTGCTGCAGAAACTCAACACCAAACTCAAAGTCTTCACCGGTGAGAGCCGATACAGAGTCTGAGTCGTTGTTTAATGTTTTGATGTGTTGAGGGTCGAAGAATATGTTTCCAAGTCCACCTGTGTCTCTCCTGTAGACATGTCCAAACTGCAGATGGACTTCACACTTTTGAAGGAGCGTCTAGCTCAGCTGGAGGACGGCTGGACTAACGGGGGCTTTGAGTGGTTGGACGGGATGCTGGTTCAGGCTCTGCAGGCTGGTGATTGGCTGCTCATGGACAACGTTAACTTCTGCAGGTCTGTAAAAGTTCAGTTTCTTGTGTCTTTTGTTTGCAAATTAATAAATAGAAAAAAATATATATTGTTTTACTCTCCAGATGCTCATACTATTCTGGGTTTAGATTATTTTGTTAAGAACACTTTATATTTTTTTATCATTTTTTTGTATTGACTATCCTGTTTTCTGCTTTCAACCCCCCTTTTTATTGCATTTTCTTTTTCTTTGCTATTTTAGATTTTTATGTTGGTCTTCATGGTCTCATTTTATGTTGCATGGTTCTTGTACTGTCTGGGTTCCTTATGACATATAAAAATGTCCTTCAACTCCGTTTTAACTGAGCTTTCTGTTTTTATTTGTCTTTTTCCATGTGCTTTATGACTATTAGTCAAAGCACTTCGTAAACTTCTGTTTTTAAAAGTGCTAAAAAAAATAAAGTTATTATCATTATTATTATTACTTTTTGAAGTCAGACCATTCATCAGATTATACTGATCATGTGTTGTGTTCTCAGTGCTTCAGTCCTGGATCGCCTCAATGCTCTACTGGAGCCTGGAGGATCTCTGACCATCAATGAACGCGGAGTTATAGACGGAAAGACCCCTAAAATCACCCCACACCCTAACTTCAGGTAAAATTTGATCACCTTCACAGACAGGTCAAGGCAAACATTCACAGGAATCAAACCTTTCTCTCCAGCCCATGGCGCTCATTGTTTGAGTCGTTAAAGAAGTCAACGCTAAATTGGCGTGTTTGGTTTTGTGCAGATTGTTCCTGACCATGGACCCTGTCCATGGGGAGCTCTCCAGAGCCATGAGGAACAGAGGGGTGGAGGTCTATATCCCAGGGGAGCATGAAGGGGTCTGCTGGGACTCACTGGACCTGAAGACGCTGCTTCACACTGCAGGGGTGACAGGGGACTGTGTGTGTGACCTGCTGATTGAGATTCATAAAAGCATCAAATCTTCCATCTGGGGTGAGCAGAGATAAAAAATACAGAGTATTAATTCACAGTCATTCAGTCTGCAGAGTTTTTAAACTTTTTTTAATCTTATTTTTCAGATTCTCCTGCTTCATCAATGTCCTCCCTCCTCCATGCTGCCACCCTGCTGTCCTGTCAGCTGCAGAGAGGTGTGGATCTACCCAGCGCCCTGCAGCATGCCTGTGGAGAGGCTTACTCTCTCTGTCAACGCACCACTGCCAGCCAAAAGGTATCAACAAAGGAATGAATGCACCCCAGCTGTCTTTGTCAGTGGAACAACCGCATGTCAGATTCAATTAAATCCAGGACTGGGTGTCAAGAATTTAAATGTGTTGCATAGACTATCAGCATTAAAATCCTTCTGACATCCTGAGAATAATCATCAAGTTTTCAATTTTTGAAAAGAATCTGCATTTTTAAAGACGTTTGGGTACTTTGTTTTGCAGACAGATTAATATTTTCGCAAACCATGATTATAGTATTCATGTCAGGATCTTAGACCTGTGTGTTGCAATGAAATCACAGTAATTGTTGTTTAAGGCTCAGAGAAGGAGAGGTCCAAAACTGTGCAATTTATGTCAGTAATCAGTAAATAGTGAAGCTGTCTGTCTCATTACTACATCTATGAATGAATGAATGAAGTTTATTCATTTTGAATATGTTCAAAAGATAAAATTAAGAGAAAAAAAATACAGATTGATAATAATAAAGAAAAAAGGAACACACAACATATTTAAAGGAGTAGTAGGAAGTAAAACTTATCATGTCCCGCCCTTTCTCCATCAGCTTTTCTGCGAAAGTGCTTCCATATTTGTTTTTTCTTCCAGCAAGCCCAGCAGGTGATCGAGCAGCACCTGTCCATCCTAGACACAGAGGACTGGGGCAGCGGGCTTCTGTGTGCCGGGGTCTGGCCCGATGGCTTCCCCTCCGCTCTCCTCTCCACCGAGGACTCCTGCTTCTCTGCCGTCCTGAGAGACGGACAAGTGCTGTCGTTCTGCCTGAACACCCTCAGCCTGCAGGGGAAACGGTAAGAAACAAGACCACAAGACAAACAACTTGTTGTCAAAACACATACATGGAAAAACTGGAAGCAGGAAGAAAAGGAAACTGAAATAGAAGCAGTGATATGAAAGTTGAAATGTGCGATTTAATAACTGCACCCACAGGAGTCGGCCGCTGAGTCTGAGTGACCTGCAGAGGGCGCTGCAGAGCAGTGCTGTCCATGAAGGCCAGGTGTTCTCTGGAGGAGTGGTGGATCTGGCGGATGGAGATGCTCTGAGGTTGATCCCCACCGCAGTCAGACTCCTTACAGAGAGAGCGTCTCATGGAGACTGGATCCTCCGCAGCAGCTGGCTCTCTCACCTGGGGAAGAGCTACAAACACATACCTGGTCAGTGACTCACCGTGAACAGAGGTTTCAAACTTCAACAGGAGCATTTGTAAAAGTGTAAAAGCTCATGAAGGATGTCTATCACAATCACTTAACCTTTCAAAAATCAAACAGCTTTCTTTGTCCAGAACTTTGGATCCTAAATCAGTGTGATTCTTGACTCCCCCAGATCCAGCCCTGGTCCAGGTGGAGGCGGGAAACCGAGCTCTGAAAGCGGTGTTTGGTGGTAAACTGGCCGCAAAAGGGAAATCTCTGGCAGAGCTGCTGCAGCCTCACAGCATCGGTGAGCAACTCCTAGATTTTCATCTTCCTTTGTTTTGACATGTTGACTTGAACGAGCCGGCCAGAAATATAAAAGAAACCTGCAAATACGAATCTGTTGATGTACAGAAGTTTTGAATTTGTTCAGGAATATGCCAGATGTGCTTTCTCAGCAAATAAAATCAGACTATTTCCACCTCTTTCTTCTGTTTTGAGTATAAGAGTTTGTTATGCTTCCAGATGAGTACAGGATCCTGGTGGACATGCGGTGGAACAAACAGTACCTGGATATTTTAGCCAGCAAGTGCAACTTTGAGGACGAGGAGAGATACACTGAGTTCCTGGAGGCCCTGAATGCAGTTGCAAACAGGTACAGTGAAGAAAAAGACATTTACCTGGAGAAATTCAGTGACCATTCCCACAGAGATGAGTGCGGTAGAGTGAGTTTTCATGCGTTTGATTTTAACAGGATCATCCTGACGTTGGACAGAGAGGAACGGTCCGTCATCTGCAGCTGCGCCATCAACCTGTCTGCTCAGAACTCCGCCCTGAGGATCGCCACAGCCTTCAGTAAAGGTCTGCACAGCACACATTTCAGATGATTAAATCCACTCACTGAGATGCACAGCGTGACGTGCAGACTGAGGTAGTGTTTCTCATGTTTTCCTCCACCCTGACAGGTACCGTGGACGTTGGTCACCTGCCCCACCCCGTGCTGATGCACTTGCGGACTTTCTTTGACCTGTGGGAGTCGTTCATGCTGCAGGCCGTTCAGGGGGGACAGCCCTACATCTCAGACCACATCATGTTCGAGGTCAGGACTCTTTATCTTTATTTTGTCTCGCTGTTTTTATGCATCTTCGATTTTCTCCCCCTGCATGTCCACTACAGGTGCTTCTCCATAAATGCTCAAACTGTCATTCCTCTTTTTTTTTTCACCTTTTACCCAAACTGCTGGTTCTTCTCATACTATTATTTCTACTTCTGCTACTAAAACTGCCAAATGCTTCTTTTATTTCTGCAACTTTTACACCATTACAGCTGCTGTCATCTATTGCAATGCTAATGCCAACACTACACGTCCTTTTGCTGCTAAACCTGCCAGGACTCATTCTGCAAATGTTACTTTTAATTCTGCAACTGGTGGTGATGGTGGTGCATCTTACATGTTGCTGAAGCTTTTTGATATTATTATCTTAATATATGCAGGTCCTACTGCTAATTTAAACAGGGTTCCTATGTAAGTAATAAAAAGTATGGAAATAAATTTGATCAATTTCCAGGTCTTTAAAGTATGGAAAATGAAAACTAAAGTATGGAAAAATATTTATGCTTCCAGACCTATTACCACAGTTCTGAAATACTGCTTTCTAAAATAGAAATGTAGGTATTTTCAAAAATAACTCTAAAAAGTAGAGTATGGAAATTCCAACTGTGTAGGAACCCTGTTTAAAGCTGTAGCTGCAACCACAACAGCTACTGTTACTGCAGTTAGTCGTAGTAAACCTGCAACTTTCACTACACAGTTTCAGTTTGTTTTTATGCTGAGGGTGTTTTAGGGTCAATAAGTGTCCGTCAAGATCAAACTTCACTTCCTCACTCCGGTCTTTCTCTCTCTGTCTGTATGTTCAGATCCTGCAGCTGCTGCAGTGGTTCGATCGCTTCTGGGATATCTGCAGCACGCTGCCCGCTGACTCTCAGGGAATCTCTGTGCTGTCTCTACACTGGCAGTGGGTGCAGAAACACCTGATCCTCCGTCTGCCTCAGCTGCTGCTCGGAGACAACGACGCCTCCATTCAGTAAATATTTCTCCAAGCTGCAATATGTCAGAACAATGTCATATTTTAGAGTCTAACATTAATATATTTACACTTTCTAATACGTGTGACTGCAGGGGTCTCCAGGAGCTGCAGGTGGTCTCAGCAGCCATCCAGACAGTTCTGTCCACCCCGGTGTCTTTGGCCACAGCTCTGAAAGGGATCCAGAAAACACTCGGGAAAACTCTGCCGTTCAAGGTCTGAAGACACCATCACATTAGGAGTTCTTCAATCTCTCAGCCAAACAAAAAAAAATAGTGAAATGTTCTCTAAGTTAAATCTGAGATTTTGTTTATTGTCTTCCTCAGTTCCAGTCGGTGGCTGAGTGTGCGTCTCGACTCAGGCTCCTCAGTAAAGCTCTGGATGTAAGTGATCTGAGGCTGGACGGCTCCTCAGCTCCTCTGTGGCAGGAGCTGGTCCGACTTCAGGGAGCGGGTCTCGGACTGGACATCAAAGAGAGTCTGCTGGAGGCCTGGGGCCTCGTCCTGCAGGCAAACAACCAGCTGGATCCACAGACCTCAGGTGAGGCCGGATCATATGAAGACTTTCTTTTACTTTTAAAAGACTTTGGTGAATTATTCGGCATTTAAAGAATCTTAAAATAGATTTTGAAATATCTGTGTCATTAATCCAGGTTTACACTTTTTAGGAGAAATGTAAATGCATCCACCAACTAGCTTTTGTCTTCCCCTCAGGAGTGTTGGAGAGGTTGGTGTCCAGCGTGGAGCAGCAGCAGCGTCAGATGACCTCCAGAGGATTCCTTGAGGCCTGCTCGCTCTCCGCGGGGGAGGAGCCTGGAGACAGAGTCCACTTGGACCGCGGGGAGCTGCAGCAGCTCAGCCGCAGGGCTCAGCTCTGGCCCCTCATGGAGCAGCTGGCCGTCCTCAACCAGCTGAGACTCAGCACAGACCTGCTGCACCTCGCTCTGTCTCCCGGGTAAAACTCACTTATCCTGAAAGAAAATTCTGACAGGTTGGAAACGATTTTTTAAATACCTCTATTTTTATTCTCAGGGACCCAGAGGCTGAGGAGAGTCTACGCCGCGAACTGTCCAGACATCTGCGTTACTGCCTCCAGTCCACACCGATGAACGTCAGCCAGCTGCAGCCGCTCTGGTTCCTGCTCAGCAGTGACAGGGTCAGAGCTCAAACACTGTCAGAAATATGTTTTTCATATTGATGAGGTTAGATGTCAGGAGTCTCTGGAGGAGGCCAGTTTAGCAGCAGGACTCTTCAACTACAGAGCCATGCAGTTGTAATATGTGCAGAATTTGGTTTGTTATTTTCTTGCTGAAATATGAAAAATAGACTTTGAAAAATAAAAGTTTTTGTTATGACTGTTTTTGTTTTTCTCCAGCCGGCTGAGGAGCTGCAGTTCGTTTGGTGTGAGCTTCTCTCAGAGGCTCTGTCTGCGCAGTGGACCAGCAGTGCAACCTCGGACCCCGACCTGTGGCTGAAGTGGGACCCACTGAGACCTGAGACTTCCTCAGCACCTAAGCTGCATCACGGAGCAGACAGCAAAGTACAAACCTGCACTTCCTTGTTTTTTTTCCTAATGTGTTTCTTTGTCTGAGTGATTTTGCTTTAACACAAGTCTGTGTTACATTTAGGGACCAGCTTTACTCAGTAAAGCTGTGTGGTCACATTGCATGCTGGGAGTTCTCAGCAGCTGTGAGACTGGAGGTCATTGGGAGCCATCAGGAGCGGCCCTCCTCTCTCTTTCACATGTGACCCTGGGAGAGTGGAAGGAGCGGATCCAGCAGCTGCAGGATGTTTCTGCCGTGCTGTGGGACAACATGGCGGTCCAAGCTCTGGCTGACTTCAGGTAGATTAAACATCAAACATATTCCTCTCAAACATTTTTCTTTTTTGGGTTTACTTATCACCCACACTCGTCCTCAGGGGCACAGACTTCAAGCTCCAGGGCGCCGTTCTGCGTCGGCAGTTGCAGAGCATGGCAGACCTGCTGCCCCCCAGCCTCCAGGAGGGCTACATGGAGAGCTGTGAGAGCCTGGTGGAGGATTCAGACCCTCTGATAGCCGCTCAGGAGATCCAGACCGTCTTCAGAGACTTCCTCCCTCCTAACCTCCTCCCTGTGGGATTGGTGGAGGCTTGCATCACCTGCCTGCAGCAGTACGTCCAGAGCAAAGTGCAGGGCTCGAACCCGCCAGTCCGCTCTGGAGTGTTCTGGGTCAACATGGGCCTGCTGCAGATTAAAGTCTGGACACCTCAGACTATCTTTGACCCGGCTGTGAAGAGGGCCTACAAACTCAACTACGCCCAGCAGGAGGTCAGCAGACGACTTTCTCAAAAATATAAAATCTTTGAAAGCGAACTTGTTCCTGACAATTTTACAGTAAGAATCATGACAGAGAGAGACAATTTTTGAAGAGGGGAATTCAGCAATTCTGTTTTTTCCAAATATTTTACATCTAAAGGTCATTTAAAATCCCACATGAAGGTCAAACACACCAGAATTTCCTCTTCTTTTTAAAATGCTGCAGGAAACACTTACTGGTAGAGTAATCAGAAATGATATTATTTGGCAAATCTAGTATTTAAATTCTAGATTGTGTCGCTTCTTGCAATAAAGTAAAGGTAGCCTTCAAGGACAAGAAGGTCATACTCATGCATAACTAGTATGATCCTCTATTTGCTGAGTTTTTATGCTCACATTTTTCTTTACTTTACTTTTCACATATTTAGAAATATGCAAAACTTCTAATCCAGATAAACTTTAGGATAACTTGACTTCACCTGTCAACTGTGCATGTTCGTCTGCAGCTGGCTCTCCTGCAGGAGGAGTGGAGAGGACGCAGCCTGTCGTCTCAACTGACAACCGGAGCGGAGCTGGAGGAGAGCAGCACCACAGACGGCTTCCAGCATCCCAGAATCAGGTCAGAAACAGCTGCAGGCTCTCATTTTTGAACAATTATATTACTCTAAGACTGAGAAAGTTTGAAATTGGCTGAAGATAGATGAAAAGAAAGGAAATTAATTAAATATATCGTCTTGTTTGGGTTTTGTCGTTGTTGTAGGTATCTGTGGATCCGCATGCAGCAGGTCAAGGAGCAGATCGCTGAGCTCTCCAGAAAGCAGGCCTGTCGTCCTCATGAGCCTCAGTACGGTCGTCTCTTCCAGGAGCTGCAGCACTACCTCTGCAGCATCGGACAGGCGTCTACAGTAGAGGACCTCCTGTCCCACCTTCTCAAAGCCTCCACCTCCTCCTCCAAGTCCAGGTCTGCAGTGCAGGCTCTGCTGAAGGAGGAGGCTGTGTGGCAGAGCTCCCAGCAGCGCTTCTGTCAGAGGCTGCTGGAGGATTACCCACTGTACCCTGATGTGGTCGGACCTGTTAGGACCGGGATATTCCTGCTCAGACATGGTATGAGGCTCGTTGCCGCACAGGTGGCTGCCTCCCTCTCGCCCGTACCCGGTCTGCCGAAACTGGTGTCCTGCCTGCTGGCCTTCCCCTCCCTGTCCTCCAGTCTGCCCTCCTACCTGTCCCGTGCGGACTTCCTCTGTTCCAGGTCCTGTATGGACATCCTGCGCTGCCTGGCGAAGCTTCTGCCCCAGCAGCAGGACCCTGATCATGTGGTCCCTCAGTCCTCCACGCTGCTCCTGAACGCTCTGCTGTACGTGGAGTGTCACACTCAGTCCACGGGAGAGTTCAGCCCAGAGACACGCAGTCTTTTCAGACACATCTGTCAGGTCAGAGCTGCAGGTTATACCTGGATCTATGATTTTGATGCATGAATAAGTAGAGTCTTGAAAAGCTTCGCAAGTGACAGGCTCAGATTGGGAGGACCATCCTCTTTAACCAAAACCACTTTCTCATGTTAGATACACAGAAAGCAGTAAAAGCCTGACGTTGATTAAAGCAAGAACTTCATGGTGAAAATTGTGGCCATAAAAGTCAGTTTTGCACCTGCTAGATTAAAAAAAAAAATCTACTTATGTACTTAAAAAAAACTTCACTTGAAAGTAGGGTGACCATACGTCCCCTTTTACTAGGACATGTCCTCTTTTTAGGGGGCTGTCCGGACTGTCCAGGGAGAGTTTATGAAATCCTTCAAATGTCCGGGGTTTTGTATGGAAGTTTTGAGTTTGTGTAGTGTGGACTAACTGAGTTAAAAGTGCATAAAAAACACTCAACCTGACCCGGAAAACCCTCAAAATTTTGTGTGCGACTCCACCCGCATAGTAGTGTCCTCTTCTTGGGGATTCAGAATACGGTCACCGTACTTGTAAGTCATGTAGACCCCTAAAATAATAAAAACAGGGTTCCTATGCAAGTATGGAAGTAGTTTGATCAATCTCCAGGTCTTAAAAAGTATGGTAAATGAGAAATTAAGTATGGAAAAATATCTATGTTTCCAGATTATTACCACAGTTCAAAAGTATTGTTTATAAAATATAGAAAAGTAGGTTTTTCCAAAAATAATTCTAAAAAGTAGGGTATGGAAATTCCAACTGTGTAGGAACCCTGTAAAAAGGTCATGTTAAAAAATGTCAGAATTCCCCTTTAAAATTTGACTAATCCTAAAAAGCATCACTTTTTCTTTAATGTCAAACTGAAATTCTACCATGATGTACCTCAGGCTCTGGTGAATGAGTGGGACGAGCAGGAGAGACGGAGGAGAGAGAGAGAGCAGCAAGAGGCGAGTCTGTACCGCAGCCGCAGCAGACTTCATGGTTCAGGACTGACTGAGGACGAGCAGGAGGAGAAAGACTTCAGACAGCTGTTCCCTCAATTCAACAAGGTAATCACGTCTCATGTGTCTGTTTTAATGTTGAAAGTCTTTATAATATTTAAGTGAAGCTTTTCTATTTAATAAACTAAGAGTTAAAGGGATAGTTCAGTTTTTAGTTCAGTGGGATTGTGTGATAACCTACAGGGGATCTCAGTAGTAAACGGGATGATATGTTCCTGTGTCAGTATTTTGTTCCATCCCTAATACTCTTCTCTTCTTCATCAGGACTTTGCAGACATCACGGCCCAGCCCAGTCTAGAGGCTCCTGCAGGTCCTGAGCCTCAGGAGGAGGAGGAGAAGATGGAGGAGTCCAGTGAGAGCTGCTTCCTGTCTGCAACCGGCATGAACACACTGGTCCAGGTCCACCAGCGTCTCTGTGTGGGACACGCTCGATCACTTTGGTACCAGAGCACAAAGCCGGCCAATCGCAGCAAAGAACACATCACAGCCTTGGTGTCCTCCTATCAGATCGCTTCTCCTCTGATGTCTCGCTTCTACCATCTGATTGGTTGGTGTCGTAGCTTGTTTTAAGGACTTTTTCAGTCTTTTCGGTATAAAACGATTTTAAAATCCTCGTTCTAAATCCTACTGTGTGTTTCCTCCTCAGACTCTGACCTCGATCAGCAGCTGACAGGCAGTGAGCTGCTGCTGTCCTCCCTCCTCCAGAACACGGTGCAGGGCTCAGGGACTTCTGATGGTCTCTCCGTCACCTCTGAGGGTCCATATGATTTTTACCAGCAGCCTAACATGACTGAGGCCCGTTTGTGTCTTCCCGTCCTGGAGCAGCTGAGTGCAGCTGTGAGGCAAAGACTGGACGAGTGGCCCGAGCACCCGGCTCTCGTACAGGTCAGTCACCTTCAGATACAAATACACTTCATGTCAGGGACCTGCTGACCTGAAGGGATTCTGATCTGCTCAACCATCCGCACACTATTACCTGACTGCTACCTAATGCCATAAACAAGCTCACACAACACCCTGTCTTTGTTGTTTTCCAGCTGACCGTGGTTATGGAGAGGATCATGTCTTTCAGTCTGGCCAGTCCCTTAGCAAAGTTCCTCAACGGTCTGGAGATCCTGCTCAGCAAAGCACAGGTGAGCCCTGTGCCATCAGAGGGGCATTTTTAATACTTTGAAGTGAGTTTGTTTAACAGATATAATCCTTGTTTTCTGCTGTTACCCTCAGGACTGGGAGAACAACGCCAGCCGCTCCGTCTCTCTGCGGAAGGAACTGGAACTACTCACCCAACTCATCATCCAGTGGCGAAAACTGGAGCTCAAGTAAGACACAAAACCAGCCAGTTTCTGAAAAGGTGTGTTTCATAGCTGGAACTTTATCAAGGGACCAGGAACCTTTGGAGACACTTAGACTGGCTGAACACTTGATGACTTTTAGATCTTAGCTGATTTTAAAATTCTGGGACACTACACACAGAAGGACAGTTCTGACCAAATTTTCAACATTAAAATCCTCTGAACACACACTCTGGACGATTTCACAAGACCCGTAGACTGCCCAGTTAATGTGTCCAGTAACTGAGTTATTCATAGAAAACGTCTATCCAGTTTCTTTAACCAGAGTTTAAGACCATGAGCAGGGTTTTTTTTTCTGTTAGAGTATATGTGTCCTCTCTCCTTGTAGCTGCTGGTCCAGCAGTCTAGACAACGCCATGAAGCGCCACACTGAGAAATCAACCAAACACTGGTTCTCCATCTACCAGCTGGTGGAAAGGTACCTGGAGGAGCAGAGGACAGACTGTGACACAGGTGCGTTAAAAGAGAAAAAGTAACAGCACTCAGGACTTTTTTTTAATTAGACTTTTTAAAGTTCAAAGCAGAGAAAAGCAAAAATCGAATATATTTAAAATCAAATACAACTAACTGACAGAGCTGAGACTCTTTGTCTTCTTGTTTCTAACCCCTCCAGGTGAGGAGGTGGAGCGTCTCTCCCTGTCCTCAGTGTCCTCCACCCTGCAGGCCTTCATGGAGGGCTCTACCCTCGGAGAGTTTCACACCCGACTTGCAATGCTGCTCAGCTTCCACTGCCATCTTCTGCTGGTCCCCAACCAGCCCGGACAAGGTCAGAAAAACATGACGACACAGAGAACAAAAGATACAACCCAAAAACAAGCAGGGGTTAATTTGAGCACATGCTGAGCAAATCTTAGCAAGGAGGGCATACCTGAGCACATGCAGGGTAAATCTAATCACAAAACGTCATTAGCTAATAAAATTTGAGCATAACCTAACCTGAAATCAACAAGTGATACCTGAAATGCTCCTGAATTAAAGTAGGTGTAATTACAAACTGGGAAAGGTGCTTTAGAGAGTGAACACACCATAAAAAAAAGACTATCACAATAAAGTGTTTTTATGGCGTAAAAGCAATGCCGTACCCAAGTCATAATTGTGTGTTTTAACATGACATGAAGGTGATGACATGTGAAAGGGTCAAATTGATCACCAAGATTGACTCATCCTCCCACTGACTAATTCATTGACCCCAACTCAATGTCAGAGACCCTCATGCTCTGATTGTAGTTGTGCCAAACCAAAAGTGTTGAATCACAGATTTTTGTTTTCATTAGGAGTTCAGATACAGCTGGTGAGCGGTTATTACTATATGTGTAAATGCAGCAGATTTTAATGCAGTGCCTTCAGGACTGGTTGTGGTCATATTGACCAAATAATTGATCGTCTGTTCAGACAGGGTCAGCCCCGTGCTGCTCTGTCTGAGTCCAGGTCAGGCATCAAACCATCTCAGACATCACTGATTGAATTCCAATGAACTCAATAGTGTGACGGAAACAACCATCTCATGACTGAAGCTCCAAACACGTTTGACCCCGTGAACTCTAGTCAGTGGTTAAATCCAGGCTCTGCGGCATGTAGTTAATAGACTATCAATGATGTGGTGACATGCAAACCGTTTCCTTGTTTTCACAGAGTCTTTGTCGAGTCTTCTGTGGAATCTGCACAAATACTACAGTCAGTTTTCTGAGTGCATCCAGACCAGAATCACTCAGCTCAGACAGCCCATCGAGAAGGAGCTCAAGGTTTGAATCAGTGCTGTTTTTTTTGTAACTGTAAAAAAAGACACTCTGGACCTTTGTTCTATATTTATGATCAAATGATTAAGTTAAAGTAGATACAAAACACAGCAAAAAACGGATCAAATCTGACCTTGACTTAGTTTATGTTAGAAATTAGGAAATGGCCAAACATTAAGACTATTAAGATTATTATATTTTCTTTAATTTGGGTTATCTATGAAAGCTTACATGCAAATCAGATAGAGTGTAAATTTGCATTTAATTGCATGTTAACATTGCTCTACAGCAGCCAGACTGAAGAGGCTGCCTGCAGTGTCTGCAGACATAATCTGTTTATTTTATAATCAGTTTCATGAACCCAAGTGTCCAACAGCGCATATTATTTCAAAGTGTAATAAAACAACTGACAGATAAATTGGTCTACCTGTAGTTCATTTAGCACTTAAATAGGACACAATTTATTTTTATTTTATTTTTATTTATAATTTTTTCACTTTTATACAAATATATCAAAAGTTACATGAATAGAAGTGTCAATTAGAAGTGACGATTAGTTGCGTGTAACACACTGACAAAAGGACATGAATAGCAAACATAATGAATATATTAAATTAAATAACAATAATAAATAATTTAATAAATAGAATTAAAAAAAATAATTAATAATAAAAGATTATAAATTTCAGCGTATTAAATAAGTAGAAATTGGGTCAGGCTGAATGTTTGCAGGTTGTCTTTAACAAAAAGAAATAAAACATTTGCAGAACTTATAGTGAATTCTGCTTTGTTTGAATACAGCTCACTTTGTTTCATGTACTTCATGAATGTCCACTAAGATTTGAAATATATCCTCAGGACTTTGTGAAGATCTCCAAGTGGAATGACATCAGCTTCTGGTCCATCAAACAGTCAGTTGAGAAAACTCATCGGTAAGATTAGTTTGTTTTTGGTTTATTACATGTTTTTGTGTACAGGACTCCACAGTGGACCCCAGCCCTCCAACCAACAATATTTTTACTACTATCTCCTCTCAGGACTCTCTTCAAGTTTGTGAAGAAGTTCAGGGACGCTCTGAACGGTCCCTGTGTCCCCGCTCTGGTGGAGCAGGGAAGTGACTCCAGCCTGGACAGCGTGGATACAAACCCAGAGGAGACTCCCATCCACCGGGTTCACCAGGCCCTGAAGAGCAATCCACCTGGGAAGGGCAAAGATATGGAGGTACGAGTCTGAACATCATCTTTATCGTATCTTTATTTATTGTCTCCTGTGAATAACCTCAACTAAACCATGTTTTTCAGCTCGATGAATTGGCAGAAGAAGAAGTTGAGGCTTCCTCTCTGCAGGCTCGTCTTCCTGTTCTGTCAAGGAAGATGAAGAAAATGTGCGTCCAGCTGCTGAAGAAAAACCCAGTGCCTGAGCTGGCTGAAGACCTGGACTGCTTCACTGGTTAGAAACTCACACAGTGCAAAAATGAAGGATTAAAAGAGGACAGACGGGACAGTTGGTGAGCTGTCAAAGTACAAAACCACATTTGGTTTGATTGGACGTCCTCTAGTGCCCCCTGCAGGATCATTTAAATTCAGTCACTACTTCTAAACTCAGTCACCAATACAATCTACAGCCTGAGATACAGTATAATTCACACCTAGATTTAAGGATTAAGGGTTTGATTATGATTTAAAATTACAGTTTTGTGATGGAGCGGCTCTTAGAGAACGAAAATAATGAGTGGTCCTGATTTAGAAAATTTAAAAAAGGGTCTTATCTTCACACAAAGTTCTGTCTCTATAGGTTTTCTCTTGTTTTGCAACAGAGTTTCAACATTACACAACAGTATTACTCCAGTGTTTAATTTTGGTCTTTGAATGTGTTCAGGTGAGGTGATCAGTAACCTGCGAGACCTGCAGGGTCTCACCATCGACATGACGGCGGAGAAAGAGAAGCAGAAAGCGGAGGTGAAACACATCCTGCAGCAGAAACAGAGAGCGCTGGCAGACCTCTTCAAGATGCTCACAGAAATAGGTCAGAGCTCCTCTCTGGTTTTCAGATATTACAAGGATTTTCAGATCTTGCAGATTCAAAAAAGTAATAATAAACTTTTTTTTTTAGGTCTGTCATACCGTAAAGGTCTGACATGGAACAGGACAGCTGACCCAGAGATGACTTTGTGTCTGCAGCCTCTGGAGATGAGCACCGCTCTGTCTGCTGTCAAGAACCAGGAGGCGTCTGAGAACACGTAAATACAACCCGAGACTGTCCTTAACTTCTTCCTATTGATTTTATTTTTAACATCTGACCAGAAAATGACACTGAAGAGCCTGGCTGATGAAAACACCCCGGACATGGGGTCAGTCGTGGTCAGGGGTGCTGAGAGAAGTCAACCTCTGCTGTGCAAATTGAGTCATTGTTTTAGCCTGATTGAACTAACTACTCTACATTATTCAGAGGTGCAGGGCACAAGAAGTTGGATTTAGTTGCTTGCTAATACATAAGTGGGTTTTGGTGAAACTTAAATCACCCTTACCAGAGTGTGACTTTCTGTCCTCTTTAACAGTCAAGTGAACCTTTTTACACAGCAGATTTCAGCTGTCTTACTCTGAACAGCTGAATGCGGGAAACAATAATCTTTTATCTACAGCAGAGGATCATAAGCAAACTTAGCCCTCTTACTTTCACCTAGTCTTCAGAGGTGTGGGTTTTTATAAGGGTTTAATTCAGATGTGGACAGTAGTAGAATAGGGTCTATCTCTGACAGCTGTCGTCTCTGTGTTCCTGTTGTTGCAGGTTGTTCACAGAGCTGCTGACAGCGTGGGATGGATGTCAGAAGTACTTTTACCGTTCATGGGCCAGGAGGACAGTCCTGCAGACGTCTCTGCAGCACGCCGCTAAGGTGAGACTCACATGCACTGCTTAATCAACCATCTGCTGGTCCACAGTTAATGACAGAGGATGAGAATATCCAGTATAGCCCTGCCTGCAGTCTAAAGTGTGTGTGTGTGTGTCTGTTTTTGTGTCCAGGAGCTGGGTTTGGGGAATATTGAGCGCTGCAGGGGTTTCTCTGCTCATCTTTTCAAGCTGCTGCTCAGACAGAGACGGAGGCTATCCAGACTCACGGAGCAGTGGGTCCATCTCAGGTCAGTCTGTTTACACCACAACAAAAGACTGCATAGAGCCCAGGAACACAAGTGTTAGTCACACACTTCTTTTTTAAGAGGAGTGCTAAATATGAAAAATCAGAACAGGAACAAAAGCCAAACTTTGACTTTACAGGGTGAAGTGTTGTGAATGACTATGATTTAATCTTTATGTCTATTACCACTCTTAGGAGGTTAACAAACAGCATTCAGGGCATCAAGACTGACCTCCAGAGCCGCAGCGAGGATCCAGGCTGCACCCTCCCTCCTCAGGACCCTCTTAAGAGCTGGGTCAGCAGAGGTCAGGAGCTGGCTGCTCAGTGCTCCACCCTCCTGCAGCAGCTCTCCTGGCTCCATCAGTGCTGCCCGGAGGACCTGAAGGAGGAGACGGGCAGCTGCAGGCAGCACACTCTGAGGTGTCCATCCCCACTTGCTGCGCACCGCCAACCCCCGGGTTGTCTGATGAGGAGAGGGGACGCCGCCTGGTGTCAGCTAAACCAGCACCTGAACACCATGCTGAAGCAGACTCAGAGTCTGAAGACAGAGCTGGACAATGTGGCTCAGCAGGCGTCAGACCGGGTCCTTCACACATGGTAAAACTTCCTGTCCTTAGGGTTGATTCAAAATATTTAAAAAAGTCAAAAACAGCCCCAGCAGCTTTGTTTTTTTTTTTCTCCACAGGAAGGACTTTACGACGTGCTGCTCCGCCTTCGATCAGCTGGGAGCTGTGGGAGCTCAGATGCCCGGCATAGAGCAGCTCTTCAGCACAGCCGTGTGTGTGGGTGGTGAAGACAACCAGCCAGCCATCACACAGAGCCTGCAATATATCAGAGGACAGGTGGAGACCAGCATCACAGAGTTCACTACCTGGAAGACCCAGCTGCTCTCCTTGGGACCCCAGAACTCTGGTGTGTCTTCAATAAATATCCTAAAAACACCCCAGGTTTAGAAATAACAATGATTCTCATTCAAAGCAGCATCCAGTACCGTGGCCCTTAAGTTTATCTTATTTCATCCACAGATCACCAGCCCATCTTCTGCGCTGACTTTTCATCTGAGTTGGAGACAAACATCAACACGGTGCTGTGTGCCGTTCAGACACTTGTGAAGAGGCAGGAGAAAGAGCAACAACAAAAGCAGGAGCGTGAAGATGCCAAGAAAGGTGAGAGAGGTGCTTTCAAGTAATTTTTGTACTGTACTTTGTGTGTTTTTTTTTTCACCCAGCTCTCTCATTGTCAATATGTTTTTACTAATGGTTGTCTTTCTGATGCTGCTTGGTATTTCAGAGGAGGCTGCACAGGAAGGAGAGGACAATGAAGAGTCTGTAGAGGACCTGCTAAAGCCTGGTCACCTGGCTCAGCTCCTGGATGAAGACCTGGCTGCAGAGGTGGAGGCTTTGAGTTTGGGGGATGTTAGCGGTGGTCTTGAGAGACTGCTGAGTCAACTCAGGACTCATAGAGACTCGTGTCAGCCGTCACAGCTGCAGGTACGAAAGCAGCTGCACATCGACAACAAGTACATGTCTAATTTTAACATCAACATGAGGAAAAAAAGCTGATAAAATCTTGTTTGTGTTCAGGAGGTGAACAGGGCGAGCAGGATGCTGGTGCGTCTGGAGCCTCTGCTGGGCGTGTACTGTGACATGGTGCGGTTCTACGTGTCCGTGTCTGTCGGCGCTCACAGGAGCACGGGGAAGCTGCTGTCTGTGCTCGCCGGGATCTTCACTCAGCTCGCTCAGAAGGTACACTGCATCAAGGATCAGTCCACACAGAAGTAAACCAGAAACAGTGACTAAACGAGTGTTTGTACTCTCCTCCTCCTGTCAGGGTTTCTGCCTGCCTCAGGAGCTGATGGCTGGTGGAGACGGAGAAGGAGCTACAGAGTTTCACGACTATGAAGGTGGAGGTATCGGAGAGGGCGAGGGCACCAAAGACGTCAGTGACAAAATCGAGAATGAAGATCAGGTAAGGACATTTTTAAGATTGCATTCATTGATTTTTCACCAAATCATCTGGACTCTAGGTCGTCTTTCTTGGGTAATCAGTCGAAAAAACGAAGTTACTTCTGTGCATGTTGAGTATGCAAGAAATTGTGGTTGGTTGGCTGGCTGGCTGGCTGGCTGGCTGGCTGGCTGGCTGGCTGGCTGGTTGGTTGGTTGGTTGGTTGGTTGGTTGGTTGGTTGGTTGGTTGGTTGGTTGGTTGGTTGGTGATTGGCTGGTTGGCTGCTTGGTTGGTTGGTTGGTTGGTTGGTCGGTTGGTCGGTTGGTCGGTTGGTTGGTTGGTTGGTTGGTTGGTTGGTTGGTCGGTTGGTTGGTTGGTTGGTTGGTGATTGGCTGGTTGGCTGCTTGGTTGGTTGGTTGGTTGGTTGGTCGGTTGGTTGGTTGGTTGAAGAAAGCATGAAGAGAAGTTTGCATTTCTGGGATGAGGAACTGACAAATCTACATCTTTAAATCATGAAAATTTAGATATAATGGAATTCATTTACTATTATATAATCTCGGGCTATTTCCTTTCCTTGATTTCTGCCATTGTTGAGGATGAGAATAAGAGTAAGGATCCTCGTAAATATTGGTGTTTCACTGCTAAGAAAACAGCTCAATGTCGCACTTTAACAAACACCATAGGGATCATTGTGGAAAAAAAGTTTTTCTTTGGATCATTTACTAATGGATCTGTATTCTTTTGCAGGTGGAAGACACTTTCCAGGAGGGCCAGGAGAAAGAGGAGCAGCAAGAGAAAGGAAAAATTAAGGAAGAGGAAAACGCCATCGAGATGTCAGAGGACTTTGATGGACAGATGCATGATGGGGATGAGAGAGAACCAGGTAACAATGGAATTAAATAAATGTATTAAACTTTTATTTACAAATATAGATGGATCAAAGTTGACTGAATAACTACGACTTTAAAATTAGTTAATTCAAAATGACTAAAACGTTGACAAATATGGTCATTCCAGGTGAGGATGATGATGACTCCTCTGAAGAGGACAATGATGACCTGGATAAAAAGATGGGCGACCTGGGTGAAGGACAGACGGACACTCTGGACGAGAGAATGTGGGGCGACGATGAGGACGATGAAAATGAAGGAAGTGACAAAGAGGAGGAGTCCGGACAGGGCATGGACCAGGTAAACGCACCTGAGTATCATGATAGTATCAAAGTATGATGATTGTTATGCTTCAAATATTCTCAGTGGGTGGGATGACTCTTCTGCTACAGAGCCATGCCGTTGATGTGGTTTTTCATTGTCTTGCTGAAATACAAAGATCTTCCCTGAAAAAGTCATCATCTGGACGGCAGAAAAAAACTTTTTTTGGTGTGCTCTCACTGTCTGTTCGACTCTTGCAGGGGGAATCTGAACTCGTGGCCAAAGATGACAACCTGGACGCTGCTGATCCAAGTAAAGAGAAGAAAAACCAGGACAAAGATGAAAAGATGGATGAAGAGGAAAAGGAAAAAATCCATGAACAAGGAGACGAGGTAATCTTGTTGTTAAAAAGTGAATTAAACCAAAACATTGTTGTTGTTTTTTTAATTGTTATTCTCTAAAGAAAATAAAAAACAAAGGTTATTGTTTTTTGAGATCCTCTTCTTATTGTCGTATCTTTAGAGGGAGTTTGATGAGAATGAGGTGGATCCTTACCATGGTCAGCAGGAAAAGAGACCTGAACCCGAGGCCATGGATCTGCCTGAGGATCTGAACCTGGACCAGGACGAACAGGCAGGAGATGATGGAGATGAGGAGGGGGATGGTGAGACCTCTTTATGAGTCGATTGTTTGAGGTCTTGATTTATCACGTTTTTGGTTCAGTAAGGAAATCAAAGTTGATTCCCTTGTGAGGAAGTAGCTCTATGAGTGGGCCTACAGAGTGGGAAATAGCAGGAAGACATGATGAAGGGTTAATATGTCCTGTTTTACAAAAGCAGAGCAGTGTTTTTTTCTATATTTAAATAATTTCTGATCTTTTTTCTTCAGGAGAGAACCCATTGGACATCGATGATAAAACCACGTCTCTGGATGAGAAGGAGGATGAGCAGAAAGACGGAGATGAAGAGGAGGGAGCAGAGCAGATGGAGGAAGAACAGACGGATAAACCAGGAGAGGAGAACAATGAGGAGACAAAGACTGAAGAGGAAGAAGAGGGAGGAGAAGGAGAGAGAGCGGAGGGAGAAGAGGAGTCTGCTGAGAAAGATGAAGAAAAGGAGGAAGAGAAGGAGAAAGGACATGAAGAAAGGAGAGATGAAGATCACACTGTTCCTAATGAGAAAGGAGAAAAACCAAAGGTGTGTACGCAAGTCAGCTCCTCTTTAACCCACAAACACACACTCTTACACACACAGTTTCATCACGTGAGTCACTGTTTGATGCTTACAGGAGGAGGACGGAGCAGGTGATGATGAGGAGCAGCCGGAGTCAGAGGAGAGGAAGGAGCACAACACGGACGGTCAGACCGGAGAGCAGAACGTTCAGAGTGAAACGGCGGTGGAGCTGGCAGGAGAGGCATCCGAGAGAGACCAGGCCAAAGAGGTAAAGACTCACACAGACTCAGAGGAGGTTTTAACCGTGTATGTGTAGAGGAAGAGGCAGACATTAGATACTCGTCAACAAGAGCACAAAGAATTTAATATACCTGGTCTTCAATCAGACTTTTGGTTTTACTGCTCTCATGATTGTCTGTGACACTGCAACATGTGGTCCATAGTCGTGAGCTTGGGGTCAGACCTTTAATGCCTTTGTAACAGCACAGCTTTCTCTGTAAAATTCTTCATCGTTTTGTTTCCATCGTTTTGGATCTCAGGAACATGGAAGTGGAGCTGCAGACGCCAGCCAATCAGAGGGCCACGAATCAAAGCTGACAGCGAGGATGGCGTCACAGAGACAGACTCAGAAAAAAACCCAGGTGTGAAAACCTGCACACTGATCAGTCTCATTTCTGTTTCTTTTCTCCAGTTTGTTTAACGCTCGGTTTGTTTTTATCTGTTCTATTCAGAGCTTTAAGAGGAAACCCGGCCAGGCCGATAACGAGCGATCTACAGGGGATTATAACGAACGGGTGAATAAACGACTGCGGACAGTGGAGGGCAGTAAGGATCGCTCTGATGACAGCAGACAGAGTGACGCCCAGCAGGAGTCGGACCTGTACGAACACATCAAACAAGGAGAGACGACGTATGACACGCAGACATACGGTCAGTCAGCTCTCTTTTATACAGACACTCACTCTATCATGATATATAATTTCAGTCATAACTTTGAACTTATTAACTATTCATATTTTGAGACATTTTTGTTTAATTTCTTGTCATTTTTCTTTTGTTGTTAAATTTTCTGACTTTTTTTATCTCTCAAACTGATCCTTGAATTGGATTTTTTCACAAAATATCGTCCTTTGTTAGTCTTTTTTTTGCCAAAATTATATTTTATCTAATTTTTCTTGAAAAATTCACAGTAAAAGTATCTTTCATATATAATTTGAAACTATTTTATCCCTTAATAACTTTTGAAAACTTAAAGTCAGACTTAAAATATTTGAAATTATTAGATAAAAAATCTAAATGCAAAAGGAGTCATGATTATAAGACAAAAGAGTCTAACATTGTGACAAGAATCCTTGTTAAGCGATTTAATCTCCAACTTATGACATTTTTATGTACTTTTAACCCATGTGTAAGATATTTACTTTTATATGTAAGTATTTTTTGTGTTAATCACAGAATTATTTGTGTGTCTTTAAAGTAAATCTTTAATTCGACCTCAGAAACAGACGTCCTAAGACTTAAAATATCTCAAAGCAGATTTCTGTATGGTTTTAGGTTTGAGTTTCTGAATCATAGTTTCTTTTTTCTTCCAGATGTTGCCAGCGCAGACCAGCAGAAAGCAGCCGGACCTCAACAAAATCAGGAGAAGGATGAGAATGACGAGGATATCGCCATGGAAATGGAGAACCAGGAAGAAGACCTTCAAGCTGCTGAGGTCCAGGAGCTGAAACCCGAGCAGCTCGACTCCACCAAGGCCTCAAAAACAGGTGACTCACTTCTTCAGTTCCCGCTCTTTTAGAGTTTAATAATCTTCTAGTGAGAGTTTTTATTCACCTGTTGTGTTTGTGTTTTCAGGGGCAGACGGTGGAGAGATGGAGGTGCAGACTCAAGCCGACAAGGAGGAGGAGGAGAGGTGGAAGGACAGACTAAACACCAGAGAAGAAGAGAGAGAAGAGAGGAGCACAGAATCAACCATCCACACGGTTCCTGAGCTGCTGCTGGACTCCATGCAGGTACAGAAGCAGAATCATGTATTTTCTTGTGTGTTTATTGTCTCTTTAGTTGCTCCTCAAGTTGTACTAAAGTCAGGAGTTAAAGCTGAGTCTGTGCTGGTGATTTTGTGTTTGCAGAAAGAAGAGAGAGACCCCGAGGAGCTCAGGAGGGAGATGGAGCTGCAGCTGGAGGCCTGGCACAAACTGGCTCCAGGAACTCAGGAGGAGGTGAGGTTTACTGCAGTCATGGCTGATTTGGAAAAATAGAGTTTGATGAGGTTGTTGTATCTGATGTGTTGTTGTGTCTGTATTTCTTTTAGGAGAGCACAGCCGCCTCCATGTGGCATCAGTACCAGAGTCTGACCTCCGCTCTGTCCCAGCAGCTGTGTGAGCAGCTCCGCCTCATCCTGGAGCCCTCGCAGGCCGCCAAACTCAAGTCAGGACAAAAAAAAAAAACACTCACTGCACCACCTGTTTGTAGATTATGTTTCACACAGTAACTCATATATGTTGTTAAATCCTCCACAGGGGAGATTACCGCACAGGGAAGCGCCTGAACATGAGGAAGGTGATCCCCTATATCGCCAGTCAGTTCCGTAAAGACAAGATCTGGATGAGGAGGACCAAACCCAGCAAGAGGGAGTACCAGATCTGTTTGGCTGTAGACGACTCCTCCAGCATGGTGGACAACCACTCCAAACAGGTACCAGAGCCCTGTCACCTCACCGCATATATAACCCTGTAACGGAGTTAAACGGCCCCCAATTTATTATTTTTCTGTCTAATTTCTATGAGATCTGCACACATCTTGCGGAAAGAAAAAATTGACAAGACTTCCAGATTTCCAACAGACATGAGACAGACATAAGATTTGCTGATCATGCCACAATTTAAAGGGTTTAATCTGTTCATACACGTTGAAATGAAAGCCGAATTGTCGCACGTTTGTCACTCATCCAGTGTAAAGCCAGCATAATGTACAAGACCCAATTTGATGTGCAAAAAGTTCTTCCAATTTTTTACCCTGACAGTTAAACATAATTATTTTAAGTGACTAACAACATTACAGAGAGGATACATGAGAAAGAGCCCAGGTTTGAGATGACTGGATAGATCAGGAGAGAGTACATTATGTGCAAATGAACCATCTGTGTGTCCTTTCTTTGGTGCAGCTGGCGTTTGAATCTCTGTCAGTGATCATCAACGCTCTCACCCTGCTCGAGGTCGGACAGGTGTCTGTGTGCAGGTAAGCATCTGCTCCTTCACACAGACACAAAAAACAAACCAATTGTGGAGATGTAGTAGTGGTGGCAGGAAACAAACACATAAATCCTGAAACAGTATATCAAATACATCTCTTAATGTGAATCTAACTTTACATTTCTGCTCATGTGCTCAGTTTCGGCGAGCAGGTTCAGTTGCTGCACCCGTTCCAGCAGCAGTTCAACGATGAGTCAGGAGCTCGAATCCTCAGACTCTGTCAGTTCCAGCAGAAGAAGACGAGGATAGCACAGGTGGGAATTTTCTCTGTCAAGGGACACCTCAAAAGTTTTTTATGATTTTACATCAAGATCTGTGGTGCAGATGCCTCAAATATGAGCTTGTGTCACTGAGTTCTTATGTATGATGTAGTATTAGAGCCACATTAAGATAGAAAAAGATCTCGATTTTGAGAAACTTGTTTGACTTACATGGTGACTTTCTCCGTAGAGAATTTATAACTTCATTCTTGAAATCTTTTTTTTTTTTATACCTGAATTTTCCTGTGGTACTCCATTGTTTCAACAAACTTCTGTTAGTTTTAGATACTTAAAAACAACCTTTGCATATTCTATTAGGAGAAAAAAGGATGACCTTGATATCTTTCAGATCATTTTGCAGTAAAAAAATTAGGTTTGCAATTTTTAGAAACTGACACCAATCAATGTAATTCAGATGAGTCTGAATGTCAAAATTCATTCTACTTTTTTACTCTTTCTTCATTTCTCTTCCCTGCAGTTTTTGGAGACATCGACTAAAATGTTTGAAGCAGCTCGACAGCACGTTCCTGGATCTTTAAACTCAGGTAATGACTCACCTGTGTCTTCAAGTTAAAAACACAGTCAGTGGAGAGCTGGACTGGTTCACACACATGAACATTAAAAGCACAAAACATACAAAAATAACTCCCAGAAATTATCTTGGTGAGCTGCATCTGCGCAAAGAGCAAATTTTTTATCAGACTTTTCCTGCCAACCTTGAGTAAATTGTCTGTGTGAAGTCTTTTTTTAATTTTTAATCTTGTGCACAAAAATCTGAGTGAGTAAAAGATGAATTTTTGAAGCACTGAGGAAGTGTAAGGTTGTTGGTTTCATTCAGACCTGTACTGACTGTGATTTTCTTCTTTCAGCGTTAATGTGTGATTGTGATTCTGTGGTATTTCACTGTCGGCTCATGCAAAAAGACATGGTTAAACTTCTTGACAAGCTGCATGTTATACTGTCTTTGACTTTGACCTCTTCCACAGAGACGGCCCAGCTGCTGCTCATTGTCTCTGATGGGAGGGGCTTGTTCCTGGAGGGAAAAGAGCGTGTGATGTCTGCTGTGCGAGCTGCACGCAGCGCTAATGTGTTCGTCATCTTCGTGGTGCTCGACAACCCAAACTCACGGGTAAGTTAACATTGGATTTCAATTTTATAGTTCTTAAGTTTTGAAGAACTTTAAAGTTCTGTGAATATAAGTAATGCAGGCGTCATGTTGAAGAGCACTGTGTGTATTGTGTTCTTGAAAAGTCTGAAAACAAATGAGCTTCTTGATGGTGAAAAATTCTCAGTTGACCTTGGACTTAGATGAAGATGAGTGCCTGGGTCAGAGTCAGTGTGTAGCCTATCTGTCGTACCAGTCCCCCAGCTGTTTCTCGTTAAAGAGACAGGAATGACCGCCATCCTTTCTGGCGAATACACTTACTGGTTATAGATAACTTATGAAACTTCACTTCGAAAACAATTAAACTGTAAAAACCCTGTTTTGCAGGACTCCATCCTGGACATCAAGGTTCCCATATTCAAAGGACCAGGAGAACTTCCAGAGATCCGCTCCTACATGGAGGAGTTCCCCTTCCCCTTTTACGTCATCCTGCGAGACGTCAACGCCCTCCCGGAGACGCTTAGCGACGCTCTCCGACAGTGGTTTGAGCTCGTCACAGCAGCCGACCAATGAGAAGCCATCTTTCACAGGCAGCAAATAACTGCACAAAGACTCCCTGCTGCTGCTGCTCGCCTCTCAGACCCAGATAAAAGAAGACTGAAAAAAAGACGGATTTACCGCTGTACATGTGCCTTTATTTTCTGATTTTTACTGTAGATTTTAGTGAATTTAAGAGCAATCTTTTTTTGTCCTTGTTATCAGGGGAGTCGTTTGTGTCGAGGATTGCTTTAACTTGCACGTTTGAGATGAAACGATAGAAACAAAAATGTGATTTCTGTGTGTGAAACACCTCAGTGAAGAGTCGGTAAATACCTCTGTACCCTTTGTATCATAGCCCTGATCATATTCGTGTGTGGATGTGTTAGTCAGTGTTACAAAGATCTTCATTGTCCATCATCAGTGTGAATTCAGTGATAGATGTGACCAACAGTAGCATGTGGGTGAGTTCATGAGTGACTGAAGGAACTCAAAAATGTGCCTTGGAGAGGAGGACAGTGTTTTATCTCACTTCACGCCTGATGAGCTCTCCGCTCTGACAGGATCTCTCATGCACTTTGAAGCACAGGGACTGCAGATCCCACTTTTGATAAAAGTACAGTGTGAGACAAATCTACAGCGTTCATCTTTCCTCCATACTGTGTGACTTCTCCCCTACGAGCTCAGAGCTCCTCACTGTTTCAGAGTAGGTGTAAATGTTTGTTATCACCTCAGTGTTTCGTAACGTGTTCAAACATGTAGGCAGACATATTTTAGAGGTTGTTTCTTCATGACCTTCATGTGTTTAACATCCTGATAATAAACAGTTTACAGGGTCACTCTACTTGTTCTTGTTCATTTGACTTTACAAAAAAATCACTGAGCAAATCATAATGTAACGCTAATATTACTCCAGATTACCTGAATATTTGATTATATTATACACTGTAGATGATGAAATCCCAATTTATTGCTGAGCAAAATTAATCTGAAATTACTGAGCTATTTGATCATAGTCTCTCAAACATTGGCGCCTCTTTGAACTTACCGTTTTATACTTATTTGTGTAACTAACTTATAAAATGTTAACTTCATTAACAAAAAGATTGTAAGCATTACACAATTGTGAACCATTCTGATGACCCTGCTCCCATCTTGGAACATGTCAATGACATCAAATTTAAAATTTGCTTTTTTTTCTCATATTAGAATCAGAATTAGGAATTCTTTAATAACCCCTATGGGGAAATTGCTTTTGTTACAGTACTCCAGTGCAAATACAGTAAAAGAGCAGATAAATAATAAATAAAATAAAAGATCAAATAAGTAAAAATGTAGAGATAATATACAAGTATTTACACTTTAAACAACACAAATAGTGACACCGTATGCATATATAAAGTATCTATACTTTTCTTTTTTAATTTTAACATTACATATTTGATATTTCCACTATTTTTAACCAAATAAAATGTTGAATTACTTGGAAACCATCTTTTTTTTTACATTTAACAAGCAGCCCAACTCTCAAAAGCGTTTCAGATGTCCCTGTTTGTATTATATACCACAAATTCTCTCACAACTATGTTACTATTTTTACTTTGCACATAGTCTGTATACATGTAAAAGCAAAAACACAAAATAACAAAATAATAAATAATTTAAAAGATATTCTACATAGTTTTTATAAGGAGCAAAAGAAAAAACACGAGTGTTTAAGAGTTTGTGTTTAAGAGGAAGGGTGTGACAACTTAAACCTTTCAAACTACTTTGTTAATGTCGAAACAAACAAACGAGACATTTAAATAGTGTAGTCAAAACAGCAACAGCTCTCTCTCTCTCCAAATGTTGCATTGAAATGCTGATATTGCATTCAAACGTTCACAAATGTTGCCCGCTCAACAGTTCAGCGCTCACTTTCTTATGAGGGCACAACAACAGGCATTTTTTCTTTCTTAAATCTTGGTGGAGTGCAGCATCTTAACTTTTCACACTTGCAGAAAACTTGACATTTAAACAATAATATTCATACGCCCCCCCAAAAAAACAAACAAACAAAAAAAACCTCAAAATAGTTGAAGAACAGGTCAATAGCTGAATAACAGTTCACTTAAACTAGCATTGCAACCTCACAAACTAAAATGCCTGCTAGCTTGGCCTTGGCTTCACCAGACTCCTTGGCTGCTTTTCTGCCACTTCAAGGGGTACAAGAATCTCCTTGAGCACATCTGCATTAACGGTTTGCTGCTGCTCTTCTGCCGGCGCAAACCCCCAAATTATAGATTGCTGGTACTTGAACACCACCTCCTGTGAGAAGATCAACAGCTCTTGGATTGAACTCTGATGCGAATCCTCGCATGAACTGAACCAGGTTTGGAAATCTGCCCGCCTGGAACAATTTGGCTTCAGGAAGCTCGAGGAATCTCACATACGGGCCGTATTCCTTCAGCTCAACATGTGCTAAGCAGGCTTCTTTAAAGCGAGTTAATTCACAAATGAAAATGTTCAATTTTAGCTCTGGCACTCCGATTTGGAGTAGCAGATCCCTAATCAGGACGAACACTACTATGCCTGTGTCCTGCATGTACTCTGACAAGTACTTGACCACTTTCATCCAGGGTTTGGTGTGTTGAAGTTCTACTTGCAGTGACAAGCCAACCACCACCCATCTGACCGTCATCTGACCACGGATAAGTTGGGCCAACGTTGTCATCATCCGCCTGCTCAAGAGGTAAGACTGATCAAGGTGTGCAGACCCACCGTCAACCATAACCCTGATTCGAGTCAGAGCATTGTCGATGGCCGAGTTGTAGCAGGACACTGCTTTGATCGCCAGTGCAAACGTAAAAGCACAAACTGAGGCCAGAATAATGTCTGGAGTAAGGTTGGCACAATTTAGTGCATCAGGATTACGCACACTTTCCAATCTCCTTTGGTTGAAGGCTGTAGCGGCCTGTGCCATGGCTCTACCAAGGGTTGCAGCTAATGGATCATTGTTGTCTTTAACTACAAGGAGTCCTCGCTGGATCACCATGGGGTGTGATGTGGAGGGGCACTCCATTTTTTTACTTACTTCAGCTAAGAAGTTATCAGGGCTGTGAATGCCTATCGTCAGGATAGCGTTTAACAATGCACCACTGACCTCTGACTCTACAGGCAGGTGAAGGAGAGCTTCGACTGCAATCACAAGAGCTCGGGCTAGTCCAACCTCGCTCCTGCAGTCTGAGCTAATGAAAAGCATTGTCCGCTCTTGAACATGAACTCTCAATGTGCAGAAATCATCTGTCCTAGAGTGTCTGTCATTTGAAGCTGACATTAGGGCCAGTTCATGAAGAGGGATTGATGATTGCATTTTTATCTTTGAATGGAGGTGCTGGATTGGATTGTTCTCTTTTTTCACTTTCATCAGCTATGAGGATCCACAGGTCGACCAACACGGCATCCCTGAAGTCAAGTTGCACTTCCTGAAACGGAGCAAGAGGGCAAATATGTCATACACATATACTGAAACAGCGGCGTGGTATGTCCTCAGCACACAGGCCATCCCTTTTTATTATTATTTTTTGTATGAAAAATAATATAAAATAACATGAACAGTTCAAACAGGCCTGAAACGGGGCAATATGTCGAACAGAAACAGCGGGGTGGTCCCTCCCTCCCTTTTTAGCGTCACTTTTATCAACCAAACCTAACTATAAAAGTTATATACATCGTCGAAATAAACCCACGATACATTTTAATGCGTGTTAAGGCACATTAAGCAACTTTCAAACTTACTAGCTTGAACACTGAAAGAGAGAGCGAGTGAAAGATGTCTCACTGCAAGTCTACCCAGAACAAAATCCTCCTCATTTTTACCGTGGCGCGCGCAGCTTCCTCGCAGAAGAGTGTCTCATTAATGTTCACTTGTGTTTTTACAGTTTGTAGTCCTCCCTTACCTATCTATGCAGTAGATGGCTAGTAGAGGAAGTGACGTTGTGTCGCACATGCGCAGTACAAATCGGGTAGCAACAGGCACGTTAGCCACAATCTTTCAAAACAGCTGCCAGAGATGACGGTTTCAAGGTTACCACATGCAGCGCTCACCTTAAAACAGGTAAATTCTAAAGAATAATATACACTCTCACAGAGAACTGCAGAAACCGACACCTACTGAACTCTACTCATTTAAGACAGAGAAGATAAATGGTAATGTGCTTCAGAGACTGAACCGGTTTTCTTGTGTGTTAGTTTTTACAGAGACAGAAGATTCTGGGGATTTACAGAAACATGCTGAGGACCATCCGGCAGGTACCAGCGGAGGCAGACCGGAAGTACCTCAGAGACTGGGCCAGAGACGAGTTCAAGAGGAACAAGAACGCCACAAACCCGGTAAAGAGGGAGGGTACTCCTGTTTGTCTTTTTATTTGACAGTCATCGAGGTCCCATGGAGGTGATCTGGCAGCTCTGTGATTGAGGAGTTGATGTCCAAAACTAGCCAAAGAAAGAGCAAAGTCTCCATTCCATCACCTCCTTTTTTACACTCTGATTTTATTCGTGTGGTATGGGTTGTCACTGATGTCTGGTCTGTTCTGTATCCCGGGTCTTTGCTACTTCTCTGTTTGCCTTGGCTTTTCATATATGCACTTAAAAGAAGGGCAAGGTGTGCTCTGCCTGCATCAGACTTTGACATCTCACATATGCTCGTAATAATGAATCAGATTTCTTACAGCACTTTATCAGAGACTCTCAAAGCGCTTTACATTAGATACATCATTCAGTTGCTCACACAGTCACACTCTGGTGGTGGTAAACTACCTTCATAGTCACAGCTGCACAGGGGCAGACTGACGGAAATGTGGCTGCACAGACACTGGGACCAAGGTGGGTTGAGTGTCTTGCCCAAGGACACATTGGACAGCCTTGGTATAGGGGGGAAACGAACCGCCAACCTTCCAGTTATTGGACGATCACTCTACCTCCTGAGCTACTGCCGTTCAAGTGTTGAATATCTTCTTGCACGCAAACAATTAATTCTCTTTGACGTCTGTCCTAACTTAACTGAACCACTTAAAAAATTTCATGAATAAACCTGTTAAAGTGCCTTTGAGTTCATGAAGACTTTGAGTGCTAATGTTTAGTTTTTCTCCAAGCTTTATGCTGATCACCTTTGGGGTTTTTCCGCTCACTATGTCTTTCAGGATGTGATCCGTATGATGGTGACACAGGCCAACAACCACCTGGAGGAGCTGCAGAAAAGTTTGGCATTGGCCAAGAGTTAACATCTGTGACAACCGCGGACTTGATCTGGACTGGCTCTAAATGAAAACTATCATGTTTCACAGAGACCCTGGAGGGTAAAATCCGGGAAGGGAAACTTCAGAAACTCTTCTTTGATTGGATGCCTTCTTGGATGATGGAAACAGCATGGCACATGTGAAGCAGGTCTCTGGTCGTATTGTGCATTTTATGTAAGTGTTGTATATATTAAATTGGAACTCATGAAATCACAGACACATGTAGAAAGATTGTTTCTTTAATACAAAACATGTTTGCAGAGTGCATTATTGAAATCCACAGTTATCCATTTAAGACCAACATACAAACATCTCACAGCAGAGCCGCAGACCCCCTGTTTTAAATGTTGGTGTGAGCCTTAGACTTATTCCAGACCACAGGCCAACTTTACCAAAACATAAGCACAAAGTAATATCAGCATACGCTTTGTTAGGTAGTACAAATAACAAAAATATAACTTAATTGAGCTACAGTTCAAAATCATGCTGTTGTGTCTAAAAACATATGACCGGGTGACTGTGGCTCTGCAATTTGATGATTTTTAACTTAACACATCTCAACAGACAGTCACTACAGCAAACAGACAGCAGACAGTAATACTGCAACACAACTCTGAGCTTTCTTCATGCAACAAGTTCAAACACAACCCATCTTAATGTTAGAAAAGTAAGACAAAAACTGGCAGTGTGCTGCAGTTCTGGGAGGACCGTACAGACAGTACTTTTTTGTTCAGGATCAGAGATAGGCTATTTTAAAGAGACAGATCCCAGCGTCTTAAAGAGGAGGCTGGAGTGTGCTAGAGGGATGTTATCCACTTTTAACCTTGTGAGGGGAATTAATGAACACACAGCGCTGGCTTTATAGATGGGAATAAAAGTCGAGAAGCGACAGCAAATGAGGGAGGGCGGGCAACCGTAGCTAGGTAAAACTAGGCCTAGTGTGAATGCGCAAAAGGAGACAAAATGTGCATTAAGCCCTGAATGATACTGGCTACCAAAACAGCTTGTGACATTTTTGGATTTAACTCTATGGTTGTAAAAAGTTGGTATAGTAAGAGGCACCTTTAACACCTATTTTTACATCTAAAAGGTGAGCAGCATCCCTCAAGTGATTGTGACTGACAAACCAGTGTTAAATGCAGAAGTGTAATATATCTTCAAATACAAAGCGTAACTGACCAGGCTTTTCACAGCTTTCCTTTCTGATTTTGTCATAATAATGCATTTAAAGACTATGATAGTTAACTACCAAATTAGCATAGTTTATATCTTATGGCAGGATTACAAGCTCCATTAAGTTAAAACAGATGGCAGTAGAGAGAGCTACACAGCTGCACAGACACTGCACATTGCAGACTTTTCAGAACACATTGGAAATCTTCACTGACACCTACCAACTCACAGCATTTTTAAGCATCAAAATTTGATATAGTGGGATTATTTGAACTGTTGCTGGTGGTTCTGTCTGATTTGGAAGGTCACAATAAGGTATCAGTCTCAGTCTGTTTTTTAACACCTTTAAAAGCTCCTCGCAGTGGTTTTAAGTTTGTTTTTGTTGATGTCTACACATATCCTGTTTTGTACGGTGGCTCTTAAGTCAAGTTGCACATTCATAACGTTTTAGTGAATGCTGAGAAAACCTCTAAAACAAAATGCGTTTTACTAATTGCAAAAATATTTCTTTAAATACACCAAAAAAAAAAAGTTAAAAAAGTAAAAACAATTACACAAAATAAGTACTTCATAAAACAAAAAAACATTTCACAAAGTGTAATTTGTTTTGCTTTCATTAGCTATTTTGTGTTATTTTTGCAGTCATACATTTTTTTTGTGCAGTTGACTTTTGAGACCACAGAACTTTAGTTTCATCCTTTTCCAAACTAAATATATTGATGCACCTACTTACATTATACAAATCTTAAACTCCTCGACAGGCACACTCCAACCTCCATATTTCAGCATAACTTGCAGCAAAATCAGCTATAATACTCTAAACTTAACAAATAAAACCTTCAGTGGAGTTGTTTACAGCTTAATATCCGTGTGATGAAATCAGACAGTAGATAGGTTGCTCTTCTTGAGTCACAGGTTGGATTCCAGCATGCACTTCTAAACACAAAGCTTATTCCACTGTTAGTCCTCCATATAGACCACCCTCACTCTTCTTCGGATCATGGGCTTGTGATTCCAAAATGAGTCTGAAGACAATTAAAGACATTTATAAAAACAAACAGCCGTTAATGTTCATGTTATAAAGTGAGTTTTACATTTCAATGGCACATTAGATCAACCTAGCTTAATATCTACTGGTTTATTTACAGCACAGTGCACAGAAGCTGCCCTTTTTTTATTTGAAAATGCACACTGCACACGTCTCATCACAACAGTCCAGTGTTAGCTCCACAAAGAATAAGATTGGAGTTTTGAAGGTGGAACATTTGTAGGCATTCATTGATTTTAAATAATAAGTTAGGCTAACCAACAGTGAGATGTTTTTTTCCCCAGCATTCTTCTTTTAACAGTCAGTAGAGGGCACCCCTACCCTTTGCATAAAAGGGAACTTTTTCAAGTTGGTTTATAACCTCAGTAAATCTCCAGTGAGATTACGGTCCAATCTTTAGCTAAATGATTGACAAGACACTGCAATAACAACATTTGGACTTAAGGAGTCTAAATACTGTTATAATATTGTGATGAGCTCGGAAAACAGCAAAAGTAAAGGAAAAATGAGCATTGTGACGCAACACCACTTCAAAAATAGTAAAAATGCTGTGCAAAATGATCAGTAAAACAACATTTTTGATGCTTTCCAAATCCAAATAATTTAAACCCTGTTTTTTATGCAGATCATGCCCCTGCCTTAACTTTGATGTAACATATTTCTGCAATCAAACTGAAAATAAGCATACATTTGATAAGTTGTCTTTATACTATTTCCAATCAGATAAAGGGTTTAAACAATTAGCAAACCATCAAATTCTGGTTTTACTGATATTTTACACAGCATCATATTTTTTTCAGGATTGGGGTTTTTCATTCCAGCCTTTCTCACTTTGTCAGCAGCTGAAATGACCACTGATAGAGAGAATCTGAAGGGAGTTAGGACCAGATTTCAAGGTAATATGAATTACATAATCCTACTACTTCCTGCTAGCTTCATAACAACAGCTAATGTCAGAATTCAGCCACCTCCCAGCTAGTGTTGTTGGAAATTATCACTTGACTGTGAACTAAAACTCAAACTAAGTTCAATGCTGATGCTGTTTTCCTCTTTCATTGAAATAAATTCAACCCTCAAAATACTTGTTATCAATTGTCATTCAGCTGCTGATCAATCTACTGGTGGTAAAACGATAACCATTTGTAAGATTCTTTACATTTGTGATTTGCATGCTTGAACACAAAAGGGTGATATTAAAACAGTATCCATGCTTTTAAACACATACAGAAAGTGGGTAAAGTGGGAGAATGCTTATTGGCTGGAGTTGTCCGTGTCATAATTCAGTGTGATCAAGTCTTCTGTGGAGTTTTTAAGTTTTTGTGAGACTTGGTGAGGATCTACAAGGTGTCTGTTAGCAGTCATCTCGCCTGTTAGTCCTCAGCATGCGCAGCTCGTCCTCCAGATAGTTAATCCTCTCGATCAGAGCGGCTCTGTCGGCCTCTGCTCTCTGATTGGCCTGCCAGCGAGCCTCCTGCACCTTCCTCTCGTACCAGCGCTCCATCTGCGTCGACACCGCCTCGAAGAAGTACTGCGTCACCTCCAGAGCGTGCATGTTGTCCCTCTCCTGAGCAAAGGAAGGTTCAGTTGGCGGTTGGTCCCCAAAGACCTCAAGAGTCCGGACCCCTGGGGCCCCTCTGGACTTAGTCCTGCCCTGCGAGTGCTTCCTGTGGTGCTTCCCTTTGTCCCGCCCTCGCTCTCGGTCTCTCACCACGGTTTCAGTCCTGCTGCCGCAACGCCGCTCTGTAGCCGGTGACAGGCTGCTGGCTCTGTGAATCCTGGCCCTCCTCGTCTGGCACTCCTTCATGTCCACATCCTGCAGGTCCTGGTTCTTCCTCTGGGCCTCAACACAGACCGCTAACCTCTCTTTAGGCCGGACCACCTGGACAGAAGACTGCGGGGTCTTTGCCGCTGCATGAGTGGCGACTTCAGGGCTGTGACCCTTGTGAGCATCTGTGAAATTTACAAAAGCGATTCAACAAGCACAACTGATTCCACAGCAAGAGTAAATCAGGAGCTTTTAGTGGACAAACTTTGATTAAATGTGTCCACTATCAAAATATGACAGCAGCTGTTAGAGCCTCTTTCATGTCTGCAAGCTGAGAACATATTTTTTTAGCTATTACAGCACAAGTTTTTCCATTTTATCCCATAATACACCATGAAACTGAATGAATCATTGGGTGGACACGGTCTCTAGTGGGCTCCTGAGATACAGTAGCTCAATAATTGGTTTAAATACCATCAACACTGGAGAAAGGTCTACATTAGTTTTTATGCTGTATCTAAAACTTTAAAAACATTAACTTGCAGATAACAGATAGGAAGTAAACCCTTTGTGAAACAGGCAGAAAACCCACAGTCCACATCCTGTGAGTGGGACTGTTACTCTGTTACTTCTGAGCAGAATGAAGCAAATTTTCAGTGATTTCGTGTTTTTCTCTGACAGCAGTGAATTTGTTCTTTCCAAAATTGTCCCAACAGAGAGACATAATTTCATAAAATGTTCATGACATCCATCTGCAGAACAAATTATGCTCACAGAGTTTCACTAAAAGCATCTTTATGCTCCACGAACCACTTCCTGGTGACAGTGCAGAGCTGTTTTAATGTGTTTTGACACTATTATAATTATGTTTACCTACATTTACCATTAAAACAAATTTATCATATGTTAGTCCAGTAGGTTGAGAACCATGGTTGTTGCTCTGGATGGAAAAAAAAAACTGAAATTCTATTAAATTAAACTATTAATTAAGAATCAAGTATCCTCTGTGGACCGGTCTGGGTGCAGTCATTACCTGGCGAGCTCTCAACATGAACCACAAAGTAGTGGTTGCTCGCTCCGCTCTCTGCCACACTCGCCTCCCCCCAGCTGGACTCGTGGGGCCCGGGGCTGCTGTGGAGCTCCAGACACTGGGTCCCTGAAGGCAGCACAGTAAGGCCAGCTCCATCAGCTTCATTCAGACCATCGTTCACAGAGGAGGAGCGCTGCAGCTTGTTGGGATCTCCGGTGAAGCGGACCTCCATGTTCTGCAGTTTGGACAGACACCAGCTCTTCAGCTCGCTGACCAGGGACGCCTGCTTAAAGGGCAGAAACACACACACAAACACACACACATAAGAGTCTCTATTAATTTATGCCACATATGATTTTGTTTAGCTGTTTTTACATTAATAATTAAAAATTGAAGCTGCATTCTATTATTCAATTACTTATTTTCTACTCATTGTATTCATTGCAAAAAAAAAACAGTGCCATCCAGCTTGTCCACGGCGCTGTGAACTCTTTGTACTGTCCATCAATCTGTCTCTAGTTGAGCTGTGCTGGTTGTTACCTGTCTCCTCTCCACCTCCTGTCTCTCCTGCAGAGCTCGCTGCTCGATCCTCTGCAGACACTCGCTCCTCTCTGCCGACACTCTCTCCACCGTCATCTTATCCAGAGCCCGGATCTGATGGTAAAAATAATGCAAAGATTATGAAAATCACCTGGTTGTTTGGATGTCTGTCTTCCCGCCTTACTCAGTCTGCCTTATGATGTGCCGAATTTATGTACCATGCTTTAGCATCCAATGAAAATAGGAGTAAAGGACTCCTGATAACCAGTGAAGCTGCATTCCTTGTATATCTATCTTCTCACTCTATGTTACCTGGTGTTTGTTCTTGCGGTCAAGCTGGCCCATCTTGCTGTTCATCAGGTCTTGGACTGTATGGATCTCGGTCTTCATCTCCTCCTTCGTGGCCTCCAGCTGGTTCTCCAGTTTATTGATAAGAGGTTCACAGCGGCAGCCGTTCAGAGGAGCCTGCAACCAAAACACACATTTCAATAACAGAGCACACACAAACAAAAACTGATGTGATTATAAGATGATAATACTGCTAAATACTTTTGTTTTTATTTATTATGTTGCAGAAGTCAAGCTCTGTGCTCATAGGGAAAAGCTGAAGTTCCTGCTAAATCTGGTCTAATTGAAGTTGTTTCTAAAAATACACATGAAGGTGGACAGAAAGGAAAATGTGCCCTTTTGTGTTTAAATGACACCATATTAACAAAATGAACATCATGCTGTAAGGAAGACCATAAACTCATGATACAAAATGTTTACTGCAGGAACTAAAGACACAGAGCTCCCAGGATACGTGACTCACCTGCATGATCTTTCCATCCTTGTTGCGGTAGAGCGTGTACAGCTGGTAGGCTTTATAGTTGTGAGGAGGGATACATGCAGCTCCTCTCAGTTTGTCTTTCTTCTTGTGAAAATTTTCACCTTGTCGAGTCTCTCTGCGGCGGAGGGGGTCAGACAGCGACGGCTGAAACATCAACAGACGTCAAATTAGCCAATTTATCCAATCAAGTCTTAACATGTTCAGAACTGTATTCAATTTCTACCTCTAAAGGCATTAACGTGGATTACTGTGTGTGTTTTTGTCATTCCAGGTGACCTCAGACCTCTGGGACTTACCTTCTCTTTCTGCTTCCTGTTCTTCCCCAGTCTGGCGTTTGACTCGTTCACCTCTGCGTGCTTACAGGCAGCTCGTTCGCTGCTCTGCGTGTCGTCTGCTGCAGACGCGCTGTCCTGCAGGGAACAGGAAGAGAGGAAGGTTTGTCAGGTCAGGAAATGTTTGAGCACTTGGGTATTACAAAATCTCAAAAATGTAACATCTACAGTAGCTTTCAAAATGATCATGAAAGTATATCTGGTGTACTTGCATGCACAGGTATTTGGGCTTCTTTTTTAGTTGTTCAATTAATATCCTAAAAATTAAAGTTAACTGTGTAAAATATTTGATAGAAAAAGATTTTAATGGTTTACAAATCGTTTTTATTTAACTGAGGACTGTGCAAAGTCAACACATCAAGTGCTGACACTCGAAAATTTGATTGTTTTGTGTACTTATTTTAAATTCAATGGCAGCGACGTGTTTGACATTACCTTACAGGGCAGCATCTCATCTCTGGGCACTGACTGAGCTCTACCCTCTGCCTTCAGTTTGTCTCTCCTCTTCCTCACACTCCTGCCACGCAGAAAACTCTGAACCTGAATCACAAACAGGACACATTACATTAAAAAAAAAAATCTGTGCTCTCCAGTAAATGCAAAATAAAGACAGCAGATTATTAACTATATGGGCACACTCAGAAAACATTTGTTCTTTACAGCACATGAGCTCAAATTGGAGAAAAATGTAGTGCTTAAATGTTTGAGCAAAGTTACAGTAAAACAATCCTCTTTGTTTGCAGCTGATGAAACAAGGATTACTGGTTTTACCTGGGGAGCTTTGGTGAGAAGCAGAGCCACTTCTGGGTTATTATGCTCTCTTGCCTGGTCCAAAGCTGTCTGACCTGCCTGCAAAAACACACACAGACACACACACAGACTTAAACAGACAAATTAATAGCCGTATATTTTCTGATTGTGGACTTCAAATTTGTTTTGGCCTTTTTTAATGAATCTCCATAAAGCAAAATCAAAATTTAATTTATATAAACTTCACTTTCATTTGAAATCTTTTTATTTTTTTTATTTTCTGGGTGCAATTAAGCATCTGCCTTTTTATTTTTCTGTAAGAAATAAAATGTAAGGAAATAACCAAATACTTGCAACAAAAACCTAACAATGGGTGAAGCTGTGTGTGCATTCCTGTGGGCATACATGTGTATGAGTGTGTGTCCTGCTTTGGAGGTGGATGCTGAAGAGGTGATGGAGCTTTGAGTGCAGCTCTTGTGCACAGAAGAGCAGAGGCAGAGACTGATAAACCTGGAGTCTAGATAGACTTTCAAATTCGGAGGGTACGTTTAATATATGATTGTAGGAATGACAAATGGCAAGAGTGAAATTAGTGCAGCTAATACTGCTAGCCTGAACTACCTCACAGGTTTCAATTAATATATGTTGCAGAAAGAAATGATACCTAAACGTCATATATCAAGAGCGTCTGGGTTGGTCTTTTAACTGCATAATACTATTTTTTTTTGTCTGAGGTCTGCTTTTCTTGATTTGACTTAAAGTGTAAGAGTTTGTTTTATTGTTCTTTAGTATTTTCTGTCCCTGTTCCCTTTTACTCAGCCTTTAGGAGAAACACATCTGTTTTGATTCTTTATTTATGGAATTTCCATTTTGTATGCTACTCAGTGCTGTTTTAAACAGACTGCAGGAGACAGAGAAAGTGTGAAAACATGTCCGACTAGAAGATGAAGAAACACAGAGTGAGCGCACGAACACAAACACTTCCTCCTCTAATGATGTGTAAAGAGTCTGCAGGCACTCACGTTGTTACAGATGCGACTGTCTGCTCCTGCCTCCAGCAGCAGACGTACCGTCTTCTTATGACTCAGAGCAGATGCAATGTGGAGCGGGGTGTCCCCAGCCTGTACGCACACACACACACACACACACACACACACACACACACACACACACACACACACACACACACACACACACACACACACACACACAAAACAGGACGTTGTGTTGATAAGAGATGGCACTCTTAGCATCCTAACTGGGCAAATATCAACACCTGAATAAAAGTGTTTAACCTTTGCAGCAGCTATTTTTCATTGTTAACATTTAGAGACTAAAAACTGGACATTCATTTTTTATTCATTTATTTATTTAACTTTTACTTAACCAGGGATGTCCCATTGGGATTAAAAACCTCCTTTTCAAGGGAGTCCTGGCCAAGAGGCAGCAAAAAGTTGCCGTTTCAACACAATTTAAATGGCATACAAATTAGATTAAACAGTTACAGGTTAAGGAGGCTGTCTCAAGTGCTCTCAGTCTGGATTTAAAGTGATTCAATGAGATAAGTTCTGTTAGTTTCCAGTCCTTTTGCAACAAGTAAATGCTACTCCTGGTGAATTTTTAGTTAAAAAAACGGAATAAAACAATTCAAAGACAAGCGGCAAGCTCTGGAGAGAATAAATGAATCTCAATGTGCTGAAAACTGCAGTTCCCAAATTGTCCACTTGAGGCTGGCTGTAGAGGCACATGAAACCACAAACCACCTCACTCAAAAAAGCCCATCTTTAGTAGACTACATCCTCTTCACATGGGGTTCAAGTTTAAACTGCTGCCTCTAAGATTTGTTCCCGATATGCATCAAAAAATAAAATGAATAAAAACTATCAATGGCAATGAGAATGAATTTGTACCCACATGAAACCAAAACTTACTTTCACCAGTGATGTTAATATCAAAGATAAAAGTCTGCCCATTGCTCACAAAATGTGTTGATCAATGTAATAAACAAACTTTATTTATGATTGCATTAAAGAAAGCACCCTTGTTATCCAGTTTAAAGGATTAACTGCTGTATCAAATAAGATTTTCTGATACATAATCAATATAAGGAATATAAGCAGCATTAATCTGTTAGCATCTTATACTTGTACAGCATTAATGTTCAATATTAGCCACAAGGTTCCAGTTTAGAGCGACCACTTTGAGATCATACAGATAACATATATTCATTACTCATTTTACTGTATAATCAAAAATTCCTGAATAGAAATTAGATTAAATAAAGTAAGTTAAAAATGATCCTATTCTGTCCCAATACTATACCAATACTGGAAATACATTAATAAATGCACAAACAGGATTATTGAGTGTTTGCTGTAGCTGGTGGTAGATAATTACTCCATATCTCAACACTCACTCACCAGATTTTTCTCTGACACGGAACAAAAGGCTCCCAGCAGGATACGGATCATCTGCACATGGTTGTAACGAGCGGCCACATGGAGGCATGTATCTCCCATCTGGAAAAAAAAAAAAAAGATTTCACATGAATTTAATCTTTTATTGCAGTTGAAGGATGGGCAAAGCGGAAATAAATCAATGGAGAGACAAAACACCCTTTTGCATCCTAACTAGGCAAATACCAACACTTGAATACAAGAGTTTAACCTCTGCACCACATTTAGAGATTATTGTTTCTTCACACATCTAGAAATAAACGCAGAAGAAAAAGCATTTTAATTCTGGGTTTGTCTTTTTTTTCCTGCCCTAACTCCTTCAATTGAATGCATCAATAATCTAAGAGTAAAAGTGAGCCAAGTTCATTCCTGTTGTGTCATCTTTTACCTAACTACAGTTTTTAAACCCTTTTTTTTCCCTTTCAGTGACATTAAGTAAACTGTAGTCACCTTGTTTGAAACTTCAGGATTAAAAATTCATGTCTCCTCAGTGATTTCCAGCGATAAGCACTCAGACCGAAGACAACGACAACATGCTCCTCCTGTTTGTTTGCTGAGTAACAACAGCTTCCCCGGGAGGCTGTAGATTATCTCTGAAGTGCAGAAGCACTCTGAGTGTTTCATAATTAAGAAAGTACTGCGCCGTGTGAATGAGACTGTGGAGGGAGTGCAGAGCAGAGAGCAGGAGGACATCCCGGGTTAGGTAACAGGAATAAGAGGAAGGAAGAAAGAGGCCAAGTTTGGGGTTCGACTCTTCAGGTAAAATCAAAACAGATGGGGAAATATTATCAAAAAAGCAAAATGTGAGGTGTGAAAAAGTTTGTGGATTCTTTGATTGAAGAGTCTGACAATGCATCCTTTCAGATTGTTTCATGAATACCCAAAATCAAACCTAAAATCAACTGCAAACTGGACTTACTTGTCACTTCTAAAGGAGATAAAGTTCTTGGATAACAGCCAAGAGGGTTTTGTGAATTAGTAAAGATAATTTTGTCAACTTTTAATGTAGTAACAATGTATAATGCAGCATTAATTGAAGGCTGAGACCGATTAGTGCACGAGGGGGTTGCTGTTCACATTATTTACCCATGAACCCTCAGTGGTCCTTGTCTTAGTCAGTCATTAAGAGATTGCCCACTGAGGATGATCTACATCTAAAACAACAAACAAATATTGTTCTTCGCTGACGCAGTAACAATTATGGCTGATATTTTAATCTACAATTATACAACAAAAACAGATTTTAAAAAAAGTTTTTTTTTTGTAAATCTTTCAATTTTTTGCGATTAACGTGAATAAAACTAGATATCTCATGCTTGTCACTTCGAACTATGTTTTATTGTTCATTTATATCATCTCAATATCACTCCCCTAAATGAAGTCTGGGCTGCAGCTCAGATATTACATTTTAAAGTGTAAAAACTGTCAACAAAAGATTAAATCACATCCAAAAAAAAGCAGTCGATCGGCCATTTTTAAGTGCCCATGTCTCGAAGTAGCAGAATAATCCTTCTCAGAATGATCGACTTTTAATCCGATAATTACAATGAAAAGAATGAGCCTGAAAACCAGTTGATCCTGTAAGCTTACGGTTAATTTTCTCTGGCAGATGCGTCTGGTTTTTCCCCTGTTTGGACACATTTCTGTATGTCTTAGATCAGGTCTGAGTGTCTGAAAATGTCTCAAATGCTCCCTAATTTAGCAGGTTACCAGGTTCGGCAGACTTACGTGGTTCTTGCCGTCGGGTCTGGAGCCTCCCAGGAGCAAAACCTTGGAGCTCTGAGCGTGACCGTTCTGACATGCCAGGTGGAGGGCAGTGTTTCCTGCCTGAAAACAAGGACAGAGCGAGAGTCATCATACTAGAAATGAGTAAGTCTAAATATGAGTGGATGGTGAGATGATGCTGGACGGCAGTTACATAAATTAGATTTGAAATACAAAACACACTGGCCTTGTTTCTCTCTAAAATACGTTAAGCACTGAACAGAGGCTGGGGGAATGATCATTTGACCAGAGATCTAAGTAAACAGATCTAACCTGTGCTGTGGACTCACCTTGTTTTTGGCGTGGACATTAACTCCAGCCTTCACCAGCAGTTTGACTGACTGACTAAACCCATGCCAGGACACCTCATGGAGAGCCGTGTTTCCATCCTGATACAACAGAAAGCTGAAAATTACGCTAATGCACTCAAATTCATGTGAATATACATTTCAAAGACGCCTCCAACACAGATTATCTTCCTATATCTCCAATTCCTGAACAGTTTGGATGCTGTAAAGCTGATTTTGTTTTTTGTAAATCATCTAAAACGTCATTTAACTGAAGATAAAGCAAAGACAGCATGTCAAAAGATGAAACTTGCTGCCTGAGGGCCTGAAAATCACAATCATCCGGTTATGGTTTTGCACAGAGATTTCTCCAGATAATCTGAATGAATAAAACGTAAGTAAACAGTCAATGTCCCTGCAATAAAGTCTCAATGAGATTTGAAAAAGACCTAAATTGTTATCTTTATCTATAAGTTGCACAGGCATGAGTCAGACATGAGTGCGACTTAAAAACTAAAAAGGAAAATCCAGTTATTCCAACATTGATGACCCACATTTTACAGTCCCAGAAAGTGAAGTAGGATAAGTGTATTTAGCTTGATAATTTGTACTAATTTAACACACCACAGGAAGTTTGGCCAACTATAATGAAGTAAATGGTTTTATTAAGTCACGGCTGGATTATTTCTTTTAATCTCAAAGTACGAACTAAAAAAAACATCTTTTATCACATGTAAAGACTTTGGACCTTAAATGGAAGTTAAAACTGTGTTCATGTTTAATCCCTGATCTGTAGGTCATTTCCCTTTTTGTTGTGAGTGCTCTGAAGATAAGCAGATTACAGGCACATGCATGTTTCTCTATGATAATCAGATGTTTTACTTCTGCTATTATGAAACTTTAAACTCCCTTTTTTTTCTGAGAGTTAGCTATTATGCCCCGAGGGTGTTTTTGAATATACATGTATTGATCTGCACCTTGTCCTGTCGGTCCAGAGCACAGCCTTCCTGGATGAGGGAGCTGATGATGTCGCTGTTTCCCACCACGGCAGCCCGGTGCAACGCTGTCTGCTCACCCTGTAAACACACACAGATGCGGACACACAAAACAGAACAAGGATATGTAAGGAAAAACTCTCTAAAAATGTAGTTTTTAATCAGATGGGACTATACAGTACATTTTTTGCAATGTCTGTAATCAAGCTGTTTTATTTTCAACCAGCGTGTCCACTGTGAAGTCAAAACACAAGGTCCACAAAATGATCCATCCCAAGAAATGATCAGATCACATAAAAGAGCACAACGGTAAATCACACCCACCAGAGACACACAAATCGCCACCATTACACAGAACACAAAACACAAATATTCCTTGAATTCACAAAACATCATGTCTGAGGATTATTCTGCAAACGATAAAGAAAGTGAACACAGTTGATGAGCCTCGGGGTTAAAGTTTTTCCTTATTTTGTTTTAAATAATCATACTGAGGACAGATTCAGTCTAACTTGACCAAAAATCAAACCAAGCATGAAATATCTTTAAGTGCTCATCGACCAAAAGTACTCTTAAATAGAACTACATGGTTTCCATATTCATGCAGACTGTGCAATGTTTTGGAATGTTTTGCAATGGAAGGGGGGACATGTTTTTCTGTGCATATCCTAGATCTCTTTTTTTTCTGCTGTTGTTGTTAAAAAGTATAGATAAATGTCCATATATTGAAGTCACACTTCATACATGTTCATAATGTCTGTGTAGGCTCTTATTCACTCTAATCATGGTTGTCAAAGAATGGTTTATCCGTGAGCGGAGGGGGGACTGTGTGTGACAGCCAAGGAAGTAGGAGTCTATGATGTTTTTCCAGAAGTCCTCAACAGGTGTGAATGTAGTTGCCTGTTGCCTGTGCAGTTTTGTGTGCAATGTTAGAAGAATCTCTTTTTTAACACTTTAACTCTGAGAGGTCTCCTCTGGATTTTATTTATTTGTGCTTGTGCTTGCCTCTAAGTGCACATGATGGAGAGCTTAGTCATGTTAGTCGTAGTTGTAGTCTTTAGTATTTGGCCCCTGCAGGATATAGGTGAGCAAAGAGGGTGTCCTCATTCTGGCAATCTGAATTGGGCACTATATTGTAGGGCTGGGCGATATGGCCTCAAATCAATATCACGGTTTATTGAGCAGTTCACCTCGATAACGATAAATGGACGATAACTACTCCACAAGCTGCTCATCCCCTCCCACATTAACTTCGTCTACTTCAGTCGCCACTCCGGCCGCTACAACTTTTGAACCGTCCTCCATCTCCTCACCTGTCTTTCCATGAGACCATAGACTACCTACACACATCCACAAAATCCAGTTTATCGCCCAGCCTTCCTACAAAAGCGATAGAAAAGCAATATATGTCTTGATATATTAGATTGTAAAAATGAGAGGAATGTGCATTGTGAACTTAGATGCAATCTTACTATCTCACTTGTGCATACGTACCCAAAACATGCCCAGTTTTAAAGCTATATAAAAAATCTAATGAATTACCCTTCAAAGAGACATTTTGTTAGAATTGTCCTTTAAGAAAAACACACCATCTATCCCCTTGCTCTGCAGAATTACACCCCAGTTGTCAAAATATTGCTGTGTTCTTCTTGTTGGAAATAATAGAGTCAGATAAACCACAGCAAGTCCTCAAACAGCGCTGACATTGTTGTGGTTTGTGTGAGGAAATGAAAGCAGTGAGTGAACAGTCCCAGGAAAAGCCCCACTCACATTAATGCACAGCCATGAAGGGAATCCTGCACAGAGCGGATTAGTGATGAGTGACAGCAGGTCAGGTTTGACATGAGAGCGCAGGAGGAAGAAGCACTGATGGAGGAGGAGGAGGAGGAGGAGGAAGAGGAGGGAGGAGGGGGAAGCCAGATAAGACCTGAGCCCAGCACAGCAGCAGTGGAGGGGGGAGTTTGTTGAGGGAAGGGGGGACAGATTTGTCTTGGCACATTAAGCAGGTTTGGCTAACCTCCTTCACTCTCCCTGATCCTCCGGGCTCTTCCCCATCCCTCTGTCTTCTCCCCTCTTCCTCCTCTTCCTCCTCCTCCTCTTCCTGCTTCAGGCCACACCTCCTGCCCCTTGCAGTCCTGGAGGATGTACTGCAGTGTCCTGCAGAGCTCACTGACCACAGTGAGGGAATTTGGCAATGCTCGAGATCTGGGTTATCACTGTCTGTGGGAGCTTTGCATCCTGAGGGTAAACCCACAAGGGGGCAGTCCAAAGAGTCCCACTCAAGACCACTGGAGGTCATTGGACCTTTTGTTTGTAATCGAAAACACAAAAAAAAGTTCAAAAAGAAAAGAAAAAATCGAGCTCTCCTCGGGGAACCACCAATCAGGACTGAAGTTGGATCTGCAAGAGGATAAAAAGTGGAAACAGCAGCTGACAGTCAGGTGGATGTACTCACGTCGTCTTGGATGTCCAGGTCACATCCGGCTTTGAGGAGGATACGCACAACCTCAGTGTGGCCTTTGTAGGCGGCCAAGTGCAGGGGGCTTCTGCCATACTGGAAACACACACAAAAAAAACAACACAAACAAGTATGAGCTGAATTTTTCTGAAAGCTTTTCATTCACACTTTGCGATGCGTCTGGTGAAGTTTTCATAATAGCAGAGCTCATGGAATCCAGTTTCACTAAAATACAATGCGTTATAATGTAACCGACAGCTTTGAATTAGCCAGTGTTAGCAGCAGCGTGGCGTGAACCAAACACTCGCCACTTTAAGGACTAAAAGGAGCTCTTGAAGGGGTTAATCCAGATCATTAACGTTCTGGATCTGACTTTAATTCCTCCAGATGGCGTTTCATTCAAGGTGTAACTTGCAAATTACACTTTTTGGAACATTTATACATAACTTTGTCTTAACTAGCTGCTGTTAAATATACTCTAACATCAATTTACTGGAGTTTAAAATCTAAAAGTTGTATTTTAAACATTAAATCATCACTAAAGAGCAGCAAAAAAGAGGAGGATGCACCATAATTATTTACAGGAGACACATAGGAATAATTAAAATCTAGATAAATGCTACATGAGTGTGGAGCAGAACTATGTTCAACCCTAGCTGATACAAAGTCACCGTTTCAAGGCACTTAAGATATAAAAGTTACAACCACAACACAAAATCAGAATACCAAAATTAAGTGTTAAATGGACAATATTGAGTAGAATTGACCCACCCCTCCTGTCTGGCATTCAGAATCCCAGTCCCCTGAGTCGGACATCTCTGCAGATTGAGTAACAGAGCTCATCACTGATGGAATGACTGAAGACAATCTGCTACAGACTACTCCCCGTCTCAGTAATGAGTTGACAGAAAACAAACAAATCCTTAATCCATGGTTTAAGAGTGGAGTAGTGCACAATGAGCACAGCTGTTCATGTGAGCTGAGCGCAGGATAAACTCTGCATCCTGCCAATATAAGGATCTCTGAGCCCCTCTGAGGAAAGGTCACTCCACCTTAAGGAGGTTTAAGGAAGGATCAAAAAACTCCACAGCTCACCTCAGCTTCTATCTGGTCATGATGTTATGAATTTTTCATGTTGCTTAAAGTTCTAATGAATTTCCCCTCAGGGATAAATAAAGTTCTTCTTATCTTACCCTATATTAACTCAATGCAAATCCATCATTGTGATTTATGAGATAATTAAAAACTTGACAACAGGGCTGGGCAATATGGGAAAAGTTTATTTGTTTTTTTCATATCAGCTGATATCGATATCTATCACAATATAAAAGAATGACTTGCCAATCTTAAAAGTTCCCTGTTACTCTTAAATGAAACTTAACAGTGCTTGTTGGTAGAATGTCTTTTGCAATACAATAACCCTAACCCTAACCCTTATGGTTGAGGCTAGTGTAAGGGTTAGGGTTAGGGTTGTGGTTGAGGCTAGGATTAGGGTTAGGGTTAGGGTTGTGGTTGAAGCTAGGGTTAGGGTTAGGGTTACGATTGAGGCTAGGGTTAGGGTTAGGGTTAGCGTGATGTTTGAGGCTAGGGTTAGGGTTAGGGTTCTGGTTGAGGCTAGGGTTAGGGTTATGGTTAGGGTTGTGGTTGAGGGTAGAGTTAGGGTTAGGGTTAGGGTTACATTTGAGGCTAGGGTTAGGGTTAGGGTTAGAGTGATGTTTGAGGCTAGGGTTAGGGTTAGGGTTAGGGTTCTGGTTGAGGCTAGGGTTAGGGTTAGGGTTAGGGTTGTGTTTGAGGCTAGAGTTAGGGTTAGGGTTAGGGTTATGTTTGAGGCTAGGGTTAGGGTTAGGGTGAGGGTTCTAGTTGAGGCTAGGGTTCGGGTTAGGGTTATGGTTGAGGATAGGGTTAGGGTTAGGGTTAGGGTTGTGGTTGAATCTAGGGTTAGGGTTAGGGTTCTCAATGTGGTTGAGGCAAGGGTTAAGGGTTAGGGTTAGGGTTATGGTTGAGGATAGTGTTAGGGTTAGGGTTAGGGTTGTGGTTGAGGCTAGGGTTAGGATTAGGGTTATGTTTGAGGCTAGAGTTAGGGTTAGGGTTAGGGTTATGTTTGAGGCTAGGGTTAGGGTTAGGGATAGGGTTCTGGTTGAGGCTAGGGTTGGGGTTAGGGTTGTGGTTGAGGCTAGGGTTAGGGTTAGGGTTAGGGTTGTGGTTGAGGCTAGGGTTAGGGTTAGGGTTGTGGTTGCCTTAACCACAACCAGAACCCTAACCCTAACCCTAGATTCAAGCACAACCCTAACCCTAACCCTAACCCTAGCCTCAACCACAACCCAAACCCTGCCCCTAGCCTCAACCACAACCCTAACCCTAACCCTAGCCTCAACCATGACCCTAACCTTAACCCTAACCCTAGCCTACACCACAACCCTAACCCTAACCCTAGCCTTAACCACAACCCTAACCCTAACCCTAGCCTCAACCAAAACCCTAACCCTAACCCTAGCCCCAACCACAACCCTAACCTTAACCCTAACCCTAGCCTCAACCATAACCCTAACCCTAGCCTCAAACATAACCCTAGCCCTAACCCTAGTCTCAACCACAACCCTAACCCTAACCCTAGCCTCAACCACAACCCTAACCCTAGCCTCAACCATAACCCTAACCCTAACCCTAGCTTCAACCACAACCCTAACCCTAACCCTAACCCTAGCCTCAACCATAAACCTAACCCTAACCCTAGCCTCAACCACAACCCTAACCCTAACCCTAGCCTCAACCACAAACCTAACCCTAACCCTAACCCTAGCCTCAACCACAACCCTAACCCTGCCCCTAGCCTCAACCACAACCCTAACCCTAACCCTAACCCTAGCCTCAACCATAACCCTAACCCTAACCCTAGCCTCAACCACAACCCTAACCCTAGCCTCTACCATAACCCTAACCCTAACGTAACCCTAGCCTAAACCATAACCCTAACCCTAGCCTCAACCACAACCCTAACCCTAAACCTAGCCTCAGCCACAACCCTAACCCTAACCCTAGCCTCAACCATAACCCTAACCCTAACCCTAGCTTCAACCACAACCCTAACCCTGACCCAAATCCTAGCCTCAACCATAACCCTAAACCTAACCCTAACCTCAACCACAACCCTAACCCTAACCCTAACCCTAGCCTCAACCACAACCCTAACCCTAACCCTAACCACAACCCTAACCCTAGCCTCAACCACAACCCTAACCTTAGCCTCAACCACAACCCTAACCCTAACCCTAGCCTCAACCATAACCCTGACCCTAACCATAGCCTCAACCACAACCCTAACCCTAACCCTAACCCTAGCCGCAACCCTAACCCTAACCCTTACCCTAGCCTCAACCACAACCCTAACCCTAACCCTAACCTCAACCAAAACCCTAACCCTAACCTTAAACCTAGCCTCAACCATAACCTAAACCCTAACCCTAACCCTAGCCTCAACCACAACCCTAACCCTAACCCTAGCCTCAACCACAACCCTAACCCTAGCCTCAACCACAACCCTAACCCTAACCCTAACCCTAGCCTCAACCACAACCCTAACCCTAACCCTAACCCTAGCCTCAACAACAACCCTAACCCTAACCCTAACCCTAGCCTCAACCCTAACCCTAACCCTAGCCTCAAACACAATCCTAACCCTAACCCTAGCCTCAACCACAACCGTAGCCCTAACCCTAGTCTCAACCACAACCACAACCCTAACCCTAACCCTAGCCTCAACCACAACCCTAACCCTAACCCTAGCCTCAACCATAACATTAACCCTAACCCTAACCCTAGCCTCAACCCTAACCCCAACCCTAACCCTAGCCTCAACCATAAACCTAACCCTAACCCTAGCCTCAACCACAACCCTAACCCTAACCCTAGCCTCAACCACAACCCTAACCCTAACCCTAACCCTAGCCTCAACCACAACCCTAACCCTAACCCTAACCCTAGCCTCAACCATAACCCTAACCCTAACCCTAGCCTCAACCACAACCCTAACCCTAACCCTAACCCTAGCCTAAACCACAACCCTAACCCTAACCCTAGCCTCAACCCTAACCCTAACCCTAGCCTCAACCATAACCCTAACCCTAACCCTAGCCTCAAACTCAACCCTAACCCTAACCCTAGCCTCAACCACAACCCTAACCCTAACCCTAGCCTCAACCCTAACCCTAACCCTAACCCTAGCCTCAACCACAACTCTAAACCTAACCCTAGCCTCAACCATAACCCTAACCCTAACCCTAGCCTCAACCACAACCCTAACCTTGACCCTAACCTCAACCACAACCCTAACCCTAACCCTAGCCTCAACCATAACCCTAACCCTAACCCTAGCCTCAACAACCCTAACCCTAACCCTAGCCTCAACCACAACCCTAACCCTAACCCTAGCCTCAACCACAACCCTAACCCTAACCCTAGCCTCAACCACAACCCTAACCCTAACCCTAGCCTCAACCACAACCCTAACCCTAACCCTAGCCTCAACCACAACCCTAACCCTAACCCTAACCCTAGCCTCAACCATAACCCTAACCCTAACCCTAGCCTCAACCACAACCCTAACCCTAACCCTAACCCTAGCCTCAACCACAACCCTAACCCTAGCCTCAACCACAACCCTAACCCTAACCCTAGCTTCAACCACAACCCTAACCCTAACCCTAACCCTAGCCTTAAGCATAACCCTGACCCTAACCATAGCCTCAACCACAACTCTAACCCTAACCCTAGCCTCAACCACAACCCTAACCCTAACCCTAGCCTCAACCCTAACCCTAACCCTAGCCTCAACCACAACCCTAACCCTAACCCTAACCTCAACCCTAACCCTAACCCAAACCCTAGCCTCAACCATAACCCTAACCCTAACCCTAGCCTCAACCACAACCCTAACCCTAACCCTAGCCTCAACCACAACCCTAACCCTAACCCTAGCCTCAACCACAACCCTAACCCTAACCCTAGCCTCAACCACAAACCTAAACCTAACCCTAGCCTCAACCACATCCCTAACCCTAACCCTATCCTCAACCACAACCCTAACCCTAACCCTAACCCTAGCCTCAACCATAACCCTAACCCTAACCCTAGCCTCAACCACAACCCTAACCCTAGCCTCTACCATAACCCTAACCCTAACCCTAACCCTAGCCTCAACCATAACCCTAACCCTAACCCTAGCCTCAACCATAACCCTAACCCTAACCCTAGCCTCAACCACAACCCTAACCCTAACCCTAGCCTCAACCATAACCCTAACCCTAACCCTAGCCTCAACCACAACCCTAACCCTAACCCTAGCCTCAACCACAACCCTAACCCTAGCCTCAACCATAACCCTAACCCTAACCCTAGCCCCAACCACAACCCTAACCTTAAACCTAACCCTAGCCTCAACCATAACCCTAACCCTAACCCTAGCCTCAACCATAACCCTAGCCCTAACCCTAGCCTCAACCACAACCCTAACCCTAACCCTAGCCTCAACCACAACCCTAACCCTAACCCTAGCCTCAACCACAACCCTAACCCTAACCCTAACCCTAGCCTCAACCACAACCCTAACCCTAACCCTAGCCTCAACCACAACCCTAACCCTAACCCTAACCCTAGCCTCAACCATAACCCTAACCCTAACCCTAGCCTCAACCACAACCCTAACCCTAACCCTAACCCTAGCCTCAACCACAACCCTAACCCTAGCCTCAACCACAACCCTAACCCTAACCCTAGCTTCAACCACAACCCTAACCCTAACCCTAACCCTAGCCTTAAGCATAACCCTGACCCTAACCATAGCCTCAACCACAACCCTAACCCTAACCCTAGGCTCAACCACAACCCTAACCCTAACCCTAACACTAGCCTCAACCCTAACCCTAACCCTAACCCTAGCCTCAACCACAACCCTAACCCTAACCCTAACCTCAACCCTAACCCTAACCCTAACCCTAGCCTCAACCATAACCCTAACCCTAACCCTAGCCTCAACCACAACCCTAACCCTAGCCTCAACCACAACCCTAACCCTAACCCTAGCCTCAACCACAACCCTAACCCTAACTCTAGCCTTAACCACAAACCTAAACCTAACCCTAACCCTAGCCTCAACCACAACCCTAACCCTAACCCTATCCTCAACCACAACCCTAACCCTAACCCTAACCCTAGGCTCAACCATAACCCTAACCCTAACCCTAGCCTCAACCACAACCCTAACCCTAGCCTCTACCATGACCCTAACCCTAACCCTAACCCTAGCCTCAACCATAACCCTAACCCTAACCCTAGCCTCAACCATAACCCTAACCCTAACCCTAGCCTCAACCACAACCCTAACCCTAACCCTAGCCTCAACCATAACCCTAACCCTAACCCTAGCCTCAACCACAACCCTAACCCTAACCCTAGCCTTAACCACAACCCTAACCCTAACCCTAACCCTAGCCTCAACCACAAGCCTAACCCTAACCCTAGCCCCAACCACAACCCTAACCTTAAACCTAACCCTAGCCTCAACCATAACCCTAACCCTAACCCTAGCCTCAACCATAACCCTAGCCCTAACCCTAGTCTCAACCACAACCCTAACCCTAACCCTAGCCTCAACCACAACCCTAACCCTAACCCTAGCCTCAACCATAACCCTAACCCTAGCTTCAACCACAACCCTAACCCTAACCCTAACCCTAGCCTCAACAATAAACCTAATCCTAACCCTAGCCTCAACTACAACCCTAACTCTAACCCTAGCCTCAATCACAAACCTAACCTTAACCCTAGCCTCAACCACAACCCTAACCCTGCCCCTAGCCTCAACCACAACCCTAACCCTAACCCTAACCCTAGCCTCAACCATAACCCTAACCCTAACCCTAGCCTCAACCACAACCCTAACCCTAGCCTCTACCATAACCCTTACCCTAACCGTAACCCTAGCCTAAACCATAACCCTAACCCTAGCCTCAACCACAACCCTAACCCTAAACCTAGCCTCAACCACAACCCTAACCCTAACCCTAGCCTCAACCATAACCCTAACCCTAACCCTAGCTACAACCACAACCCTAACCCTGACCCTAACCCTAGCCTCAACCATAACCATAACCCTAACCCTAGGCTCAACCACAACCCTAACCCTAACCCTAACCCTAGCCTCAACCACAACCCTAACCCTAGCCTCAACCACAACCCTAACCCTAGCCTCAACCACAACCCTAACCCTAACCCTAGCCTCAACCACAACCCTAACCCTAACCCTAACCCTAGCCTCAACCATAACCCTGACCCTAACCATAGCCTCAACCAAAACCCTAACCCTAGCCTAAACCACAACCCTAACCCTGACCCTAACCCTAGCCTCAACCCTAAACCTAACCCTAACCCTAGCCTCAACCACAACCCTAACCCTAACCCTAACCTCAACCACAACCCTAACCCTAACCTTAACCATAACCCTAACCCTAACCCTAGCCTCAACCACAACCCTAACCCTAGCCTCAACCACAACCCTAACCCTAACCCTAGCCTCAACCACAACCCTAACCCTAGCCTAAACAACAACCCTAACCCTAACCCTAACCCTAGCCTCAACAACAACCCTAACCCTAACCCTAACCCTAGCCTCAACCATAACCCTAACCCTAACCCTAGCCTCAAACACAACCCTAACCCTAACCCTAACCGTAGCCTCAACCACAACCGTAGCCCTAACCCTAGTCTCAACCACAACCCTAACCCTAACCCTAGCCTCAACCACAACCACAACCCTAACCCTAGCCTCAACCACAACCCTAACCTTAACCCTAGCCTCAACCATAACATTAACCCTAACCCTAACCCTAGCCTCAACCCTAACCCTAACCCTAACCCTAGCCTCAACCATAAACCTAACCCTAACCCTAGCCTCAACCACAACCCTAACCCTAACCCTAGCCTCAACCACAACCCTAACCCTAACCCTAGCCTCAACCACAATTCTAACCCTAACCCTAACCCTAGCCTCAACCACAACCCTAATCCTAACCCTAACCCTAGCCTCAACCCTAACCCTAACCCTAACCCTAGCCTCAACCACAACCCTAACCCTAACCCTAACCTCAACCACAACCCTAACCCTAACCTCAACCACAACCCTAACCCTAGCCTCAACCACAACCCTAACCCTAACCCTAGCCTCAACAACAACCCTAACCCTAACCCTAACCCTAGCCTCAACCATAACCCTAACCCTAACCCTAGCCTCAAACACAACCCTAACCCTAACCTTAACCGTAGCCTCAACCACAACCGTAGCCCTAACCCTAGTCTCAACCACAACCCTAACCCTAACCCTAGCCTCAACCACAACCACAACCCTAACCCTAGCCTCAACCACAACCCTAACCTTAACCCTAGCCTCAACCATAACATTAACCCTAACCCTAACCCTAGCCTCAACCCTAACCCTAACCCTAACCCTATCCTCAACCACAACCCTAACCCTATCCCTAGCCTCAACCACAACCCTAACCCTAACCCTAGCCTCAACCACAACCCTAACCCTAGCCTCAACCACAACCCTAACCCTAACCCTAGCCTCAACCATAACCCTAACCCTAACCCTAGCCTCAACCACAACCCTAACCCTAACCCTAGCCTCAACCACAACCCTAACCCTAACCCTAGCCTCAACCACAATTCTAACCCTAACCCTAGCCTCAACCACAACCCTAACCCTAACCCTAGCCTCAACCACAACCCTAACCCTAGCCTCAATCATAACCCTAACCCTAAGCCTAACCCTAGCCTCAACCGCAACCCTAACCCTAACCTCAACCACAACCCTAACCCTAACCCTAGCCTCAACCCTAACCCTAGCCTCAACCACAACCCTAACCCTAACCCTAACCCTAGCCTCAACCCCACCCCAACCCTAGCCTCAACCATAACCCTAACCCTAACCCTAGCCTCAACCGCAACCCTAACCCTAACCCTAACCCTAGCCTCAACCACAACCCTAACCCTAACCCTAACCCTAACCACAACCCTAACCCTAACCCTAGCCTCAACCATATCCCTAACCCTAACCCTAACCCTAGCCTCAACCGCAACCCTAACCCTAACCCTAGCCTCAACCACAACCCTAACCCTAACCCTAACCACAACCCTAACCCTAACCCTAACCCTAACCCTAACCCTAACCCTAGCCTCAACCAAAACCCTAACCCTAGCCTTAACCCTAGCCTCAACCACAACCCTAACCCAAACCCTAGCCTCAACCACAACCCTAACCCTAACCCTAGCCTCAACCATAACCCTAACCCTAACCCTAACCCTAGCTTCAACCACAACCCTAACCCTAACCCTAACCCTAGCCTCAACCATAACCCTAACCCTAACCCTAGCCTCAACCACAACCCTAACCCTAGCCTCAACCACAACCCTAACCCTAGCCTCAACCACAACCCTAACCCTAACCCTAGCCTCAACCATAACCCTAACCCTAACCCTAACCCTAGCTTCAACCACAACCCTAACGGTAGCCTCAACCACAACCATAGCCCTAACCCTAGTCTCAACCACAACCCTAACCCTAATCCTAGCCTCAACCACAATCCTAACCCTAACCCTAGCCTCAACCACAACCCTAACCCTAACCCTAACCCTAGCCTCAACCAAAACCCTAACCCTAACCCTAGCCTCAACCACAACCCTAACCCTAACCCTAACCCTAGCCTCAACCACAACCCTAACCCTAACCCTAGCCTCAACCAAAACCCTAACCCTAACCATAACCCTAACCCTAGCCTCAAACACAACTCTAACCCTAACCATAACCCTAGCCTCAACCATAACCCTAACGCTAACCCTAGCCTCAACCACAACCCTAACCCTAACCCTAGCCTCTACCATAACCCTAACCCTAACCCTAGCCTCAACCATAACCCTAACCCTAACCCTAGCCTCAACCACAACCCTAACCCTAACCGTAGCCTCAACCACAACCGTAACCCTAACCCTAGCCTCAACCATAACCCTAACCCTAACCCTAACCCTAGCTTCAACCACAACCCTAACCCTAACCCTAACCCTAGCCTCAACCATAAACCTAACCCTAACCCTAGCCTCAACCACGACCCCAACCCTAACCCTAACCCTAGCCTCAACCACAACCCTAACCCTAGCCTCAACCACAACCCTAACCTTAACCCTAGCCTCAACCACAACCCTAACCATAACCCTAACCCTAGCCTCAACCACAACCCTAACCCTAACCCTAGCCTCAACCACAACCCTAACCCTAGCCTCAACCACAACCCTTACCCTAACCCTGGCCTCAACCATAACCCTAACCCTAACCCTAACCCCAGCCTCAACCACAACCCTAACCTTAACCCTAGCCTCAACCACAACCCTAACCATAACCCTAACCCTAGCCTCAACCACAACCCTAACCCTAACCCTAGCCTCAACCACAACCCTAACCCTAGCCTCAACCACAACCCTTACCCTAACCCTGGCCTCAACCATAACCCTAACCCTAACCCTAACCCCAGCCTCAACCACAACCCTAACCCTAGCCTCTACCATAACCCTAACCCCTAACCCTAACCCTAACCACAACCCTAACCTTAACCCTAGCCTCAACCACAACCCTAACCATAACCCTAACCCTAGCCTCAACCACAACCCTAACCCTAACCCTAGCCTCAACCACAACCCTTACCCTAACCCTGGCCTCAACCATAACCCTAACCCTAACCTTAACCCCAGCCTCAACCACAACCCTAACCCTAGCCTCTACCATAACCCTAACCCCTAACCCTAACCCTAACCACAACCCTAAACCTAACCCTAGCCTCAACCACAACACTAACCCTAACCCAAACTTAACCCTAGCCTCAACCACAACCCTAACCCTAACCCTAGCATCAACCATAACCCTAACCCTTACCCTAGCCTCAAACATCACTCTAACCCTAACCTAACCCTTACCCTAGCCTCAAACATCACTCTAACCATAACCCTAACCCTAACCCTAGCCTCAACCACAACCCTAACCCTAACCCTATCCTCAACCACAACCCTAACCCTAACCCTAGCATCAACCATAACCCTAACCCTTACCCTAACCTGACAGACGATGACAGTTCACTGCATTGATACATATCATTATCGTTTTATTGCCCAGCCCTACATGACATTAAAGCACCTATCATTTTCCTCATCTGAAATCATACGTATAGACTGTGGAGTTCGGGGATGCTCTAGACTCAAACACAGAGGGTGGCATGACTAAAAACCACAGCAGCAGGACTTTCCTTCTTTAAGTTATCTAAGAGGATTAACTCAAACATAGCCTGACTTCTGGATCATCATATCTGGTGTGATGAAAAGCATGAAGAAGAGTAACACAGCAGGATGTCAGCCTGACTTCAAACATTAAATCCAGGTGACTTATCAGAGTAGAAAGAGTTGGGTTACAGATGCAGCGGGTACGAGTGCATAAAAGCACAAGTTGTGTTTCACCCTGGGCATTATGTCGTGTGAGGAGGTTCGTGCTTTGTTTGGGTGCGGCTCGGCCTGCATTTATGTGCTTCTTGGATTGAGTTTCACTGGGCCCGACTTGGAGGGAAGCCACTAGGCGAGTTCAGGTAAACAGCAGGTCTCAGATCAGCAGAGAGCCTTTGTCGTCTCCAGACTGATACAGGTGTGTGAGTGTGCACTGATTTCTTAGCTAGAGTCAGTATGTTCGGTTTAGACTTTGTTGCTCTGCATCAAAAACAGACATGGCTCTGTAATGGAAATCATTGCAGTCAAAAAGTCTGAACACAAACATTTAAAATCTTAAATATCAATAAACAATAAAATGTCTTGAAGGTTTTTAAGAGATTACCAGAGGGGAAATTCTGATTTTCTGCAGACAGAAAACTCTGAACTCTCACTTCATTCATCATTTCAGCATTTAGGAAAATATTCCCACATTTCTTTTTCTGAGCAGAGGAATGTTTGATATGAAACTCTGCTCCTTTTTATCCAGGATTAAGCTTTCATACTGGCTATCTGCCAAAAGACCAAACACAGCCGGTCCACACTAAACCATCAGTGTGAGCAGCACATACACACACAGATACACACACACACCCAGTGTTGTTGTAGCTGTGTCAATATGAGGCCATGTGTTCATGTTTTCATGGAAAATTGGTTAGCAGAGCCAGAACAGAAAACACAGAGCACATGATACGAAACAACAAGAGTAAAGATTACACACAAACAGAGCTCAGCAAGCATTCTTGTGTTTTCTCCTTTCATTTCTGGTCTCTGCAAAGATTGTGCATAAAAAAACATCCTCATTGCACCGAAAACTTGCTTGTGTATAATCACTTTGAAAAATCTCTGTTAACACTCATGTTGGTGCTCTTACCTTAGTATGTGTTCACTGAAAACAGCCCTGAATGAGCTTTAACAGATTATTAAGCTGTCCATGAATAGTAGGGAGGCAGGTTTCTAATTTTATTATGTGATATTGTAGTAAACAGTTTGTTGTTGTACTGCAAAATTTCCCCAAAATAGCTGATGCACACTGCAGAAAAAAACAACTACTGTAAATCTGATTTACTGTTAACTTTAAACAACAAGGAATGAAATAAGAAAATCATGTTGGAATTTTACGATGTTGTCTCTCATTTTACAGCCCACTACAGGATGTTTTTACCACAATGGCCTTGATTATGAAAATTAATTTGGAGTATGATTATCTTGCTATGTTACCAGGGGAGCAGACACAGCACCTGCGGTTTTGTTTTATGCCAGAGTGTTAATAATGAAACCTCCTGTACTGACCTCAATAAATAAACTAAAGGCTAAAGAGTGAGGATAGAGTCAGGTGAGAGAGCCGCGATCGGAATAAGTGTTAACATGGATGTGTTTTGGAATAATAATCGGCATGAACCACCCGGAATACAATTTCTTTCCGATTGAGCCAGATTGGATCAGAATCTTCCGATCAACATGTTTACATGACGCTTTTTTATTCCAATCGGGCTTTTATTCTGATTATTTGTGCCCATGTAAACGCAACTAATGATCAGATCTATCTCAGAATAACTGCACACTCTGATGATACTGACTGGGCATTTTGTGCATATTTCTTAATAATGTGAAACAAGGTTATTCACAGTCTGTTTTTCCTGAAAACACTGAAGCCTGCTGATACATCACTGGTCAATACTCAGACTCCAAAAAGGAAACCTGAACACTTCCCATCACAAAGTCTGTTCCTGTGTGTCCTGATTCGACTTCAAGTTGAATCTCTAACTAGAGAACAGACTGATGTGTATCATTCAAGCTCGCCTCTGTCTGTAATTAGCTCTGCACATCTGACATCACGGTTATTGTTCTCGATAAGCCCTCGCCCAAACTGGCACACGGGAGAGTTACAACACATCCTGAGCTCTGGTGAATGACCTTTGACCTCAGTGTGTTTCAGGAGATGTGAGAGCAGAGATGAAAGAATAAAGGAAGACCTCAGGGGAGAGTGTGCATGTTTGTATCACTAAGATCCATCTGTTCACACAGTAGCTCAGCTGTGGCATTGTTATTGTTTGGTTTATTTATTTATTTATTTTTTCGTTTCTTCTTCATTTTAGAGATAAACAAGGATAGAGAGGAAAAGCAGCAGAGGAACAGGAGGAGTATTCAGTAAAGCACCTGAACAGGGAGCAAATCCAGGCTGCCGTGTTGAGGATTCAGACTCAGAGATCTCAGAGTGTAAAAGGGAAGGGCCCCTGATGCAGCCTGTAAGCTCATGTTTGCAGTTGCTTTCGATATTATTAAGGAAATCAAACACTTGAATCAGTGACTAAAGACATGAATGTGAATTGGAGAAGGATCCAGCATGGGCATCTTGTTCTATCCTCATCTTTCTGATCACACACAAACAGTCTTAGTTTTTTTCCCAGCGTTACACACTCACGAGAGCAGCCTGAAGCGACTCGTAAGTCTCATAAAAACACTTCAGAGCTTTGAAACACTGGCTGTAAATGATCCTCTCTGCTGAATATGGGGCGGCTGAATTTGTTCTCATAAGTTAAGTGTTAAAACACAATGAGGTTGTGTTTATGTGTTTGCAGCTCCAGTGCAGTAACACGTTCATGCTCTGTTTTGTGTCTAATTGCTTTAAGAGCTGCAGATGAGCTCACAGATAGAACTGTATTTACGTCACAATGACTAAAAACACATCTGATGTCTCACAAGCAGAAAATGATCCGGCTGAAAAAAGCTCTTTTGCAGACATACTGCAGTCGAGCAGTTGCACAAAGTTGCACTGCAGTCCTTTGAGCCTGTTTCATTGCTGCAGATTGGATCAGTCAACTGAAGGGATGATGCCAGTTATTGGACATTTAGACTAGGGCTGGGCGATAAAACGAAAACTTACCGATACTGAAATTTACGACAATAACCGACGTCATTTTGCCTATGTCAGTATATTCTGTGTCAAAAAAATAAGTAAATAAACGTTGGTTTTGGATGTGTGTAGATAGGCTATGGTCTCATGTCCCTTTAAGATGCTGTCCTATGTCAGAGACATGACTCCACCCCATCCAGTCAGTAACAAAGAGGGAAAGACAGGTGAGGAGATGGAGGACGGTTCAAAAGTTGTAGCGACTGGAGAGGGCTGACCAGCTTGTGGAGTAGTTCTCCTCCATTTATTGCTATCGAGGTGACCTGCTCAATATATCATGATATTGATTTGAGGGCCATATCGCCCAGCCCTAATTTAGACCTAATGATATGTAAATTTGTCCTCAGGTTTAAAAATACTGCAACTACACATCGAGAGGTAGTTCAACCCACTCCCTGTTATCCATTAAACTCTCACTGGGCTTCCTTCACCAGACCACAGGCATGAGTCACACACTTCAATAACACAATGGAGGTAAAATGACACCAAAACATGCACCAACTATGAAACAGACCTCTGACAGGAAAGATAAAGCCTCTGAGCCTGAACAGTATCACGCCAATAACAGGTCGCATTAGGGGATTTTATGAAAACAGCAAACAAGACTCAGAGTTTCCAGCGGGGTCCAGACACATCAATGGCAAATCTTAGTTTTGTTCTAACTTATCATTATCATCACATTAAACCACTTCTATTCGACTACTATGGGATAAATAGGTAATAAAATGAGTAAGATGATAAAACCAGAAAGAAAGATGTCTCATTAGAAAAGCATAATACATATTTGATCTATATTTATTAATATGATTAGCCTGATTAAAGGACTTTATTTCCTTATCAACAAGCCTTCACACTCCAATATAGAAGTCAAACAAGCTGACCAGCCTGAGTAGGTCTACAACAGGGCCTGACCACGCTTTTTGCTAAATGTCATAAAGAGATAAAAGCTTATCTCTAAGTCCATCCAACATTTCATCAGCTTTGTCTCATGTTGACATTCCTCTAAAGCACAAAGAAAAAAAAAGAAAAAAGAGTGTGTCCTATAACGTCAATGTTAGGAGTAAAAATTTAAAGTGACATTAACAGATATTTAGCAGCAGTTATTTAATTAAAATCACCTAACAATGTGCAGGATCACTGAGTATGGTTCGGACTGGTTTTAGAGACTGCTGTGGCGCATACTTAACGGACAGACACACAGAGAGATGGCTGCTTCACACATACTCACCTTTTTTCGTACAGGTTTGATAAGTGAGATACCTGGGTATTGTTGGTTATTGTTTTCCTTGTGAACAGGGACTCTAACTTTTGTAATTAACCTCAAAACAACAACTCCACTCATAAGATCAAATGTTTCTGTCAGTCAATTTAAAGTCTTTCCAAAGTCAGCTTTAGGAGGCTGTGATCACACTCACCTTGGTGACGGCTACCTTCGCTCCCTTATTGATGAGCTGGACCACATTGTCGGCCTGTCCCTTGTGTGAAGCTACGAGGAGGCGCTCGGAGAGTGCGAGGACCTCAGCCGCATCCTGCTGGATCATGAAGCAGGGGGAGTTAGGCTGCTGTCAGTCAGACACAGAGCTCAGGACAGGGGTGGGGTGGGGTGGGGGGCAGCGGCGGTGACAGTCCCTGATGATTCTAGCTCATGGTGAGCTCCGCCGCACACAGACAAGCCGTAGAGTCCGCCAGTGTTTCTGTTCCCTTTTACAAATGCCGCAAACTGCCCGGACTCCTGCCCTTCATCCTCTCAGCTGCTGGAAGAGAACAGGAAACACAAGGAGTGAAAAAAACAGGAAAACCAGGAGGACTGACATCCCAGCTGTCCAGGTTGTTACACCCACATACAGTCCTCGTGGAGTCATGTGAGCTGCAAAAATAATCCGCAATGGGAGCCAAAAACCAGAGGTCAGATTTGGTCAGAGTGCCGGCTGACCAGCTGAACTGCTGCGAGTTCACACACACACTATCGGCGCAGTCTGAACCACATCAAACACACCCACACAAACTACTAGCTGTGGTTTCTGCCAAACCGCAGGGAGTGTGCAGCTACTGTGCCTGAGAAAGATCAGTTTCTTATCATTCACAGACAGAGTTAAAGGAGTCCCACGAAAATATCAGACTCTACAAACTCAGAGGAATGTAGTCCTGCCTGATAAGACATCTCAAAGCTCTTCCACAGAGACAGTTGTCTCCAAGTCTTCTTGGTTTTGAAGTAAATTCCTGCTGATTTTATCTTTAACCTTCAGGAAAAAGGCTCTGAGGCTTAAAAGCTAAACTGGAAGTCCAGCAGTTTTTTGTAATAATTCTTGATGCAGATTTGACTTACACTGCAAATTTTTCTGAGCTTTAATTCAATCTTTAGTCAAACAATTGTAAGAAGAAATCAAGGGTTTAGCTCTGCTTTTCTTAGACTGTGTGCACGACTTGAAGTAACACCATTATGATCCATTTGTTTTTATTTTACAGAAACGTGCCGCTACATGTGTTTGTCTAAGACTCACAACGTTCAGCTTATATGATTCATGTTTTATTTTTGTTTTTCTGCAGGATGCAAACTGACTTGCAAACTGGTTGCATATTGACACATTTTCTTTACAAACTTTTTTCTGTTACAAGTTTTGGTAGTAAGAAGTAAGTTAACATTCAGGAAGAGGTATTTATTCTTCAATGATTTACCTTTTTACAAAATATTTGGTACTTATGGCTGACATTAGAGCAGAAAAAACCATTCATTTTCTGCTATAATATTGTTTCAGACAGAGTAGCTCTACAACCAGAGCTTTACAAAGGTACAAGAGCAAAATGGTTAACAGGATTTTATGTTAATGCCTGTGTGTAAATGCCTTACACTCTTTGAGGGGAGTTAAACCGTGAGCATCATTCAGACATTTATTCAGATAATGTTAAACCACCTTGTCTGATCACCTTTGTGAACTGAAAGCGATCATGATAATCCCAGAGCTCCTTTATCAGCAGCTCAAACTCTCCTTGCCCTCGTCTTTTTTCAGGATTAGATAAACCAAGCCTTTTCTTTCCTTTCAAAAAATCAGCTGTTAAATGTCTAACTTTTCTTCAATGCAAACTTTTGCAGGTTCAGCTTTAGCGTGCAAGGTGTCTGTCAACAACCTGTTTCTTAAGTGCTATTTTTGGACATTTTGCTGTCAATCAAAAAGCTCAAGAGGGAAGGTCAAGGCTGGGAAGTGAAATGGTGGCTGCAGTGAAGAGGACTATAGACTCTTTATGTGGAGCACTTGCACGACTTGGCCGTTGGTGCCCTGCAACAATTTTTCAAATCTGGTGAGGAACCCTAAAAACACATCTAAAAACACACGGACTCAGGGTGCGGAGACCTTCACTCTTCTGGATTCACATTGGTCAAATGATACAATCATCATTAGCCCACCTGCTCCCGCTCAGTGGTTTTCCCTGAATGCAGTATTTCCCCATCAGTTCATCCTGACTTATAGCAGGAATTTTACATGGAGGCTTGCAGGAAAAATTTTGGTTAAATTCAGGATGAAAAATCAGGCTGTTTGCAACTCATTCCAATATCTTATATCTGTCTTTTTAGGAGTTTTGTGCATGTGTAATACAGCCTCCATTAATCTTTATTAGCTGTTGTATGCAGAGATTTATAATGCACATAAAAAAAGATCTGATAATATTACTAAATCAACAGATCTCTGCATAGAAAACCATAGTTTTTCAGTTGCAAGATCTTGCACAAGTGTATCTACACACGACTTTACTAAGTCTCGGCTTTTTATGTATGACGACTGAGAGATCGGTTAGTCTGTCAGCTTGAAGCATCATAAATAATCGGGTCTGAATTAGTGAGACTCTCACATGTCATTCACCAGATATCAATCTAAAGTAATAAAAGTTTGAGGCCTGAGTGGAAACAGATGCTTTGGGCACGTCCTGACACGATGAGGCCTCTATTACTTGTAATAGGCTCTGACAGGACTCATAATTATAACCAGGTGGAACTGCAGAGTCCTAAATAAACTTTGTATTTTTTATACTATAGCATATCTTATGTTTCTCATACTGGTACACTGACCAGGATAATCCTCATTTTCACTGGCACTTCTCAGCACGAACTTATGCAGCATAAATGGAGGAGAACTCGGGTTTGTTTTAAGACTTTTATATCAAGACAGCAGAAGAAGCAGCAGCTGAATCCTGCAGCCGACTATCAAAGGTCTGTTAAAAACACTTCAACATGTCTCATCAGGAACGCTCAATAACCCTACCTCAAATCTGAGCAGGAATTCCTTTGATATTTTCACATTTAATCCTAAAACGCACCAAATCACAGGGTGGGAGTGTTTAGGAAAGGTTAGAGGAAACCACCTTTTATTCTGAGCTTATAGACAAACATTACTATCATTAAAGATCATTTTACTCTTAAATGTCAAAGAAGACCTGACATCACACAATTATTATTTAACACGAGGGGTTTGTAAACAACTTGAAGTCAGTTTTGCAGGGAGCAGCCAAGATTCCTGCAGTCTTTTCTCTGAATGTGAAGGGTGAGAAAAAGGGAGAAAAGTAGCTGCAGGCGTTTCCAACACTTTCTGTCTGGGGAGCTAATGTGGCAGTCTAACCGGAGGGGGTTAAACTCCCACAATCAAACTCGAGTCAAGATTCATACAGCATTGTTTCTGTCCATGTTTTACTCTGAATCGACAGATTTATTGCTCTGCCTCTGATCACTTTCTGCTGGTAACGCTGTTCTGGCAGGAGATGCCTCTAAATCTTCTTTTACACCCGAGCCTTTGAAATATTCTGGACGATTTTGAGGCTTACCACCAAATTGTGTTTAGCTTTGATTATTTTCTTATCTTAAAGGTACTGTTACACGTTTCTGATTGGTTATTAAACAGGCTGAGAAGTGATACATCTCTGGTTTAAAAATACAAATGAGGCCAGTGATGACAAGCTTGATAATTTCTATGTTGTAATTTTAAATACCCCTACCTGCTGTGAGGGGGGAGCCTTTCAACAGTTTTCACAGTGACTCAGTACGTTTAGATGTTCTTAAAAACATGACTTTTTTAACAATAGTCTGACTGAAACTGGACTTTTAAAAAAGCATGTACATAGGGCTGGGCAATAGACTGAAAATATAAAAATTTATGATAATAACCAACGTCATTTTGCCCATGTCAATATATTCCGTGTCAAAAAAATAAATAGTTAAAGGTGGCTTTGGATTTGTGTAGGTAGGCTATGGTCTCATGTCCCTTTAGGATGCTGTCCTACATCGGAGTCATAACTCCACCTGATCCAGTCCGTAACAAAGAAAGAAAGACAGGTGAGGAGATGGAGAAAGGTTTAAAAGTTGTAGCAGCTGGAGTGGCGGCTAAAGTAGACTAAGTGGAGTAGTTATCATCCATTTATCATTATCGAGGTGAACTGCTCAATATATCATGATGTTGATTTGAGGCCATATCACCCAGCCCTAGTTGTAAACATGTTAGTCCAGCTAAAACTGCATGGAAATCAACCTTTTTATAGTCAGACTTACAAACCTGGATGAACAGAAGTATGTCTCTCAAATTCATAATGTGTCAAAACTAGAAAACAAGTCCTTTTGAACTAAACAAAGTCACTTTTAAATCAACAAGAAACTTAGTTAAAAGAAAGTGACTGTTATCTAGTTAGCAGCCTGTTCATCAAACTAGAATATTGTGACACAGTCTCCCCAAAATCTGGAAAAGTGCAAAAGTTTTTGACAGTATTTGAGACAAATTTTTGAGCCATAATAAAACAGTGGGGAGGAATTTCATGGACTCATCTCCACACATGTATGCAACTGGAAAATAGGTTTATAGCTAGTGAGTTGGTGCAAATTTCCATTTCCTTTCAAACCGCTCAGATATTGGTCACTCAAAAGCATCCCTGGCTTTCATATCTCAATATAGTCTTTTTGACTAGATTACAAGGTGGTGGGTTAGCACATGCAGAGATAGGAGTGTTTTGTGACTGTATCAGTATTGATACCACACCAATGTAGATAAAGGTGCTTTAAAAATACTGAAACAGTAAAACACGTAATACAGATGACTGAGGTGAGCAGTCAACTCCACCTGTTTGCTTACTGTAAATTACCTAGTCTGTTATCTATTGCATTCACATGTCATCTTATTTAAACACAGTAAGCTGTTTCCTCCTGATGTCTTTGGGAATCGCTGCCATGCAAAATAAAAATACAGTCTGATTATAGATTATAGAAGATTATCGCAGGTGGAATTCAAACATGAGAATGAGAAAAAGAGAAAGATTTTGTGTCCATGTTTGTGGAAACCAGAGATGAAATACTAGAAAGATGATTTTACTGGATGATTATTCTTTTCTGCTTCTTCTTCTTCTTCTTCCTGAAGACTGTGGGTAACTATGAGAAACACAGACAGAGAGATCTACAAGTACAGCAGAACTGGGTGATGCTAACTCAACAAAACAAGTATACACTGTTGAAACCACTCTTCTCCGCAGGGGCATGACAAAGCCAAAGTAAGAGCCAGTAACCTGAGACAAACACAGGATGTGAGAGACAGTGAACAGCATTTTCTACTCAGCTCGTCTCTGCCTCGACTGTACAGAGGAAGAGACATGTCCCATCAGATCCCCGGAGTCTAATCTGTGATGACAGTCGCTCTAATGACTACGTTTCATTTATGGAAACACAGCAAAGGACGAGATAACATGTTAGAGATGACATCAACTACTACACTGATTTACAGCCCTGCAGGCAAACACAGACAAATACAGAGAGAGGAGAGGATTATATCCAAGTCATTAATGCTTCGTCTTAACTCAACCAGAAAACATGGCTGTGCATCAAGAGTTCTTCAGCGAAGAGGAAACTCGTCCAATCACAGTCACATCTCAGGGCATCATGCACTTCCTCTCTTTATCAGCCTCGGCGGGATTACTTCACTTTGATTCCTCCTCTCAAGAACCACCAAACTGAATGGAGAGCCCCTTCACTAAAGTACCGTCTGTGTGAAAACTTCAGGTACACTCAGCGAAAATCTGAGACGTCTGCATAACTGAAACACAGCCATCTGACTTAGTAAGGGACGAATGAGTCATAAAGAGAGGGAGAGAGACACTCTGGAAGATATCTCCTATGACCTGATGTTAATGGATTATAGGGCTGGGCGACAATCCGAAAATTTACCGACGTCATTTTACTCATGTCAATATATTTTGGTGTGGATTTTGCAGCTAATAAAACAAGTAAAAAATTATTGTTGTTATCATTTTTTTTTTTACTTGAAAGTGAGCATTAAAGTCAAACACAGAAAATGTTTATGATAAAGCTAAAAAAAGTCGTTGAACAAACGTTAACATAAAATATTATACAACATGCTCTGGAGTTTGGAGAGCTGTCTGACTGTATTTCAGCTGGGGTGAATGTTTTGCTGTACCGAGCCAAGGTATGGTCGTTGACATTAAAGTCCTTTATTGACCTCCAGATTGATTTATTAGCGAGGATCACCTGCCTGATTGCACTCAGCATCACGTCAGGAACTGCACTGCCATGTTCTGTTTTTCTTTTGTAATTCCTGACCATGTTTTCTCACTTTCTCCTCTCCTTTAAAGCACTCTTTTTTTCTGTAAAAATAAAGTCAAAATTTCATCATGTAAACTGCTGATAAACAGACTCTTTATGTAAATTTTAATCCCTTTTAAACATGTGACAACTAAACCCAAAATAACTGAGACATGTTGCCCCAAACTACAACATTTGCTAATTCTAGCTCTAGGTTAAAGTTAGCTTAAAACAGAACAATGACTGAGGTATGACAGGATGCCTTCATCTCTCCTCTAACAAGTCCATATTTTTCACTGCTAAGATTTTTATCTGGAAGAAGCTTATTTTTAAATATTTTAAGTTAAAATGTTTTACTTTGGGTTGTGCAAAATGGTTAATTGGCACTCATCTCAGCTCATAATGTGCGCTTCACTTCTCAGACAGGACACGACCCCTGACCATATAAATAAAGAAAACTAGTATTCCACTTTTTAGTTGCGCCCTCTGGTGGCAAAGATAACTGCACTGTGGCAACTTACCCATGTGACAACAAGCCCCAGTCTCCCTAGTTATCATCCGTTTATCATTATTAAGATGAACTGCTCAATATATCTTGATATTGATTTGACGCCATATTGCCCAGCCCTACTGGATTATTAAAATATGTCGATAAATCCACAAGACCTACAACCTACAAGAATTATGACAACTTCTTTATGCTTAAGTTTAGCACAGACTCAAAAGAAGAGCTGTGTAAATTAAAAGCACTGTGTGAAAATGAGAGGAGTCTTTCAAGATCAAAAAAAAAATAAGGTCAGACTTTCACTTTGAAAAGCAATACAGAAGTGCTACCATACTATATTTCCAGCCATATCATTTCTCTGTCTACTTTGGCCAAGATCCAAAATACAGCCATATATTCTCCAGGTTTGAGCTGCGCTGCTCACTCTGGTGGACTGAATGCTTTACTCTATTACATGCACGCCCAAATGTAAATCAAGCAGCCAACATGCTTTGTGTCAGGAGCTCTCTCACTGGGTGAAAAGAAGCTCATGGTTTGAAATCACACACCAGGAGCATTAACTGCATTCCAATGATGCATGATGATGGTTTATCTATGTGCTTTTACCCATTTTATGTGCACCTGTGTTAAGCCAGCTCAGTGTAAGTGTCTCTTCTGCTTTGTTGTCTTTAGTGTCATTCATGCAGGCGTTTTCTACAGATGAGCCGAAAGCAGGTAATGTAACTCATGTCAGCTCAGTTGGTGAGTTTTGCTTCATTTGCCGCTGCAAAGCTGACATGCAGAGATAAGAGGACAGCTTCAAGAGGTCTGTACGCTCTGTGGAGTGACACTAAAAGGTCTCAAACTAAAATAAAAACGTCTGCTTATCCTGTGTGGGTTTTTGTGGGTCATTACTGCAAAGCGAGACATTGAACTTGTTTCCTATTTCCAGACCGAGGCTGTAAAGAAACAGCAGAATTTTGAGCACACATGGACCGCCATTCTGTATGAACTTATTCACTGTTTTTAATAGGAATCAGACTTGACCTCTATGTCCTGTCTTAAACATAACGCTGGGATTCTTCATGCTGGTGTGGACTGACTGACAGGATCATTGTCTTCTTGTCATGGGTGGTATTAAAAATAGTAGACATAAAGATGGCTAAATAAAAAGCTATCAGACGGTAAAAAGGTGAAAAAGCTAATATAGAGTTGATATATAATTGTCTACAATGGTATAATTATAGTTGCGTCTTCTGGAGAGACGTACAAAGACGACTTAAATCTGGTCTCCTCGGTTTTATTCACTTCTCAAGTTTGTGTTTCAACTCTCAATGCTAAATTTATAACACACTTGGTGAAGTTTCTTCAATAAGGATATTTTTAGCTGCATCAAAAACTCATACAAAAAGCTAGCAAATGAAAACGTGCTCCCGCAGAACTGACTCTGGGTCAGCATCTCCACAAATATCCTTAAAACGTCTCCAAACGTGAAATGAGACCACACAAAGCGGAAATTCAGAGAATGCATGAAAACTCTCTCTTAGAGGTCAATTCACTTCAGCTGAAAAGGAGCTAACTCACTATGGAAACATCTGAATGACGCCCTGCTGCAGGCTGAAAACTGAATACGATGAAGCACAGGGGGAATTCTCTGCCCGACAGCACTGCAGAGGATCCCGTTCAGTTACAGACCTGCACACACACACACACACACACAAACACACACAAGGGAAAGCCTGGCAGCCACACTGAGACTCCTCATGCAGCTAGGCAACCAGGCCTTTTATGCAAACTTTTGGAACTCGGGACTCACGACAAGAAGAAATGCCAAACCCTCCTTTCACATGTTTCAGGGAGGGGGAAGAAGGGGAGGAAGAGGAGGAGGACGTCTCTGAGAACACTTATTAACCTGCTCACTCCTGAAATACCACTGCCCTCTCATGCGGAGTAAAATACATCAGTCAATCGCAAAGAAAACTGAATAAATGCCAGATTTACACACCTCAGGATTATCTTGTCTTGCACTGATTTAGTCAGAATGATTTTCTCTGACCTTTTCCGTTCAATATAAGTTTTGAAAAAGGACAATTTAATTAAGCAAAAAAACTATGCCTTTTAAAGTTTGTGCAAAGAATTGATTTCATGCAGAGTGATGTTTTTGTTGCAGTCGACATGATAATGAATACACAGTTGTTTGTATATTGGAAGCATAAAAGTAGAACTGCAGGATTTCAATATGATACAGCAACTCACAACCCAAGAGGGCTAAAAAAAGGCATTTTTGGCCCATGCTGGATGTTAACAATTTGACAAATATGACAACTTTAACTTCAATAAGGTATTCTTAAAGCTGAGCATGTGTTATTTTACATCAATTAGCAACATCTGTCTCGTTCAATGATAGTGGAAAGCCAAAATCCTGATTGTGATCTGGTCTTATTTTTCTTTAAATTATGATCTTTTGGATTTTTTTTTTATTTCATTTTGCGAAACACACAAAAATCAGAGTTTCTGTAGTCACTTATTTTCATAATATATATTTTTAAATGTGAATATGCAGTATTTGAATCTTCTGTGTGGCTGAATTGAGGCATCAGTTCACCTCTAACCTGTGATTAAAGCCTAGAGGGATTACAGGTGTTTCACTAAGTTTGTTTTAAAAGGACACAGGAACCTGTCAACACCCGGGAGATTTTGTCTTCTCTGCCCTGGAGGGAGATGTTCAGGGTCAGTCTGGGGTCAAAAACCCGGGTGCTTAGATAATACTTCACTGGAATGCAACCAGCATGCTACTGGTGGGTATTTCTGTCACCTTTCAAACCACTACAGTTACCCAGCAGCAGTGTTATCCGTGAAATACTCTTACTGTAGATGACGCCTTCACTACTCTGATAAAATACTGATGCATGTAATTATCTTATTGGTTTAGACGGTAGTTTTAAGATGTTTATTGAATCAGCCGGTTTTGCTTTCATTTGTGTCTCGGCTTCCTCTCTGACAGCTGACATGTCAAGTCTCGCCGTCATTCTGACTTCATTCTCAGAAACAGCTGTCGTGGGAGGCGCCTTCTCCATACCCTCAGTCATGCACCATCTCTGACCTCTCTGACTCATTTACAATTACTGGACCTGTGTGATCCCTGCTGTCATTTAAAAATGCTGTGTTTGCTGAGAAGTCTGGTTCCTTTGCCAGCTCACCTCATGAAAACTTATTTCTAGCCAGCATCCCTCACAAGGACCAGACTGACGCCACAACTTTCTTACAAATTTCTCCCTCATTTGAAAGAAATCCAGGTAAACTATCGGGTGAATAAACTTAATGAACTTCTGGTTCGGTTGAAAAGATTCTTCAATAATAGAAAGCAAGTGACCAGGGGAGGGAGGTGGTGTAACTGTAGACATAATGATGGCAGGCACTGGTCTGTAAACATCAGTTAATGTGAGCTAAGCTTCAGTGCAAACTCAACATAACATAAATGGATGGTACTAGAAAAAGTTTCACAGCTGCACATAAACTGCACATGGATTTTTTCCTCTAAGACACCCCTAATAGTGGACTGCAACTTGTGCATTACTATAGTTTATATTCTGGATTTGGTAACATTTTATTTTATGTGTTCTGCTTATTGTTATAAAGCCTTATGATAATTAATGAGTGTTTATAATGATAGTTATACAAGTTTATAAGCAAAGTACAACACATCATAAATATATGTATAATGCATTATCTATGTGGGCATTGTCAGTGAGTTATTTACAGGGCAAGTACATTGTCTAATTCTTCACAATTCTTCAATTCTTGCTAAACTCTTGTGCTCTTTGCAAACTAATTTGATGCTAGAATTAGCTAACAAATTATACCTTTCTTCTCCTTTTCTCTTGAGCCGCTTTCTTATCAAAATATAGTCATATCTGCTTAAAAAACAATCCGTACAAAAAGGTTGTGACAGCCAAAAAGAAGAACTCCATTGCAGAGGTCAGTTAGAAAAGCAGTTGTAGCTTTGCAGAATGCAAGGAGATATGTTTTTAATACTCAAACTACCTGGGTATCCCGCTAATTAATAACAAGTTATCAACCCCTGGAATCTATTTTCATGCAACAATGAGCCGTGTCAAAGTTGTCTGTTAACATAACTACAGATTATGTAATATGAAGAAAGACAGAGCAACACAGACTCAACAGAAGGATTAAGTTTCAGCTGTTTCCTGCAGACAGAGCACCAACTAAATCAAATTACCACAACAGTCTGACAGCCCTGAATTACACCTTTCAAAACAGTCTTTATCTGATGACGCGTGCTGAGTGAATGACACGTAGCGGTTTTCTTCTACCTGCTCATGTTGCAGGGGGCTGAAGTCAGTGTCCGTCCATAGCTGTCAACAGCTTCACTATGACTGATAAAAGAAGAAGAAAACTGTGCATCCGATTCGAACCTGGGCAGGAGTTTACATCCAAAGCATGTGAGGAATGCAGCTGCTAGTACCCGCCTGTTTAACATCCCACGGCAGCTCATTCAAAACCCCAACCCCCGAATTTCATTAAAGTTTAAGTGGGTGTGAAAATTTTAGATCTGACAAAAACATAGCAGTGATAAGACCTGCTCACTGACCCGAGAAATACTTTGAAAAGTGCACCAACATTTCTTTAACCTGCATGTCATGAAAGGAATGCAGTGCTGCTTTTTTCCTGATTTTCATTAGTTACTCTTCAGAAAGGCATTTGGCTGCTGATAATTGGTTTTAGATTACCGACCACAAATGATTAGCTGAATAGAGAGTGGGGGATTGGCCTGGTCTACCACCCACCGAGACAAGTCACCAGCAAGAAAATCAAAGTAAAGCTCTGGTATTTTTCTTATTTGACATAGTCTGGATGTTTGACTAAAAGTTACAGATTTATTCAAACTGCTCCAGATCGCCCTGGCCAACACTTAGAACATGAGCTGTGATGGCAAAAACAAACCTCTACTTAATGATGAAGTTAGGTGCTGTTCTGAGCATTATTTATGGCTATAGAGTGACGTTTTGGTTGAGGTTTGTGTGTGGCTCCTGAGAGCTCTGTGTATTGCTATTGTGCGGTTGTTACTAGAGTTGGTATAACTAAAGAAGCAAGCGGTCGGCAACATTCATCTCTCAAGGGGGTGTCTAACTCCGTGTAACGGTGTGTTTGACCCTAAATTAATTTTACTCCGGAATATCCCTTTAAAGTCCTTGTTTTTATCTTTCCTTAAATGCCCAACAAAGGACTCTGGGTTGAAATTGCAGGGTGACTGATGAAACAATGCAAAATGATGCCATGATACAAAACAATGCGATATAATTGAATAGGATCAGTATGATGCGCTACAACACAATGCAAAATGATACTGTACCATATTGATCCGATTATAAGACAAGGTTTCTTTTCCCTTAATGCATCTGAAAAAAAATGGGTTGTTGTATATTCAGGGTTATATAATTCATTGAATCGATCTTGTAGTTGGCCTTTATGACATAATATTTTTGAGTGGACAACAGCAACTCTAAATATAGTCCAGTATGATATAGAAGCGAACTGTAAAATCCACTTACTTTGTGAGACCGGCAGCTTAATGGCAACAAACTCTTGTGAATTTCTGCGACATCCAGAGGTTTTCCTTTCTATAGAGAGGATCAGTTTACTCAAACGAGATCATTCAACTAAAAAACAAAGGTAATCTGTGATGATTTCTCATGAAATACTGTTGTTTTTGATGTTATATAACTATGCTAGACTGAGGCTGCTATCTCTGTTTTTGTCTGTATCCACTATCAGCTGACCTTCAGAGGTCCAGTTTAGAGGCCAGTGCAGCCTGAGATGGAGCTCACGATCTGTTCACATACAAAAGGTAGAAGTGTTTTGCACAGATTTATCCCATTCAGCTAGTTTAAGTATCAGTAGATCTGTGCTCTTTCTGTTTACCAGTATGTGGGTGCTTTATTTACACAATTTTTATGTTGTTGCTCCATTCAGCTGTGATGTTTTTGAACATATCTTATTCCAAAATATTAAAAACAACTCCAACTGTATTCCAAAAGACTTGATTAGTGGCTCTGAGGAACAGAGGCAAATCTCTCTAAGGTTAATTAAAAAGTTACAAAGCTATAATAAGCAGAAATTCTGCTAATTTGTCAGAGTAACGCTCACATTGGGCTTTTAGACTTGTAGGGACTCCTCCAGGAACAAGCCTTAGCTTCTCACATTACTTCATCTTCAGTTAACATGAAAAAATGAAGCTCTGGTTACACTTTACACACCAGTGTTCAGACTGTTCATGTTAATAGAAATGTTAAAGAGCCCCCGGAGGAGGGTTTAGATGTTCTTAGACACACAGCAAAAAGAAATCAGAGATGACAGATCCTGCCAACACTGTAGTGTCTGACTTGATTTAAGTGTAAAAACATGAGTGTATTTTACCTTTGTGAAACGAAGCAGGTCATGAAAGCACTAAAATTAACCTCAGCGCTCTGAGCTACGACGCTGCCTCCTCTACGTTTCTGTTATGTGGGTCATCTTTTCCCTGTTCGTATGAGCATTCACAGCCTCATTAACAGGCAACACTATAACTGAGTGTGTGTGTAATGTGAGTAAAAGGTGTATTATAGCAAAAACATGTCTTTTACTCAACTTTATGAACAGATTTTTGCGTATAAATGTAGGAAAAGTCTTGTACATTGCTTTAGGTCACAAAAGTCGGTTTCATAATTAGCATTTTCAGTCCTCTAGTAGGTTCACTCTTAGTGCTGTTATTAAGTTCCTCGATTTACAGCAGCCAAGGGCAACACCATCATCTCATACTTGACTCATTCTAAGATTATAAGTGACGTATTTTTGCACTAAATATTATGATCTGGTATCATTTTTCATCTCACTTCAAATCATTTACATAAACATCACATGCACCACACATACTGAGCTTTTCTTAAAGTCATAACCCAACAACTCAGACCCCAGTCCAATCCAAGTCTTCAAACTAATGACTTAGACTTGGATCAGACCTTCAGCAATCTAAAGTCAGACTGAAAAGTCCCTGGACAAGTACTTAAGTCAAGGCTCAAGTATCTTGGTTGTAACACCTGCTCATATGTGGCGCTGGCAAGCTAGGCTAGAGTTTTCTGTAAACAGAAAATTTTGGGTAATTTAGCAGATTTTGAGAGTTTTACGTCTAAGAGTGTGTTTCAGGGCTTTGCATTTCAAAAGCCCATTCGTTTTTGCACTATTCATAGACACATCACACATGCATGCTTGTGACAACAGGGAGTTTTCTCGGTTCATTGGCATTAGCTTACAGTTGACACACTTGGATCTCTCCTGCTCTTCAGTTAGCTTCAAGGTTTCCCCGCTTTCTCGTTTGGTGCACTGAGTCGCCTTTTTCCTCTGAGCTCAAGTTCATAAATGTGTCCACATGTCTGCAATAAATGGCATCTTATCAGCACTGTCAGATAATACATCACATAATCCAAAAAAGGTCTTTCTGGTGGTAAAGGATCAGTCAGAATCTGTTAATTAAAATGTCTTTTCTGCCCGCCCTAAAGGTCCCACAGTCAGTCCAGGTTTGGAGAAAAAAGAAAAGACTGCAAACTCATCATTTACGCAACTTGTCCTTCAAGAGAAGCTTTCTAAGCAGCTTCCTCTCAGCTGTTAGAAACCTACTGTAGAAGATACTGTGCACAGGGAAGTCAGTGACGTCACGAAATGATGCGTTTATGAAACAAGTGGTCAGATTGTAAGTTCCCCCCTCCCTCTCTCCCTCCACCAGCTTTCACTCAAACCTCTGCCATCTGTCTTTTCTGCACCATTCAGGGACACAACGCCAAAACCAGATTAAAACAATACTTTGACCCACTCAGTAATCCCAAGATCTGTTTCACTGCAGCGGTTCAGCAGAGTCTGTTCCTGACTGAAGCGTTTATGGTACAAAAAGGCCCATAAATACCAGAAAATGCAGCAGAAATATCCGCCGCACTGTCATGTTAATGTATTTAATCACTGACAGTCGTGCTTTTTGTCCAGAGACATGAGAGGCTGAAACACGACGTTAATCCTGAGATCACTGATGGACCTTCTGTCATGCGGACACAGAGGCAGATGAGAAGGCCATCTTAGGAAACAGAGCAGAGGTCAATTTAGACACAGGAAGTAAAACATGTTAGGGCGTTTAAATTAAAGAAAGACTTTAGAAGTTTCAGATTTTGTTACACAGCAAGCTGCATCAAGGTCAATGTGGTCACGAGTGTTGTCTGGAGGGCAGCGGTTATTTGGGTGTTTCAATGAGAACATCTTATCAAAGGTTTGAAACACTACCAAGAAAACAAAAAGAGCAGAGTTTCAGAGATCCACAAGGTTTCTGGATTCAGTCAGAATTTTTCTTGTTTTTTTTTTCTGTTCTTTTTGGCCTGCAGAAAGCTACTCTAAGTCATACCTGCCAACATTTGGGTTTTAAAATCCGGGAGATTTTTGCGACGCACGGCGTGCAGTTTTGGGGTTACCTTATATGGTGGATATGAGCTAAATATGAGAGTATTTGTAATTAGATTGCTCATCCAAAAAGTATAAGTGAAGCTGCACACTTTTTTTGTTTTGTTTTAACAATAACAAATGGTCATACAAAAAATAATAGCTATGATATGCCTCAAACTTACAGTATTTACCGTATTTTTCACACTATAAGGCGCACCTGATTAGAAGGCGCACCATCAATGAATGCGTCTATTCACATCTATTTTCATAAATAAGGCGCACCGGATTATAATAATAATAATAATAATATCTTACATTTATATTGCGCCTTTCAGGATACCCAAAGCGCTTAACAACACACTACAAAAAAAAACTAACTAAATACCAAAAGCCTGAATAAACAAGTGTCGCTTCAGAGCAGACTTGAAAGAGTCAAGAGTCTGTGCTTGACGAATCTCAGAGGGAAGAGAGTTCCAGAGAGGAGGGGCGGCCACACTGAAGGCTCTGTCACTGAGGGATCGCCTTTTCCCATAGAGGACAGTGAGGAGCACATTAAGTCAAACAAAACAGTCAGATAAGTCAAACTATATTTAACTCAATAACTCCACAAGGCTACGGTAGCTGCAGTGCTCCGACAAGCCAAAAGGATTTTAAGTGTGCCTTATAGTACGAAAAATACGGTTGTCCACGAATATTGGTGTTAAAGTCCTCATATGTTTCATATGCATCACTCCGAGACGGTGTAAGACTATCAACGTTAATATTACATCTCATGTTTGTTTCCCTTTCATTGAAGTGTTCATTTGCAACAAACACTGTTTAAATATAGTTTACAGCTTAAACTGACCTGAATCATCCCAAACTGTAAAGTAAAAGTATCAATCCAGAGTCTGTGAGGCTCAGCAGAAACACAGATTAATCTTCGGTTGTCTGGAAACCTGGAAACTTTGGACAAATATAGTGATCCGATTCATGAATGAACGTGGACCATCAAACTACGTCCCATCCTGGGAGATTCCCGGGAGAAATGACAATCCAGGAGAGTCCCAGGAAAAAGGGGAGCGTTGGCAGGTATGCTGTAAGTGTAGACCAGCCTATCTCTGCAGATGTATGGGAATATTTTAGGGTACTGTATTTTAAAGTTTGTATAATTCTGCATGAGTAAATGAGCTCGGGTGATCAGTGCTAATGCATTCCTTGGGTGGGGCACTGGAATAATCTTCATGCACAAAATACAGCAACTTCTTTTTACTCTTTCCTGCAGTGCTGTTCCACTCATCTGTTGAAACTATAAATACTTTCATGTTATTAATGATACAAGGGCACAGGCTGTCCTCGTGGTCTCAGACTCTGCTTTGCCTGCCATCATGGATATCTTGCATGAACAAGACGCATTTTCTGATGATCAAACATGCAATCCCATCATCACAGTAGGTCAATATAATCAAAGTGTAACAATGTCCTGAGTATGAACAGAAATAAAACAGACACCATACAGGATATTAGGAATAAGAAGCTCATATGCCCCAACTATCATTCAATCACTTTTTTGATTGCAGATGTTTAGTGCTGCACATGTTCTGGGACTGTCCTAACAATAACAGTAGAAACCACCCTTACGCAGATTATATTTATTGAGAAAAAAGTAGAAAAACAACTAGTTTCAAGGAAGAAGCTTGTCTTTCAGCGCGGCAGGATAACAGGATGCAGCTTTGACAAAGAAGAAGACCCTCGCTAATAACTCTGGGCATGCAGACCCTCCTCTGTCTGGTAGCTTTAATCACCTCCTGGGCGCTCCGTCATTGTCCGGGAGCAGCGAGCAGAAACGGCCTCTTGTGCTCCTCAGAGAGCGTCTCCACCCTTTCAGTGGTTTCTTCACAAAGAGTTCACTACCCCGCAGGCGATGCCAAGCTAAAAACATCACAGAAACACCACATGTGGTCCTGAAGGGTGTCCAACGTGGCTCTGCCTAGTTTCTTTAAGTAGAACTTTTATTCATAATAATTTAAGCTACATTCAGTCATTGGAAATACTACAGATAGAAATCAACTCTAACAGTCATCTGCACAGGCTTTAAGGAAAATCATGAAGTAGTTTACTTGAAAAAACTATATAAAAAAAAACCTGAATTGGATAATATTCTTCTGGAAAACTTTGAAATTAATGTCAGACTCCTTGACGTGTCACGATCTTCAAACTCTGCTCCTAAAATCTGGGCTGACTCCCGTGTTTCTAACCCCATCTGACATTTTCTTGGTGAATTATGTGCTCGCAAATCTCATCAGTTACCTCAGCTGAATGTTGAATTATTCAAAGTCTTGGAAAGGGTAAGCGCTATCCCAGCCAGAAAAAGAAAAGGCGGACTCAGTTCAGAGTGACACAGAAGTATCTTTTAACAGAGCAAATCTAAACATGGCGTCATTTGTGTGCATTTTAAGTGTTTTAATACGACTCTTGTAATGCCTTAGCTTAAACATTATAACATTTCCCTCTTGTAGGGGTAAATGGACATAAATCAGAATAATTAGAGCTGCCTTAGATGACAGAAACTATGTTGTGTGACGTGTTTCTTGATTCTTTTGTTTTTCCTGAGTTGCAACTCCAGGAGATTTAGGATCAGAGTTATAAAACTTTAAAGAAATTATCTGGAGTGTACACCAATTGAGGATTTCAGTTTGCAAATTACATGAACCTTCATTAAATTGAAAATAGTGCAAAGACAGCGTATTAAATGTTTTATCTACATAAATATTATTGTTTGATGAAAAATATATGCTCATGTAAATTTGATGTCAGCATCATCTTTTAAAACTGCTGGGACACAAACAACAAAACGCTACAAAGGTTGTGTAACGCTGAAAACACAGTTGGAGGAACATCGACCGAATACTGAGGTTCATATGTAACTAGGGGTTTCCTGATACAACTTTTTAACTTCCAATAGGATACTGATATTGTAGCCTTTAATATTGACTGATACCGATATTGATCTGATATTGGCACAAGGTTGTGCATGACAAGTTTTTCTCACAGCTGCAACGTCTTTTTCAGACTTAAGCATAAAATACTGTCACAAGGCCAACATCACGCCTACTCCTTGCAACTTTGTTAGTACCTTAGTACATACTAATGTTGTGATCAGGTGGGCTCTGCATGCTGGATCGGGGCACTGCTAGGTAAAGTCTGGAATGGACTGCTTGTATCAGAATGCTAATGATAGATTTTAGATGCAGACCGATATAATCCGATATTTGTGTTTTTGCTGATATCGGACCGTTATCCGATAACAATATCATATGGGGACACCCCTATTTGTAACGGGTTAGTGACATAACTGGGTATTAAAAGGAAATTCAGAGAGGCTGAGTCTTTCAGAAGGACAGACGGGAGGAGGTTTGCCACTCTGTGAGAGGCTGTGTGAGCCAATAGTTCAACCATTTCAGAATAATGTTCCTGAGTCTAAAATGTTAAACAACTGGTGAATTTCATCATCGATAGTTTACAATATCATTAAAAGATTCAGACAATATGGAGAGATCTCTGTCCAAAAGAGACAAGGACCAAAACTATTTCTTGATGGCCATGATCTTCAGGCCCTCAGGCAGCACTGCATCAAAACAGACATGACTCTATAGTGGAAATCACTGCACGGGCTCAAACTCACACAGTTTGTCACTGCATATTAAAACTGTACAATGAAAAGAGGAAATCATATACAAACACGATCCAGAAACTTCTCTGGACCTGAGCCTGTTTACGATTGACCGATGGGAAATGGAAATAATTTGGATCTCTGTGAAAACAGCTTGACAGGTAAACACATGTCCACAGTGAAAGAGGATAAAAACATGTATTTCCAGTATATCAAACCCCTTACTTAATTTTTGAGTGGATTACAGCTGTTCTGACAGATTGTAATTAGGAATAAAATTCTGAAGATGTTTAGTTCGCTCTGAATAATCTTTAACTTTACTTTAATAAAGTTCCCTCACAACATGGTTTAGAAAACTTGAGATATAAGAATACAGCCATACACACACACACACACTCTCAGTTTCCTTCATGCAGTAATAATGAAGTACAAACACAAACATGCTGTATATAGAAACCAGAAGCTACAACAAAGAGGAGGTGCAGGTGCTGCTCTTGTCGTCCTCCAGCTGGACCGAGCTGAGTGTCAGCTGTGTGTCCGAGCATCCACCAACCCTGAACTGATCACCCACTCCCCCCCTACACACACATCCCACAACTCTCCCAACAGCACACATAAAAGTACAGGCTCTACCCCGCTGCACCAGCCTTTTGTCTCTTTTCACACTGCCGCTGAAAAAGCGAGCGTACACCAACACTCCCCCCTTTTTTAATCCTCTGCTCTGAGAGAACTTAATGACATCAGATGCATTTTCTCAGAAAGAGCGCAGGGCCATTCAGTGCCAGAGTTCATTGTTTCAAGCTTGCAATAAAGAGTTAAGTGGGATTTAGAGCCCCTGCGAGGCCCAAAAGACCTAAAGAAAGCTCCTTTTCTTATGCAACAGAGCTGTTATTCACTTATTCCTGCAGAGCCTCAATAGAAAGTGGTGCTATAACTAACAGAGTGCTAATCCTGAGCTCTGAACTACAACACTGCCACCTGACTGGGTTAAAATTATCTAATCCTATATTGATATGATCTCCATTAAACACAGCATTAATGTCACAGATCTAATATTACAGTGGGCGGGGATAAGCCTTGATTTTGTGGTTGGAGCTTGAAAGAGGCACAATCTCCATCTGACAGACTAATCTAATAACCAACACAAATACAGTGTCCTGTTTCATGAGCCAGTGAACCACCCGGTGACCCATTATGACTCATTATGTGCCCATTATGCACCTGGTGACCTCTGACCTCCACGGCACTGTGCTTTCCTAATCAGATCCCCAAGGGCGTGAGCAGACGGGCAGATGGGTGGAACTGTTTGTGCTTTAACTGCATGAGAGTGATCAACATTTTACAAACTGTGAGGCTACATGTCGCTGCATCCAGGAGGAAATTCTCCAAAAAAATATCAAAACTATGTTAGTTTTTATTTCTCAAGGTTTATAAAAAACAAAGATGTTCCAGTGTTTCTCAGACAGGGCTGACCAGCTGTCCCTGAAACTTTTTACTCGTGGAAACCTTAAACCCAACTTTAAGTTAATTTACTCGGAATCCCGGAAAGTGGGTGAATCATTAGTGAAACTCAATCTGACTTGAATCATTGGCTTTTTAGTACAGTGAACACAACACCATGATGTCATGGAGCCATTAGTACTGCTGCTTTTATTTAATCCATTCAGTTTGATACAATAGGCATAAGTCCGTTTATAAAAGGGCTGTACAATAAAGAAAAATAAATCATAATGTCACCACTACCTCTTCACAGCCTCTGTGCATGTGGCACAGCTTTAAACTGCTGAATTGTACTTGCACCTTATAAGAAAAATGTTCAAATTACATATTTTAATGTCGACCAAACAATTATACACTCCTATATAGCTAAAAAAAAAACAGTTTTTCTTACCAATGTTGTTCTGACACAAAAACTTTGGTATAATGCCAACTTTGGGAGGTGTGCTGTGATTTTGCAAATCACTGAAGACATTAAAAAGAGATTTTTGTGCACAGTTTTGCCTTTGAATTATCATTGAGGTGATGGAAAAATCACTAAAGTTTCTGGCTGTTTAAGACAATATGAGACAAAATCTTAAAGTTTTGTTCTTGAGTGTGCACTTTCACTACATTCAGCAATGTGCAGTTTTGATGCAGATGTGTAGCTCTTTCTAAAACTCTCCATTTTCACCACCTTTCCAGCTACTTGTACAGTAGCTGGGCTCAGTCTATGGTCATATTGATAATTGTGAGGTACATATGTACCCACTGCCTTTGACTAATTTCCTCCGATGTTTCACCCCCACCCCCCTCCACTAATGTCTGAAAATGAAAAGTCTTTTTAATTAAAGTAAATTTCAACAAAGAAGAATATTTCAAATTCTACATTTTGCCTAAAAGATTGTTTTTTCAATGTAAATGCATATCAGTTTTAAACGTCAGTATTTATTCCCATAAATCATAGATGATCATCCAATATCAGCAGCTCTATTTTTTAGATAATAAGGCATCAAAAAGTTTTCTAATACACTGAATTTGGCATTAATTTTTCTTTTTTTTTTGTAATCCGTAAATGGATTCTTGACTGCATTTTTTTACACACACGGGAAGAGGGTTTATTTCCTTCTCTTGACACTTTTTCTCACCCTGTGGCTTTCCTAATATTTACCATCACTATCCACCAGATGTTCACTCACCCGGTTAATCCCCAATAAAAAGGAAAACAATCCTTCCTCCATCTTATCCCTCCTCCAGTGTCTGCAGACCTTGACTTCAACCTGAACAGCCTTACAAACAAATCTTCATTCAAACTGAAGTAACTAGTTAAATACTACTACTCACGCTGAACATGCCCCTTTTTTTTACGGCCTGCTGGGTGCAAGTTTGCGTAAAGTGCTGAGGATCATCATTACAACACATTACTGACCAACCTTTCCTAATGAGCTCATATCTCTCACTGTTCAACACCCTCAGTTTGAACCCAAGTGGATTTAAATATTTAGGTTAAGCTCCAGGCGACGTTCAGAGCAGCACACAAGATTTCACTTGAGCTTACTTCACATTTTTCAAGGGAATTTGGCCTCATTAGCATCAGATACAACATGATATCATATTAACTTTGATTCAATTAGCATAATTTATTCTTGTTTTCAGACATTTTTACACGCAAGGATTCATGTGAGTTCACACAACAAACCCCTCAGGGATATAAAAATTTTGGGGCGGCTGTTTTCTTGTAAAATCAGTAACTCCCAAACGTGGTGTGAAAACACAGAGGGAGTATTTTGGCAGGGTCAGCCTAAAGTAAAAATCCCAAATTAGCATTTTATTTAAATCTGTTCTAAAAAGACTAAGTATCGGAAATGTTTTGTGTTGTACGTGTTAAACGAAGAGAGGTAAGTGATTCCTAGCCATTACTTATAAATCTAGATCTTCTAGCCTGGTGTCACCCTGCCAGCTCATGTTCACTATTGTTGGGAGGAAGGGTCTGGAGTAAAGCTAGACTGACTGTCAGATTTAGGCATTTAAATAAAGTTTTGAATTGGACTATAATAAACCAAATAACTTGCTTTAATCGCATGGCAGATAGCGTCTGCAGGAATTCCCGAACACATGAATAAATGCAGGAGAGGAAGAGTTCCCTTCACGCCATTTCAGCCTGTATTCATCTAACATGGTTGAGGTTGACTACATTGTGGGGATTTGTTGTCTGTGCAGAAATTACCAGATAATCTGATCTCCTCACTCATCTTTCCTCCAAGCAAGATCCTCTTTATTCTTTTTTCTATTAAAAAAGGTGGTCCTACAGGTCAGAGTACACTCACCGGCCACTTTATTAGGTACACCTGTCCAACTGCTCGTTAACACTTAATTTCTAATCAGCCAATCACATGGCGGCAACTTAGTGCATTTAGGCATGTAGAGATGGTCAAGACAATCTCCTGCAGTTCAAACCGAGCATCAGTATGGGGAAGAAAGGTGATTTGAGTGACTTTGAACGTGGCATGGTTGTTGGTGCCAGAAGGGCTGGTCTGAGTATTTCAGAAACTGCTGATCTACTGGGATTTTCACGCACAACCATCTCTAGGGTTTACAGAGAATGGTCCGAAAAAGAAAAAATATCCAGTGAGTGGCAGTTCTGTGGGCGGAAATGCCTTGTTGATGCCAGAGGTCAGAGGAGAATGGCCAGACTGGTTCGAGCTGATAGAAAGGCAACAGTGACTCAAATAACCACCCGTTACAACCAAGGTAGGCAGAAGAGCATCTTTGAACGCACAGTACGTCGAACTTTGAGGCAGATGGGCTACAGCAGCAGAAGACCACACCGGGTGCCACTCCTTTCAGCTAAGAACAGGAAACTGAGGCTACAATTTGCACAAGCTCATCGAAATTGGACAATAGAAGATTGGAAAAACGTTGCCTGGTCTGATGAGTCTCGATTTCTGCTGCGACATTCGGATGGTAGGGTCAGACTTTGGCGTCAACAACATGAAAGCATGGATCCATCCTGCCTTGTATCAACGGTTCAGGCTGGTGGTGGTGGTGTCATGGTGTGGGGAATATTTTCTTGGCACTCTTTGGGCCCCTTGGTACCAATTGAGCATCGTTGCAATGCCACAGCCTACCTGAGTATTGTTGCTGACCATGTCCATCCCTTTATGACCACAATGTACCCAACTTCTGATGGCTACTTTCAGCAGGATAATGCGCCATGTCATAAAGCTGGAATCATCTCAGACTGGTTTCTTGAACATGACAATGAGTTCACTGTACTCAAATGGCCTCCACAGTCACCAGATCTCAATCCAATAGAGCATCTTTGGGATGTGGTGGAACGGGAGATTCGCATCATGGATGTGCAGCCGACAAATCTGCGGCAACTGTGTGATGCCATCATGTCAATATGGACCAAGCTCTCTGAGGAATGCTTCCAGCACCTTGTTGAATCTATGCCACGAAGAATTGAGGCAGTTCTGAAGGCAAAAGGGGGTCCAACCCGTTACTAGCATGGTGTACCTAATAAAGTGGCCGGTGAGTGTATATAGCAGCACCATCACTACCAGTTTGACCTTGGCTTACCAACTGGCTGAACCTCCCCTGGTCCATCATTGAGAAATGTCAACATGGTATCTCTATGCTGATTGGCCATTGCAGCGTGAATGACTACCTTGAGTTCAGGTTTTACATTTCTTCATTTGCTTTACGTGACCTTATGTTCAGTGTGAACGCAACATTACAAACCCACTTGCAGCGCCTATTGTTAAGACAGATGTGTTTCTTTCTTCTGTTTACATTTTCAGTTCTTCACACACTTGGACTAGGGACGCACAATGGCTCCAGCAAATACCACCCAACTGACAGACACCGGCACATCGACAAATAACGTCAAACTGATTTATTTAAATGATCAAACACCAGAGAAAGTGTTTGCAGAGTGGGATTACAGTCTCTAAGAAAGATCAGCGCCATGCAGTTTGTATGACACTGATCACAGAACAATTTAAATAGATCTTAGCTCATTTAGAAAAAAACAACAACACCGAGGAAATGACAAAGATGTACTGCAAAAACATCTGTATAGGCCATCAGTATCAATCAGATCAGTATAAACACCGGTATCAGTTTCAGCCCCGATTTTCACAATGGGTATGTCTCTAACTGGGACACTATGCTGCTTTAGTACAAAGGTTTGGTGATCGCCAAACTTCAACTCTGCACTGCTGATGAGCTGCTGTGTGTGCAAGACTAGTGTAGCATCGGCCAAAGCTTGCAAAACACAACTTAAGTTTGCTGATTAGTTAGTTTTGCTGATAAACTTGAACAACTTTATAGGATTAAAAGTAGGCACGTCAAAGTCAAGTTATGGTATCAGTATTATTATATCAGTATTATATGTAGCATCATGACCTAAAAATGTGATTATCTTGTTTTTACAGCCTCAAGACTGTGACAACTAACTCATTTAAAAAAGGCTTTATTTCAGAAGCCAACTGTAGTGACTATGCTGACCTGAATTTTAGTCACTGTCTGGGTGCTGGAGTGAGGTGTTTTTGACGCGCTTCTGGTACAATCCAATGTCCAATCCAAGGTTGTTGTTGAATTATGTTTTTGCTATTTATTGATTAATGAAAAACAATCAAAAAAGACAAATACATCCAAATTACGACGATGTACGTATGGACGACGTACATGAGATTATCGGTAAAAACCTTGTGTTCTTCCCGTTCCCCAGATCACTGCTTCACCTGTGTCCCTTTGTAGCATTTACCCGCCCATTCACCTGAAGTGCCCCTTGTGGTGATTGTATGAGTAACAAACCAAAGCCCAGAAAGTAATATAGATAAAATGGCTCATTCACTTACAAAAGCAAGAATCCCAGGCTCTCAAAAGCAAGGCAGACATAAATCAGAGAAGTGGACATTCAAGTTGTGATTTTTGTCCTGGCATCCACAGGTCAGTTTCTTTAAATGTTGGATTATACCTTTTACTGAAGATTAAAACTGGGATTTATTGTAGTAACTGCTAATGAAAGAAATTCCCTTGTTAATAGCTCATTTCATCTAATTTTTTCTATTTCTATGCAGCCTCTGAATTTTGATATTTGCAAGAAATATTAAAATTATAAATCTGACAGAGCATCTTCATAGTAGAACTACTCTAATGTTGTCAAACACAAGCTGATTGTTTTTTTTTTGTTTTTTTCTATTTTAAAACTTAACAGTTGTTTTTTATTGTTATGAACATCTGCTTTCAAGTTGCCTGATCCACTTAATCCAAATACAATCCCCGTTTACAATCACCACCTTCAATCTGAAGAAACTCACTGTGAAGAGACATTAAAGTGGACTATGAAGTTAGTGATCTAGTCGCCAACTACCGTGACTTCGACAGGCACACTGGGACACAAACAAGCAGGCCTAATACTTGGTCAGGATTTACAAACTTGAGTGAAGTAAAGCTACACAACAGTCAGCCTGCCAACAATCACGTTATGTGAACAGCGCGGAGGTTTCTGTCGAAGGAGGAGGAGGAGGTCCGTCATTCATGTGAGCAGAGCTCAGTACAGTCCGGGTACGCAGTTCAACAAAAACAGCCATTTAAAGCTCAATATTTCAGTATTTCAGTGAAAAACACCACAGAGGTGAAAGACATAAAGAGACTAACCTGGAAGAGTCTCGCTCAGAGTAAACACGGACAGTGTTGGAGTAAAATAGTCCGACAGAGAGTCCGGTGTGGAGCACGCTGCTGCAGCTGCTGTTTCAGAGGAAACCACGGAGTGAAAACACGGAGGGTTTGTCGGTTCGTTGGTCGGTCGCTGCTGTCGCCTCCTCCTCCTCCTCCTTTCTGTCCCATTTACATGTCAACAGAGCCGCTGACAGACTCTGTCAACACCGAGACTCTACAGGTGGAAGACGACAGTACAACTTTCTTATAAATCACATTTAAATCTTCTCCAATGACATTTTTTTTTTACCACAGACTGAGCAGAGAGGGACTCTTTACCTCAGAGTATAGTCAGTCATAATTATCCCCTATTTGAGCTTTCATTTAATGGCCCAATAAAATCATAAAAGAAAGCTGCTGTTAGCTTTTTACAACTCATTGTTGTCATAAAATGTCCAATTAGGCACATAATAAGTAAATCAATTAAAGTAGACCAACCTTTAATTTTAAGACAAAGATAAAACAAGTCCAGTTAAAGCTCCTGTGAGAAGTTTTCAGCTGATTTTTCTGATGTAAATTATTAAATGGCTTTAATGTAAAAAATCATTAAACAAAATTGAAGAAATTCAGTACAAAATAACAAAAAAATATATCTGATAGGCCTACCCACAGATCAATAGACGACTATTAGAAGTCTAGTTTTTGACTGATCTCCAAGTACTTCACCAAAATAATTAAGAAAGACGTTGAGCAATTTACAGTGTAGTATAGATATAGCCCAGATTTAGATTTAGTCTAAACTTGGTCTGAATTTGGACGTCTAAAAAACTTTCATTTTTAGACCTGTGGTAGCCTGATTTTAGACCAGTCATCTAGGCTACATTTAGACGTCTATTAGACCTCCTTTAGACCAAAAAATGCTCAGTGGGTATATCTATACCTGTCAAATTGAATGAAATTCACCCACGCTTCACAATTTTTGTACAAATATTACAGAGACTTTAAAACTTGTCAACATCACAAAAAAATCCATACACTTAAAATGCCAAACATTGCCACGTATATATTCCTATTAAGAACCTTTTGTTTTTGATTCATGACACTGGAACTGCAGTTCTTCCCACATTTTACAGCAAATGTTTGCAGTGAACGAGTGATAAGATGTTGGCCTGTAAATAACACCCAATTGCACACAAACTGTAAGTTCTTCACAGCAGCTTTAACATACCAAATGCAAATTGTGTCTGTCCCATTTAAAACATTGCCAAGACACAGCTAAAAGTCATTCAATACAGTATTATTGTGTCCTAATTCTCTTGATCTCATGGCCGATAAAAAGACGTTTTTGCGTGAATTCAAAATTTCAGAGGCAAACTTGGTCAGAGCTGTTGTCCAGGGCTCTGAACTTCAGGCTTTTTTAAAACACTTTCCACTGGAAATGTGCCGCCAGTCACACCGCCAGAGCTCAGATAACCGCTGATGACCTGATGACATCATCAGGGTTATTTTCACAGGCTTTAAAAGGTTTCCCCCCTGAGGTACAGAAGACACCACCAACTGGCTGAGAGATACCCCCACTGGAGCAGTAAAGTACAACACAGTCCTAGTATAAAACTCTAGTTTGTGCTTGTACTTTAGACTGCAGTTCTTTGAAAAGAGCTGCTAGTTGTCATCGAGTTATATTGTATTTTTGTGTTCATAATCTGAGATCAACATCCAAGGAAGACAGCCAGACTCAGTCCTCAAATAATGTGACTCAAAGACCGTAGACCTGGTTCTTAAATTTCTGTGGCCTAGAGGCAGCAGGGGGTCAAGAGGGTCAAACCAGATAATGTTTGTACATTTTCTCTTCAAAGAGTCAACAGCGCACACTTTGACAGAGGTTAAGATCGGACTAGATCCAACATGATTGTCAGTGACAGTGACAAACTTATATAGCTCTTCTAGAACTACTCTGTTAGACGTAAAGGGGCCAACCAGAACTACAAAATGTGGTTCTGGCTGTTTCCTGTTTTTGTTTGCAGAGCTGGTAGAAATGCTCCATCATTGGTTATACTTTTGTATTGTTACACTTGGGGAAATTTGCCATCCAATCCTATATGAGAGATACCATAGAAAAGATTCATCCAGGGGGGTTTAGGAAGCCTTCAGGGTGTGATAATAATCCAAAATCTTGTATTTCCTATGGTAACCTTTTTAATTCAGTTGATATCTGAGTGGGTTCCTGCTCTGTCAATCATCCTCTCTGTATCTGCAGTACCAGCCTCCAGCTAAAGACAACTGAGAAGAGCCTATCCAAGGAAGGGAGGGTGTGACTACAGTGACCTGGATATATAAAGATGTTTCCCCCCTTTTTCCTCTTATGCATCTTTTCATCCACTGTCAGCCCGTGACAGGATTTCCAAAGAACTGAACCAGATATTGGAGAATCTCAGACTGTCAGCAGTGAAACCACAGATCTAGTTCTTCTAATGACACCTAACCACTTTTATCAGGCGAACAAAAAAAACGACTATTGTCTCATCCTGTGAGCTGATCCAAATCAAGTAACGTTGGCCTCAGGACTTATTCTGATATACCCACAATGCAAAGAGCAACAGAATTATACATCTTAGGTGCTCACTGGTGTTGATTTCAGGTTTGGAGGAAAAGTAAATGTAATATGAGAGAAAAAAATTACAGATCTACATTTTTCCTTCAGGGTTTCCTTTTTATTCATTCAAATTCTGCACATACATGTAAACTCTGAAATAAACCTTGTTTTGGGGGTTTTGTGTCGTCCAAAAAATGTTGTCTGGGTGTGGTTTGCAGTCATTTAAGCGTTTTTAAGCAGCTAGGCAAGTCAGTGTATCTAAATAGATGGGTATCCAATATATCTAGGTGTATCAGTAGGTATCGAGGTACACTTGTTTTTAGATATCTAGATAGGTGAGCATCAAGGTATGTGGTTTGGTGGGTATCCAGGTGTTTAGGTAGGTTGGTATTTACATGTCTATGTATCCAGGTAGGTAATTATTTAGGTAGTTAGGTATCAAGGTAAGTATCTAGGTATCTAAGTAGGTGGGATTGAAATCTACTTGTGATGAAAAAGTTGCAAAACTGCAAAATGTTGCAGCTGCAAAACACCAGAAATCACTGAAGTGTATCTGCATATGTATTTATGCTGTTTCTACACTAATACAAAGTTAAAACTCGGGCACATTTCTTTTATCTTCCGTCTTTCTGACTAGAAAAAAATCCCAAAGTGTTTTTGAGTGATTTGCACAAAACCACATAAAGAAGATTTGCAAGTTTAAAAAAAAAAAGCACCTCAAATGCAACCTGAGGAGAAGGGAGCAAATGAAGAAGAAGAGGAGTTGATGTTAGGGAGAACAGTATCTGTGAGATCCACTCCCACAGATGTCAGAGCTAAGATCCCTGAAACCTGAGCAGGTAATCTCCGGACATAAAGCGGAGGGTGATTTGTCGGCTGATGTCAGCGGCTTTAACTCTGTCACTCTAACCTCTCTGCTTCTCTCGTCCACTTCTCTTCATCTGACCGTTAATGTTCAGCTGACGGACTTTGAACAGAAGCCTTTAAGACACTTTCTTTTCACTCGTCTCGGTTTTCCAGAGCAGGAATCTGATCCTCCATGACGTCCTCGCCCTCTGCTTTCATTCCTAAGTTTTGCCAGAGGAAATTTGTGTTGTGTTTCTGCATAAATAGAAGTAACGTCATCCTCTCTGGAATGTGATTCATGGTGCGGCCAACAAAAACTTCAGAAAACACCTGAAACACAAGGAGGACAAATAGCTACATGTTGACTACATGCTACATGCACTCCACAAGTCCAAATATAAAGTCTTAGTTCAAGATATACAATCCCAAAAATGAGGAATTAAATGATGAATATAAGTGAGAATGCAAGCTTCTAAATCAAAACAGGTAACAGTGCAGTCGACATAGTGTCCATCAATGCAAACATAACGCTGAATACATGACTGTAATGCATCGGAGGCATTAAATTATAAGTAATACAGAAAAGATGATATAAGTGGTGCATAATCATACATTTATCAGGCAGAATATTTCAATGTGTTTGCCTGCAAATCATTCAAATCATCTTGAAAGTATCTGATGAAGGAATGATTTTAAGAATGAATGAATATTTATTTTATTTACTGATTAAAAAGGAACAAAAGTTATTAATGTTTGGATGAAGTCCTGAAATAAATATGTTGTTGTTTTTTAAAAGTCTTGGCTTTTACCTGTATGAGATAAGACTGGACTTAATACAGGAAATGAAGGGACTGTAGACCAGCCTGAAGTTTCTTTCTATCACATAGTGCCATCTTGTGGTCACATTGGTAAATACAGGAATACAGTAGACAGAGTCTTTGATTTTCTTTAGTCCTTTTACAGTGCATTCCAAAGCTGAATTGTTAATTCAACGTTTTCACACTTTTTGAGAAGAACTTAAATACATTTGCAGCCCTTAACAAACTACTGTCTGTAACAAATGCCCTTAGGTTAATTTAACAAGGGTACAAGCACGTCTTACACTTTAAATGTGTCTCTATTGAGATCATTTCCCATTACCTTTTTACTGTCTCCTCTTTCTCATCCCCACTTTCTCTCTGTCTGTCTTTGCCATATTTCTGTTTTCTATGTTTACGTCCATACTTTCCATCTCTGCTCCAGATGCCCTTGGATATTCCCTCATTTTCTCCTCTGCAATCCACTGTAACAACCAAGACTCTCTTGGCTTATCATTTTCTGACAAAATTATATCCTGTTGAGCCTTTTACGTTCCTCCACTGCTGTCTGCACAAACAATACGTTTTTACCAAGCTAGAACAGCTTTAGCTACAGACTATATTATGAAGAATGCATCCAAGCAATTCTTGTTGAATAAAGTTTTAACTCTCAAAGCGTCAGAAAGGGGGATCTGCATGAGTTGGAGCACTTTCAAAAATTTGTAAAGAAATCCAAAATGGGTAATAAAAATTCTACAATTAAAAAAAAAAGGTCCAGTTTTATCTCCTTCACCTGGATAAATCTCAGATTCCTCTATTTCTGTTTGCTGTACACATTTTTAAGTATATTAAACATTTCTCTATGTATCACATGTTCATATCTA